AGGCCCCCCGTGACGGCCATCAGTGTGTTGAAATTCTGTAGCTGGTGGAGCCTCTAGGAAGGGAGGGCGATACACAGATAAATGGTGGTTATCACATGCAGGATAGGCAAAGTGGGGGTCCCCATGACTGCATCCCAGTTGAATGGGGGTGTCAGGCATGTGGGTATGGGCCACTGTGAGCATCAGGTGAGCGGTGTCAGGCAGGAGTGGGCCACAAGGAGGTATATGGGCATTACATGGGGGGGGTCAGGCAGGTGATAGACTGATGTGAGGTCAGAAAGAAGGTGGGGGCGTAGTCAGGCGAGTGTGAGGAGTTAGACAGGTTTGGGGACTAGATAGGTGTGGGGGATTCAGACAGATGTCAGGTGACAGGCACCTGGGGTCAGACTGCTCTGAGAGTCAGGTGAGCCCGGGCTCTGGGCCGGAGTTAGGAGCCGGGTAGAGGTGAATGGGGCCAGAGGGAAATGGAAGGGTTGGCAGGACAAGAGAGACAAGTGTGGAGTCAGCAGGGCACTGGGGACAACTGCCTCATCCTCCCCTTTTTCAAGTTTGCCGGGCAGAGGTTGCTTTGGGGGGGGTGGGGGGGGGGTGGGGGTGGAGCCGGAAAGGAATGGAAGACACTCTGACCGGGAGACCCCGGGGCAGACACTGGAACCTCTAAGTCCGCGGGGGCGGCACAGGCTACGAGAGGAAGGGCGTGGCCTGCGAGGAAGTACGCAAAGGGGCGTGGCCACGGTGGGGGAGGGAGGCTTCCCTTTTCTCCAGAAAGGAGGGAAGGTATCTATTTAGGGAAGGGGAAGAGAGAGGTTGTGACACAGTGGGGCTGGGCCAAGGAGAGACCTGACGTGATGGGGAGGGAGGCATGCAGTCTGTCCTGAAGGGACGGCTGGGGCCTAGAGACTGAGGTGGAGGGTGATGCAAACGTAGGGCCCTGCCAGAGAGGCCTTCGCCGCCCTGTGGACAGAATATTCGGGCTTAGGGCTTGGGAGACGGGTCAAGGGGGGACGTCGTCAACAGCTACGTCTAGGACCAACTGGAGGGCAGGGCGGGTTCGGCGTGGTAGTATCAAGGCCAAAGAAGAAGTGCAGTCGCAGTCCCGGGTTAGAACCTCTGGACCAGGACCTCGGGGGCGGAGTCGGGGGGGGCGTGATGCGAAGGGGGCGGGGCCAGGGTGTGGATGACGTCACCGCCCGGGCTGGTCAGCTGTGGCGAGGGCCTGGCAGCTGGACCGGGTTGGGGGTGGGGGTCAGATAGCTGCACGCGTCGGTTCCCTCAGCCCCTCCGGGCGGGCCTCACCTGTGCCACCTGGATGAACTTGTCCAGCACCTGCGCGCGCTGTGCCGGCCCGGGACGGCTCAGCACCATGACCTGCACCCAGCGGGACACACTGTTGCTGAGCCCTACGGATCCCTCCAGGGCCGGGCAGCCCCGCACGGAGCCCTGCAAAACGTAGCCCCGCAGGTCCTGGGGCTGGGGGTGAGGTGGGCGTCAGGGTGGGCAGTGGCACGTCTGCCTTGCCCTCACACGCCCATCCCCCTAGCAGTTGTGACCTCTGAGGCCCTAGTCTGGCTGTCATATGTCTTTGACGTCACCGTGGCCCTCTCCCTCTGAAGAGAAATATTTAAATAAAGTCAGGCACTGTTCTGAGCCCTCTGTCATATTAACCAGTTTAATCCTCACATCAACTCTACCGAGTGAATACTAGACTATATTATTCGCATTTTAGAGATGAGGCCGTTGAGGCACAGAGAGGATAATTTGCCCAGGGTCACACAGGTGTGAACCCAGTCTATTGCTCATAACTATATACCTGACTGGTATACAGTCAGCAAAAGGAAGGATGGCAAAGAAGGCATGAAAGCACTTTCTCTTTGTTCTGCTCAAGGAGTCAACATTCCACATCCACACGTACTGCACCCTGTGTGTGTGTGTGTGAACAATCAGGAAATTGTCACACTAAGGAACCGGATCACTGCCTTCCCTTGAAGTGGTGGTGGCAATAGCTAATACTTATATATCGGTTGAAGCATATGAAATTATCATTTGGGTAGGTAAAATATGGCAAAATATGGCCATTTCAAATCCTTCTACCAGGTAGCATTCACTCTGGAGCAGACACTGAACCTATAAGGTAGGAAGTGTTAAATTCCCCTTTTTACAGATAATGGAACTGAGGCACAGTGAACTTAAATGCTTCTTGAATAAATGAATAATTAATAAAATATTTTGAGCACTTACTATGGGCCACTGTGACAAGCATTTCTTTTCTTTTTTTTTTTTTTTTTAAGATTTTATTTATTTATTTGAGAGAGAGAATGAGAGAGAGAGAGCAGGAGAGGGGGGAGGGTCAGAGGGAGAAGCAGGCTCCTCGCTGAGCAGGGAGCCCGATACGGGACTTGATCCCGGGACTCCAGGATCATGACCTGAGCCGAAGGCAGTCGCTTAACCAACTGAGCCACCCAGGCACCCAAGCATTTCTTTTTTTAAAGTAGGCTCCACACCCAATGTGGGGCTTGAACTCACGACCCTGATATCAAGACCTGAGATGAAGAGTCAGTCAGATGCTCAACTGACTGAGCCACCCATGCTCCCCCCGACAAGCATTTTTAAGTGGACATATTAATTTAATTCTCCCAACCATCTAATGAAGTATTATGACCTCCATTTTATAAATGAGAAATCTGAGTCCCAGAGAGGTTGAGAATCTAATTCAAAGTCACACAAATAAGGAAGGGCTGATGGATTTGAACCCAGGGGTTCTGTCCTCAGCCAGCTTAACTCATTTTCCCGAGCTTTCTAGCACCCATGTTGGAGAGTTTGAGATCCCTGCCTAATGTAGGGGTCGTCTGAGTCTTGCCAGGCTCCACCCCACTCCCAGCCATCCCCAGCTGGGGGAAGGGAGTCCTCACCGTGATGGCCTGGAAGGACCGGAACTCCAGATAAGTGAGATGCTGAGCCAGCTCCCCCGTCTCCAGGTGGTCGAAAAGCAAGGACACTTTGCGCTTTTTGCCTAGGCCTGGGCTGTTCATGGAGGGTGGGGGGCCAGGGCCACCCGGGCTCAGGCTGGGGGCAAAGAGGGGCAGGGTATTGGAGTGGTACAGGGTGGAGGATGTGGGGGTGAGGAGGGGGATGGCAGAATGGGGGTGGAGAGTGATTGACTCACAGGTTGGAGGAGTCTCCCAGGCTCCTCTGGGCAGAGTTGCCCTCCTGCTCCACAGTGGCCCAGAAGCGACCTATAACCTCTTCTAACTGAGGCTCTTGGTGTACCGTCTCAGGGTGTTGGGTCAGCCAGTATCTGAGGGTGGTTTAGAGATGGTGGGATGAGGCTGGGGGTGGGGAAGGTCTCTAAAAGGGGTCTCTTGGGCTGAGGAATCTCTAGGTACTGGACTAAGGGTCTCTGGAAGGTCAGGGTTGGAGAGGCACCAGCCTGGGGCTGTCTCTAGGAGTAAGAACTGGGGGCCTCAAACCACAGGCTGGGGAATCAATGGGAGATAAACTGGGGGGATCTCTTGGAGGTGGAATTGCTAGGAAGCAGGATAGTGGGGGGCGGGTCTCAAGAACTAAGCTGGGGCCTCTGAGGGGTGAGATGTTTGGGCAACAAGGTGAGGGGGATCTTAAAAGTAAGGCCAGGGCATGTGGGGGGTTGGGGGACCAGAGCTGGAGGTCTCTGAGCATCAGCTGTGAGAGTGTCTCTGAGATCTGGTCATGGATCTCTAAGAGGTAAGGGTTCAAAGGAGCAGAACTGGGAGGGTCCTGGGAACCAAACCAAGGCTGTCTCAGAAGTGGTATTTGGGGGAGCAGGGCTTGGTGGGCCCGTGAGGAATCAGTCTGGGGAATCTCTGGGAGGTGTTTTTTGGGGGTAGGGAATAGGATGGGGTTCTTGGGTCATGGGAGTAGAGGTCTGGGCCCAGCCCTACCTGACCAGGTGACAGATCTGCAGCCGCCTCTGCTCTTGTGTGTTCCCTGTGGCCTCCTGGTACTTGAGTTCTGGTCAAGGCTCTGATATCCAGCATCCCAGACCTGCCTGTTCACCCTGTCCCCATCTCCCAGACTCTCACGTCTCTGCCCTCTACCCTCCACCCCCTGCTCATGGCCCTGGGAGGATATAAGGTCAGCAGACGGGCAGCAAGGTGGGCAGAAGGCAGCACCCAGCTGTGCATGGCCAGTACCATGTTGAGAATGTGGTCCCCACGGCGCAGGCTGCCAGCTGAGTCTGGGGGGCGGGAGAAGGGGACTCTGTCGGAATGGCTCCTGGGCAAGAGACTGCACGGTCTCCAGAGCCCGTTGGATTGGCTGGTTCAAACTCCAGCTCTACCTGTTTCTCCCTGCATGAACTAGGGCAAGCAACTTGGCCTCCTGAGGGTGTCTCGGTTTCCTTGTCTGTACTGGGCATAGACCAGCACAGCACCTGGCAAGTCATGGTGTAGATGGAAATAGCATCAGACCTCCTCCCCCTCTGCATCTCAGGAAAAAGAAATGCACGTGTTTCTCTTATCCCGAATGTCGTGGTTGAGATTCATTCCACACACCCTTGCTACCGTTTTATACGCCCTCCCCCACCCCCAAACAGGCCTAGAAAGAGGTGGCTGCTTTACCACCTTAGGACTAGGGAGGCTGGTCAGGGAAAGGGACACTCACCGAAGGACTGAATGCATTTCTCCAGCAGTTCGTCTTCGCTGCAGCCGCCCTCGTTCAGCATGCCCAGAGCCATGGAAGCCATGACCTTGCTGATTTCCCGGGGGCTGGGGCACGTCTTGTGGCGCCGGGCCTGTCGGCGCCGGCCCTGGCCCCCTGTCTTTCCTGGGCATTCCTGGTGGGACTTCCTATGGGCACACCCCCAAGGGAATCATGGGAACCCCATCCTTCGGGCAGACCCCCAGAATTCTTCTTGACCCCCAAACCCCAAGGCATCAGTCATGGAAGAAAACCCCTGGAGTATTTCAGATCATGGGAACCTTCTCCTACAGGTAAACTCAAAGCGTTACTCCTGCCCCCTTCAGGAATCAGGGGAAAAGACTCTCAAGACCACCCTGAACCCCCAGAAAATCATGGAGAAGAAGACCCCCAGGATTACTGAGGACCCTCCAGGGAATCATAAGAACTCCTTCCTCCAGGCATTGACCCCAAATTCCCCTGCCTGTATAGTCCCAAGGCATTATGGAGACACTTTCTGTCGGCAGAACCCTGGGATGACTCTTGACCTCCCAGGGAATCAAGGGAGAAGACCACCTCCCCCACCCCTCCTACTCCTGCTCCCCCAGTCATGCCTGTCCTTCCCAGGTTCTGCCTTCAGAGAGATTCCTCAGAATTCCCCCTCTGTCCTCCAGTGCTGGTCCCTTCTCCCCCCAGCCCTCATGAAAGCAGCAGACCCCTGAGATTCCATCTGTCCCTCCTCCCTGAGCTGGACCCCCTACTACGGTGACAGGCCCCTCCCCCAAGCCAGTATTTTGGCAGGACCTGAGTCTTAGCCACCAGCCTGGGCCCCTAGGTTTGGAGAGAAGTTATGGGTGCACAGTGGCCTCACCAGGGCTCTTCAGAGCTGGGCAGGGTCCCTGGGGTGAGGCAGCTTCAAGGAAAGTTTAAAAATAACCCTCGCTCCGCCTTGTGCCTCCCTGAGGCTCGTGTTCCAATTGCGGAAAGAGGGTAATGGAGAGACAGGGATGGCGGAGGAAAAGAGAACCGAATCCAGGCTGAATGGGCTTGGCTTCCACAGGGGTAGACAAAATGGGATTAGAGAAATTTCTGTTGGCTGTGTGACTTTGTGCTAGTCACTTAATGTCTCTGGGCTTCAGTTTCCCCACATGAAAAATGAGAATCATCCTTGGACCTTCCCTAGGAATTTATTATGAACATTCAATGCCTTGCTCTTCAAAAGTGCTAAATAAGGGACTTAGTTTGGGGCGCCTGGGTGGCTCAGTTAAGCATCTGCCTTTGGGCTCAGGTCGTGATCTCAGGGCCCTGGGATCGAGCCCCGCATGGAGCCTGCTCAGTGAAGAGTCTGCTTCTCCCTCTCCTTCTGCCCCTTCACCCACTCGTGCACGCTCTCTCTCTCTGTCTCAAATGAATAAATAAAATCTTTAAAAAAAAAATAAGGGACTTAGTTTGCTCAGGCTGTTAAGTGGCCAGAGAAGGGAAAGTTGAACTTGAGATACAGAGAAAGTGATGGGGCAAACTAGAAGCCAGGCCTGGAGTACGGAGTGAAAGCAGAAGTGGGGAGACCCTCATCACAAGGGCACTGCCATGTCCTGGAGCATCCTAAGGATTCAGGGGATCAGTCCTGAGTGTTCTTGAGCTGGCATTTACTGAGTACTGAATATATGCTGGGCAGAGGCCTGAGTACCTGTCTAGTTCAGTGGTTCTCAAAGCATGGTCCAACTGGTATCACCAGCATCACCTGGAAACCCAATAGAAATACAAATTCTCAGGTCCCACCAGAGACCTACAGAATCAGAAACTTTGGAGGTGGGGCCCAGCCATCTGTGTGTGTGTGTTTTAAGATTTTTTACTTTTTTTTTTTAAAGATTTATTTATTTATTTATTTGAGAGAGAGAGTGAGAGAGAGAAAGAGCACAGAGGGGGGAGTGGGAGAGGGAGAAGCAGACTCCCCGCCGAGCAGGGAGCCCGATGCGGGACTCGATCCCGGGACTCCAGGATCATGACCTGAGCCGAAGGCAGTCGCTTAACCAACTGAGCCACCCAGGCGCCCTAAGATTTTTTACTTTTAAGTAATCTCTGTTCCCATCGTGGGGCTCGAACTCACAACCCTGAGATCAAGAGTCACCTGCTTCGGGGCGCCTGGGTGGCTCAGTTGGTTAAGCGACTGCCTTCGGCTCAGGTCATGATCCTGGAGTCCCGGGATCGAGTCCCGCATCGGGCTCCCTGCTCGGCGGGGAGTCTGCTTCTCCCTCTGACCCTCCCCCCTCTCATGTGCTCTCTCTCATTCTCTCTCTTTCAAATAAATAAATAAATAAATCTTTAAAAAAAAACAAAAAAGAGTCGCCTGCTCCACCTACTGAGCCAGCCAGGCGCCCCAACAATCTGGGTTTTACAAGCCCTCCAGGGGGTTCCGATGCATGCTCAAGCTTAAGAACCACTGGTCTAGACAGTCTCACTGAGGACTTCCCAGCCCCTCTGAGGAGGGACTATGATTATTCTATTAACAGAGGAAGAAACTGGGGCACGGAGCAATTAAGTGACTTACCTAAGGTCACACAGCCAGAAAAATGTGGCAGTCAGGCCTCCACCACTAAATTGCTGGGTATTATGGGGAGGGGACCCCTTTGCCTGTCAGAGACATGCCAGAGGAGGCTGGAGGAGCGACCCAGGTTAGGGACCCAGCCACCATCGCCCCGGTGAGGACAGGAAAGCAAGCTTGTCCAGGTCATGGGAAGCCTGTTCCAGAAGCTGCGAGGCCCTTACCTGTGGACCATCTGTTCTCCGTAGTGCCTGGAGCGGCCAGGAGGGGTTTAAGAAGCAGGAGGGCCTCCCTGCCCTGCGTCACACTCCCCTCCCCGGGGCAGGGCCCTGCAGGAGCCTGGAGTTTCCAGTCCAGGGGCAGGGGGCAGCAAGGGAGCAACCGTGATAGGACACCAGGAAGAGCCCAGGGAGGACAGAGACACCCAATCTAGGGAGCAAGGAGGAGTGGGGGTGGGGCAGAAGGGGATACAGAGCAGCTGAAACTCCAGAGACAGTGAGGACGAGCCCCAGATGCTCAAACACACAGCCCCGGCCCTAGCAGCTCTGGACTCCCTGAAGTCCTGTTCACTTGGAGACCCCTGCTCCTGCCCCTGGAGCCCGACCCTCTGCCAGCAGCCTTAGTACTCCCCAGCCTTCGCGCGCAGCCAGAGGCCCCCGGGCTTAGGGCGCTGCCGGTCTCCTTGGGGAGGGTCCTCTCACCTCTTGCTGTCTTTCCTGTTCATGTTTCCTGGTCGGGGGAGGGGGTCTTGCAAGAGTCTGGCTCAGTTCTTCCCCCCACCAAGTGCTCCAGCTTCTTAGCCCCTTGGGAGCTTGGGCCTCCTCGGTGCTTGGGAAGGAAAGAGGAACTGCCCCTCCCCACCCAGCCCCAGGCCAGGGGGAAGGAAGAGGCTGGGGAGAGACCAAAGGTCCCCCCTCCCCCACATGGGGATCCCTTCAGGCTGAGGTTTCCGGTGCTGCTGGCCCCCACCCCCAGTCGCCCAGCAGGCTCTCTCTCTATCTCCCCCATCTTTTGGTCTCTAGACCCGTGATTCTCCGTTCTGTCACTGCTGTACTTCAATGAGACTAGGTTTTGTGTGTTTTGTTTTTTTTAAATATGCCTATTATGACACATTTATGTAAAAACATGTACTCAGAAAGTCTATATTTCTCTAAGGATATATTCATGTATCTAATACACAAAGGTTTGAATGGAAAGTCACAAGACATAATACTTTGTATATTTCTTCTTATATTTCTTTTATTCCTGGTTTCATTTTAATAATACCATTTGTATCCCAGAAAACATTTTCACTTTATTATATTTGTTGTAACAAACCCTTACGTAGTGCTTACTGTGTACCACACAATGTTCTAAGAGCTTTTAAAATACTAACTCATTTCATCATCACACAATCTTAAAGACTGTTCTCTTATTATGAAAAACATCATAGATGGAGGGAAACCCTCTGGGGGCCCCTTCCCCCCTTAGGCAGGGGTGACCAATATCACATACTGTTGGGTTTCATTTGATCTGTAGGCTGTGCGTTTGTTTAGGTACATAAATACGTGCTCAAAGAAACGCAGACATTTCTTTTGAGTATGTGTGCTTTTTTTTCTTTTCCTTAAATGTGTCATGCTTGTCATTTGTAAGTTGATGACCAAAAACACAAATCCTAAGTGTTCAGGTTGACGAGTTGTGATAAACTGAGCGTATCTCCGTGACAGTGACAAAATCGAGAAACAACGTTTCCATCCTGCCCAAACTCCCCTGCACAAGCCCCATCCCAGTCCTGCCTCCCAAAAGTTGCCACTAGCCTGATTTCTAGCAGGGTAGTTTTGCCCAGGGTTTGAGTGGCTTATAAATGGAATAATTTATTGTGTCTTTTTCCCCTTAATAATCATGTTTTTGTGATTCTTGCATGTTATACTTGGTTGTTGTTATCCTTTCAGTTCCTGCACTGTGTGACTATTCCACACTTATTGAGCAATTTTCCTGTAATGGACAGGTGAGTTGCTTCCAGTGTGGGGCTATTGTGAAGAAGGCTGCCTGTGAACCTTCTAGCACCTGGTCTTTGGCTGAACGTTCAAGTGTGCAGTCCTGGGAGCACCTGGGTGGCTCAATCGTTAAGTGTCTGCCTTCGGCTCAGGTCATGATCCCAGGGTCCTGGGATCGAGCCCCGCATCGGGCTCCCTGCTCCGCGGGAAGCCTGCTTCTTTCTCCCTCTCCCACTCCCACTGCTTGTGTTCCCTCTCTTGCTGTGCCTCTGTCAAATAAATAAAATCTTAAAAAAAAAAAAAAAAAAAGGAAGTGTGCAGTCCTGTAGATAGATACCCAGGAGTGGAATAAATGGGTCATAGTAATTAATATGCTTCTGCCAAACCTAAGGTGTTAGTCAATTCAACCCGAGCTCTCGTAGAAGTATATTTTTACTCCTTTCTTCTTTTCACTAAAAGAAGTCACCATGGATTTTTTTTTTTTCCACGCCGGAACATTTAGACAAGCACAGAGCTCATGCTGTTTAACTGTTCCATGACATGACCTACTGTATAGTCTCAGGCCCTCTCTCTCTCTTCCTCTCCGCCCCCACCAAGTCTCTGGTGGTGCTGTCCATGATGTGCTGTCTGTCTGTCTCTCAGCCCATCTCCCCAGCACCTGCATCGCACGAGGTGATGTAACACCGCTGGCTGAGCCAAGCTGGTGGTGTCCCCACTCCCCCCACCTCCCCAGCCCCGCCCCCAGGACCCAGAGAAGCCTCAGGAAGGGAGGTCAGTACGTGCGCCCCCCTCGAGGCCTGCAGGGATGGTTACTACCCCCAGTAACACCATCAACCACAAAGGAAAAGGCTTCTGAAGCAAACTACAAAAACTTATAAGGCATATGCATTTGATAATATTAGAATAAAGATTTCTCTCAATGAGGACACCATGGGACAAATAGATGAGATGACAGAGTGGGAACAGGGATTTACAATATCTAAAATCAACGAGAAATTAATCTTTAGAAGGGTGACAGGCACGACTGCAAATCAGCAAGAAAAAGAGACAGCAATCCTGATAGAAACATGGGCCAAGAGTGTGAGCAAATGACCAGGAAACCCCAAGACTCTGATAGGTACCTGAGAGGATGCTGGACATTCTCGGTAACTGATCAAGGAAGTGCAAATTAAAACACCAGTGAGTCATCCCTTTGGTCTGGCAAAGGTTGGAAGTTGGAAAATGTCAAGTGGAGGTTGGGGATGTGGGGCCCTGGGAACTCTGATTCCCAAGGGCCACTTGGCACGACTTAGTCAAATTCAGTTAGCTGCTGGGTGTGTGTACCTGGACATTCGCTCCCAGTCCCGTAAAGGGACATATAAGGATCCTTCTATGAGCTACAGGCAGCCTGGGTGTCACCCCAAGAGGAGAGTAGCCAGGAAGTCCTGCAAAGCCCCCACAAGCCCAGAACAGATGTCCATAGAGCAACACGGATAGGTCTTAAAACACATCATGATGACTGATCAAAAAAAAAAAAAAGAAACGCTATTAATATCTTATGATATAATGCACAATGACACAGAATAATTTTGTTATACATAAATTCTAAGGAAAAATTTAATATTTAATATACAAGCGTGTATGATATATTGTATATAGATAAACATAGTTACATTGCATTGTGTGATTATATTAGCCTAAATATATAATTATATAATTATGCGTTATAAAATTCAAGAATATGATACAAACTCATGTGTTGTATATGACAGTTGTATTAATATATCAATATTTAAGTATATGACACATACCACCAACCTATTATACATTTGACATTTTTTAAGAAAAGATTTATTTATTTTAGATAGAGTGAGCGAGCGCAGGGAGGGGCAGAGGGAGAGAGAAACTTTAGCAGACTCCGCACTAAGTGCAGAGCCCGACATGGGGCTCCATCTCATGACCCTAAGATCATGACCTAAGCCGAAACCAAGAGCTAGAGGCTTAACGGACTGCACCACTCAGGTGCCCCTATACATTTAACTTTTTTTTTAAATTTAAATTTTATTTTTATTATTTTTTAAAGATTTTATTTATATATTTGACAGAGAGACACAGCGAGAGAGGGAACACAAGCAGGGGGAGAGGGAGAGGGAGAAGCAGGCTTCCCGCAGAGCAGGGAGCCCGATGCGGGGCTTGATCCCAGGACCCTGGGATCATGACCTGAGCCGAAGGCAGACGCTTAACTGACTGAGCCACCCAGGTGCCCCTATACATTTAACATTTGATGTATAATTTTTTTTTAAAGATTTTATTTATTTACTTGACAGAGAAAGATACAGCGAGAGAGGGAACACAAGCAGGGGGAGTGGGAGAGGGAGAAGCAGGCTTCCCGCGGAGCAGGGAGCCCGATGCGGGGCTCGATCCCAGGACCCCAGGATCATGACCTGAGCCAAAGACAGATGCTTAACGTCTGAGCCACCCAGGCGCCCCTGATGTATAATTTTATTGGACTGCAAGATATTGTTTTGTATAACTTAAGAGATACCATTACATGTTAATAATTTTAATATTATCAATAAGTTACCTGTATCAATAAGTTACCATATCATAGGCTCTAAAAGGTTTTCTCGTGACCCCTACCCCCAGCCCCATGTAGGGACTCTTCTAAATTAGCCCAACTGACAGATGAAGAAACTGAGGCCCAGAGGCACAAAATTGTATGCTGGCAGGAGTCCCAGGTATGTTTGGTGTCCTGCACTGGGCCTCCAAGCCTCACAGCGGCCTGTTTTAGGAAACTGCAGAGGCCGATTGTCCAAGCTCCACAGCCACACTCCCCAGAGCCGGTGGGGGACCCAGGGGAGCCATTGTGCCTTCAGGCCATGGAGGGCCCTAAGCAAGAAAGCAAGAAGGAGCTGCTTACCCCTCTCAGGTCTCCCCTGTTGACAAAACCCATGGAGCTCATCTGCATAAAGGGGTGGCCCAGCTAGTGGCCTTCAGTGGCTCAGGCAGCCGCTGGGGAGAAGGAGGGTTAGAACTCTGGTGGTGGGAGGGTCGTGGGGGTGGGGAGGAAGGTGGCCCTTAGGAATGGGTTTTTGTTATAATTAGATTTTATTATATATCAAGACAATAAAGTGGAATGGGTAAGAACCCTAGCACTGGGTTCAGATCCTTTGCTCAGCCTCTGTGTGACCCCGGGGAAGTCACTCTACCTCACTGTCCTCAGCTTTCCTCATCTGTAAAATGGGCACCATAAGTCTACTGATTTCATTCATTCTGGTCCTTAAAATTAAACATGGTAAGGACCATGCATTTTTATTTCCTCCTCTAAATAATGTGATAATAGCAGGATTGTCCTGACAACTAAATGAGATGCAGTAAAAATATCTTTGTTTGGGGCCTCAAATACAACAGGCACACAAAAGATGTCTGCTATGGCTATTATTCCTGCCTCAAAAGATTTTATAAAGGTGATGATGATGATGATGATGATGTAAGCAACACTTAATAATAACATTTCCTATGCATTGGTACTCTTTAAGTGCTGTAAATAAATTATCTCATTTAATCCTTGCAAAGGGCCTGTGAGGTAGGTATTATTAATTTCTCCTTACCAGTTGGGGAAACTGAGGCACAGAGCAGGGATGTGACTTGTCCAAGGACACATAAGGGAGTGGCAAGCCTGGGATTCAGATCCAGACTATCTGGCTCAGAGTCCTTGCTTTTAATCACTAAGTATGGTGCTTTTTAAATTTGGGAGACCTTGATGTGCATCCCAGCTCCACTGTATGGTATCAAGCAGAGGCTTCCCAGCTCAGAGCCTCAGTTTGCTCTCTGTGAAATGGGAGAATGACCTTCCTTACCCTAGAGGTGCAGAGGGGGCAGCTACCTTCCAGACGCTCCCCCTACAACCTCCCATGCCACCTACGCGTACCTCCGGCCAAGGTTTGGGGCCTGAGGGTGGGGCTCTGGTGAGGGGGCGTGGCCTTGGACGCTCTGGCCCAATGGGAACCGGGGGGGGGCAGGGACCTCCTCCCAGCTCTGTCCAGCAGGCGAATCCTCCTCGCAGTTCCATCTACCTCCCGGGTGCCCCAGAGGTCTCCGATCCCAGCCCACCCCCAGCCCACCCGCCCAGCCTGCAGCCCCCTCCTCCTATTCCCCGACCTCAGCCTGCGCCCCTCGGGCCTCGACATCATGGGTGACGGAGGAGAGGGTGAGGATGAGGTCCAGTTTCTGCGCACGGTGCGTATCTCTGTGTTAGGGGGTCTCTGGGGCTATCTCTCGGGTCCCTCTGAGTGTCTCCTTGTCTCCGGATGTCTCTGTACTGATCGCTGGTGGCCTTTGAGTCTCAGGGTCTATTCTTCTGTCCCTTTGGGTGACCGTCACTCTATCTTTCTCCTTTTTTGTCTCTCAGTCTCGCTCACCTTTCTCACCATAGAGAATTAGAAGACTTTGGGACTGCAGAATGGGGAGGGGGATTTTCGGCCACTCTCTCTTCTGACATTAGCTATTTGTCCCAGAGAAGAGGGGTTAGCTGAAGGAGCACCCCCCTCCCACCACCCTGGAAGCCGGCACTTGGGGAAGGTGGTTCTAATTCCCGAGCTTAATTTAGCTGTTCTCCCTGCCCCCCGCCCCCACACACCACCTAGCCTACTTCTCTTTTGCTCCAGACTCTGACCTAATTTAAATTTTGGGAACGGGGCTGGGGTGGTCTGGAGGACCTAACTTCTTTGAACTTCCAGCCCTTGAGGGTCTCCTGAGGGGACCCTCGGTTCTGGGTCTTCTTTCTTCCCTCCCCTCTTTTGGGTAGGAGGGCCAAATATGGCTGCTAAAGGTCTCTGGGTAGTGTCTCTCCCTATCCATCTCTTTGGGTTGTCTCTGTCTTGCTGTCTCTCCATCTCTGTCTCTCCCTGTCTCTGTCTTTGTTCTTTGGCTTTAGGCCTTCTGCATTTTGTTCTGCCTCCCTAGCTCTGTCTCTCCTGGCATCTCTGGTCCCCTACTGGGGGGCAGGGATGAGAATTGGAACAACAGGTGTCCCTCCCAGAATAGCCAGCTTTTCTGGGGCCTGGGCAGGGGACAGGGAGAGGGTGTGTGTGTGGGGGGGAGGGGCTGCCCAACTCAGAGTCCTTCCCACTTTTCCCTGCCAGTGGCTGAGTGTATGGGAGGGGATGTTCTCTCCTCTGGGCCAGGTCTGCTGACCCTGCGCTAGCCCCTCCCCTCCTCCTCCCAGGCCCTGGGAAATGCTGACACAGCATTCCGGGGCCCCAGAATAGGACCCTGGTGAGCTGGGTCAGATTTCCTGGGAGGGAGGAACAAACAGCTGGGGCTAGTAGTGAAGGATAGGGACAGCTGGTCATTCGGCCACAGGAGGAGGCCTAGCTTCACCCTAGACTCTTGCCCCAGCTCCAGCGCCTTAGCAGACACCATGGGTTGGGCTCTCCCCTCCTCCCCGGCCCTAATAAGACCATGGCCATGGTATTAGCCTTGAGCAGCCGCTCTACGTCAGGCCCCATGCCCAGGGCCTTGGTCTCCTGAGACATCTAATTATATCCTCGCCTACCCTATCTTCTGAGGTAGGGCCCTATCTTTATCTCCCTGGGAGATTTGAGGGAAACCAAGGCCTGAGTGGTAGAGTCACTTGCCCAAGGTCAAGGCCAGAAAGTGTCATCTCTGGATGCCCCTGGGACCCACCCAGTGGAGAACTGACCTCAGATTTGCCAGGTTAACCTGTGCTGGGGTCTACAGCTCTGGCCCTGGCATCTCTTGGCCCCAGACTAGGTCTGTTTTCCTGAACTTTATTGGAGGTGGTGTGGTATTCTTCTCACACTTTTTGGACCTCATCCCACCAGTCAGAAATACATTTTATCTTGCAACCCAGCGCATGCAAATACACACGTATATTATTTTTTTTTAAGATTTTATTTATTCATTTATTTGAGAGAGTGAGAGAGAGAGAGAGAGAGCACACGAGAGGGGGGAGGGTCAGGGGGAGAAGCAGACTCCCTGCTGAGCAGGGAGCCCGATGCGGGACTCGATCCCAGGACTCCAGGATCATGACCTGAGCCGAAGGCAGTCGCTTAACCAACTGAGCCACCCAGGCGCCCACACACATATATTATTTTTAAAACCCAACTTTATTGAGGTATAATTGACATGCAATAAATTGTACCCATTTTAGGTGTCCTAGTTCAGTGAGTTTCGAAAAACTACACACGCATGAAACCACCGTCATAAGCAAGACATAGAACATTTCCTTTACCCCAGAAAGTTCCCTCTTGCTCTTTGCAGTACTCACCCTGTCTGTTTGCTGTATGTCACTGGTTTCCATTAGGCACTTGGAGGGTTTCATATGTAGTATATGCTCCTTTGCCTTGCTTCCTTTGCTCAGCCTATTTTTGACATTTATCCACATGGCATGTGTCAAGAGTTTATTTCTTTTTGTTGCCGAGTGGTACTGCACTGTGTCAATGTGCCACAATTTGTTTCTCAGTTCACCTGCTGATGGACATTTGGGTTGCCTCCCAATTCGTGCGATTATAGACAAGTTGGGTGCATTCACACACATCTAGTTTTTCCTGGAAACAGGTTTCATAAAATGTAGGGAGCCCTTAGAACAGGGGGGGCATGTTACTATGTTCTGCTCTACTTCATTTCAGTTTTTAAGCATGGTGGCCATGCTCCCCCCCCCAAAAACGAATTCATTTCCGTTTGATGGGTGGTGACCTCTAGCCCTGCCTAGGTTGGAGTTGCTCAAAGCATGGCCCACGTCAGAGCCTCCTGGATGCTGGTAATGGTCAGGATTCCCCGCTCACCTCACCCCAGAGCCACTGACTCATGCCCTTGGTGTTGGGTGGGAAATTAAGGCAGCAAGGGACCTGCATTTGTAACCAGGTCACCTCCGTTCATGCTGCTGCAGGAGGAAGTTAGAGGATCTTGGTGTAATGATTAGGCCTCCAGTCTCTGGCTGATATCCTGGTTTGCCATTTGCTTGCTTCCTAACTTTGGGCAAGTGATTTGAAGTTTTCTCTCTGAGCCTCAGTTTCCTAATCTGGAAAATAGGGGCAAAAGTAGGTACCATAATGATTCAAGGGGCTCCCTGCAAACTCTCCCTGAGCTCATCTCCTCCCGCTTTCTCGCTCCTTCTGCCAACTGCCTCCTGCTATTCCTCAGCACCCACGTTGGCTCTCTCCAGCCACAGGCCTCGGCACAGGCTGCCCGGCTTCCAGAACGTTCTTCCCCCAGAGATGAGCAGGCCGGATCCCCTTCTTGTTAGTCAGACAAAGCACAGCTCAAATGTCACCTCCTTGGAGAGGCTGCCACTTCACCCCCTCACTGATGTCATCCCTACCCCTAAAGCCACTCTATTACATCAGCCTGGGTTGTTTCATAATACTGGTCACTGACGTGAAAATTATGAACCTATCCCTTTGCGTATTGTGAGTGTCCCCCACGAGGATGGCGCCCCATGAGGACAGGGACTTTGCTTTATTCGCTGCTCTATATCTGGTGCCTAGATCAGAGCCTGGCTGCAGGTGCTACCCAATAGCTATCCGCCGAAGGAACATAAAGCCCTGAGCGTAAAGCCGGGCAGATAGTAAGTGCTTAATACATGCAAGCTGTCTAACCCTCTGAACACACAAGTGCCCTGCATGTGCCGGGAGGTCGGGGTTGGAGGTTACAGAGCAGATCAGACCTCTCCTTCTTCCCTGGCTGAGCAACCGACGGGGGGCTGCCCGTGTGCTCAGGAGCCAGGGACTGGAGCGAGTTTGTGTGATATGCTGGATGGAGGGGCTGGAGGCTGTGGGACCTCAGGCGGGACACCGAACTTCCTTGAGCCTGTTTTCTCAGCTGTGGAAGGAAATAACCACTGCCTTACTCAATGGTTAAGAGCTGAGGTCTCTATCACTTCTGACTGATGTCAAAGTGTTGGGCATTCCCCCGTGCACACGTATATTAGTTATAACTGTAGATAGGGGCTACTTTACTAATGTATGAAGAGGTGGTCTACTGTTCTAAGAGTGTGGCATATAGAGCCACGGCGTGGGGATCAAATCCCAGCTCAGCTGCAGGACAGCTGTGTGACCTCAGGCAGCTTACTTGACCTCTCTGTGTCTCAGTTTCCACAGGTTCACATCATAGAACTTAACGTCAGAGGATTCAGCAGTGAGTTCATATGTGTTAAGTTCTTGGAATGGGACCTGGCACATAGAAAATACCCTATTTCACTTAAAACTTTAGCTTATAACCTTGAAATCATTTCCAGCTTAGAGCAGAGTTGCAAGGTTACTTCGAAGAACTCCCGCGTGGCCGTAAGTCATTTCCCCCACTTGTTACGATTTGGCACATTTGCTTTATCTCTCTCCCCCGCCCTCCCTCTGTGCACATTTCCCCCCTCAACTGTTTGAGGGTAAGCTGTGGACATGATACTTAAGTCCTAAAACACTTCAGTGTCTGTTTCCAAAGGAACAAGGGCAGTCTCCTCTTACAAAACCACAGGACAGTCATCAACCTCAGGAAATGTAGCCTTGCTCGGATGCCATTATCTGTCACGGTCCTGGTCCGTCTTTCACCAGCGGTCACCAGGAAGGAGTCCCTTGTGGCCTGTCCAGGATCCAGCCTGGGCCCCGGCATTGCATTCAAGTGTCATTAGAAAGCACTCCTTGGGGTGACTCTTGGTATCAGTTCAGGTCTTGATCTTAGGATCGTGTGTTTGAGCCCCGCGTTGGGCTCCATGCCGGGTTTAGAGCCTACTTAAATTAAAAAAAAAAAAAAAGAAAGAAAGAAAAAGAAAAAGAGAGAAAGCACTCCTTTATTGATAGCTTTTACCGAAACAATACACCAAAGAGAAATTAGAGAAGGCTGAGCTTAAAAGCCATTGAAATTGGGGGGTTTATAGTTTCCACCTCCAGTGGCTCACCTTGCAGACCCCACTGGAGCCAGTAGGACTGGGGTTCAAATCCCAGCTCCTCGCCTTAACAGCTGTGTGGCCTTGGACAAGCTATGCCCCCTCCTTGAGCCTCAGTTTCCCCATTTGAAAATGGGGATGACTAGCTTCTGTCCCATGGGATGTTAAAAGTGTGTGGAGCCCTCAGCATGGGCCCCCATGTGACACTTTGTGAGCTGGTATTATCAGTCGCCGTCTCTTTCGTGAGAAGGGTAGGGTGACGGTCTGCAGTGTCTGCGGGAGCCCTGACCCCGTGGCCTGCCCACAGGATGACGAAGTGGTCCTTCAGTGCAGCGCCACCGTGCTCAAGGAGCAGCTCAAGCTCTGCCTGGCCGCCGAGGGCTTCGGCAACCGCCTCTGCTTCCTGGAGCCCACCAGCAATGCCCAGGTCAGTGTGGGAGTGTGGGGGGGTCTGAAGGGGCAGAGTCTAGGGTCCAAAGAAGAGGGGTCTGGGTCTGAAGAGGGGGTGCTGACAGGAGAGCAAACAGAGAGGCGCTAAGAAGGAAAAGGGGGCTGGAGGTCCGAGACAGGGAGTGGAGGTCTGAGAAGGGAGAGCAGGGGACCTGGGCAGGGGGAGTCTGAGGGGATGGAGGATCTTGAGTTCAAAGAAGAGGGGATCTGGAGGCGGCTGCTGATGGGAGACAAAATGGGGACTTGAAAAGAAAAGGGGGCTAGAGGTCTGAGGTAGGTAGGGGTGGAGGTCTTCGGAGGAAGGGGCAGAGGCTCAGGAGTCTCAGGAGGCAGGTGTTTAAGGGGGCAGAGGGCCTTGGATCCAAAGCAAAAGGGCCTGCAGGATTGGGGGATGCTAGCAGGATAGGGGGTTGCTGACTGAGGAGGGAGTTAGAAGCTGAGAGTGGAGGGAGCCCAGGTCTGAGGGTGAGGTGGACTCAGGGTCTGAGAGTGGAGGTGACCTGGGGGCTGGGAAAGGGAGGGGACATGGAGTCCGGTGGTGGAGGAGGCCGAGGGTCTGAGGGAGTCAGAGAGTCTTGGGTCCAAGGGGGAGGATGCTCCGGAGTCTGAGGTGACTGGGTGGGAGACTGAGGAGGAAGGCACAAGGTTGGACCCTGCTGTGATTTGGAAGCAGTGTTCAGTGTCTGAGGAGGGAGGCAGGAATTGGGGCTCTCTGATGGTGATTGCAGGGGTGGGGCTTCCTGGGGGGTTGCAGAGGTTTGGGCTATCTGCAGGGGAAGGCATGGCGTTGGAGCAGGTGCAGGAGAGGGCTGAGGCTTGCTCTGAGATTAGGTGGGCTGTGGGGTACTCAGGTGGGGAGGGTGGTGTGGAAGCTTCTGTGAGGTTCGGGTGGGGTTTAGGTGTTCGAGGGAGGAGGCATGTTTCCTGTGATGTTGGTATAGATTCAGGGTATCTGAAGGGGAGGCAGAGTGCAGGGGCTTCTTGGGGGATTGGGGTCAGGTCTGGGTCCGTAAGGGGTGTGGGTATTTAGACCAGCGCTCAGGGGCCTTCAGGCACCCCCCTCACATCTTCCCACCCCCAGAATGTGCCCCCCGATCTGGCCATCTGTTGCTTCGTCCTGGAGCAGTCCCTGTCGGTCCGAGCCCTGCAGGAAATGCTGGCCAATACCGTGGAGGCTGGCGTGGAGGTGAGGCTCCCGGCCCAGGCGGGGGCAGGGCCAGGGCTGGGTGGGAAGACCTGGGGCTTGTTCACCATCTGCTCTTCTTCCTCTCTCCACCCCGCCCCCCACAGGCCCTCAATTTGGATAAGTGGGTAGGTCTGGCCTTGGGTGTCACCTTGTCCTTCCCACCTCTCCTGACCCCAGGCCCGCCTCTTGGGCGCACATCCTGCACACAGGGGCTGGGGGCCTCCCCCACCCCAGTTGTCAGGGGCTGTGGAGTCCACACAGGCCAGGCAGGAAGGAAGGAAGGGCGTGGGGGCTTCTGAGCCCCCATGCCCCCGCCTGCTCCTTTCTTCTCTTTCCCATCCTTTCCTCCAACCCTGATCCCAGCTCTTCTCTGCATGGGACCTCCCCTCTCGCCTCCCCCTGTTCCAAGTGTGGGTCCCTTCCACTCTAGGAGTAGGTCGGCCATGTGATCATGGGGCCCCATCACATGGCCCCCTTAGAGCATGGGCATGTGAGAGCCAGGATGGGAGGCATGATGCCATCGAGAGACCGGGTGACCCCCTCCCCCAAGGAGGGGCAGAGTCTCCTTGTGCTTGGGGGGGGGGGGGGTGTGGCAGCACAGGGCGGGTCCCTGTGGGGAGGTTCAAAGATTTAACGACTGGTAGGACTACACTGGTGCATACCGGCTGCAACTCAGCTGCGTTAGGACAGGTTACAGCAAAAGGGGCCAAGGCCCATGGTATATGAGGTATTGGGGCTTCCCTGGGAGTCCCCAGGCAACTGGAACAGGGGTTCAGCCTCCCTGAGGGATTCTGGGGCCTGGTTAACAAGATGAAGGGGGCAGGGAGGACAGAGTGGGCTTTGGGAAATATAAAACGTCCTATCCACAGGCTTCTCAGAGACACAGCCCCTACTTCCATGAATGGGGGAACTGAGGCGAAGAATCTGTTGAGGGTCTGAGCTAAGGCTTCCTCGTGTCCAGGCCTGAGCATGCTACTTTATGGGGAGCATATTGCCACCTGGGATAGGCCAGATGCCTTGGGGGCTTCTGTACTCACTCTGTGCCCTCTCTCCCGCATCGTCCCCCCGCAGTCGTCCCAGGGCGGGGGCCACAGGACACTCCTGTACGGCCATGCCATCCTGCTCCGGCACACACACAGTGGCATGGTGAGTGCCCGAGCGAGGGCGCGTGGGCAGGGGCAGGGGACGCAGGGCCCGCCGGAGGAGGCTGACTCCCCTCTACAACCCTAGTACTTGAGCTGCCTTACCACCTCCCGCTCCATGACTGACAAGCTGGCCTTCGACGTGGGACTGCAGGAAGATGCCACAGGTGCGGCGCTGGAGGGGGGACGGTGGGGATGGGGAGACTCCCGGCAGGGGCCGGGCTGCAGGAGGTGCAGGACTGGGGGAGCAGGGATGTGGGGACAAGGGCAACTTGGGTCAGCATGGGGGAACCCTAGACAGAGGGTCTGAGGGCAGGAATGGAGGACGTGAGGCAAAATGTAGGTAATAGGAGATGATAGGAGGATTTGGGACAGAGGGTTGGGGAGGCTCTGTGGCTGGGAAGCCCTTGGGGAAGGGCATTCTGGGTAGCTCTCATTCTGACAGCTTGCCCCCCACCCCAGGAGAGGCCTGTTGGTGGACGATGCACCCGGCCTCCAAGCAGAGGTCGGAGGGAGAGAAGGTCCGCGTTGGGGATGACCTCATCCTCGTTAGTGTCTCCTCAGAGCGCTACCTGGTGAGCAATCCCACCCCCAGCCCAGCTACGGCTGCCCCAGGGCTGAGGGGCCCCCCCGGGACCGCCCACCTCCTCATCCTCCGTTTGTGGGCTCTCTGGTCACCACGTCCCGACTCCCGATTCCAAGTTTCCTGACCTCTGGCATCCACTTCTGGTCTTTGGTGCCCCATGGCCCAGTTGGATCTTGGTTTCCTGATCTGTGATCTCTGATTTTCTGTCTCCTGTCTGCCGCTTTCCCGGCTTCCGCCTTTGGTTTCTGGCATCTGACTCTGGAACTGTTGCTCACCCCACCATCGTCTCTGACTGCCACATCCTGGCTGCACCCAGCACCTGTCCACGGCCAGTGGGGAGCTCCAGGTTGATGCCTCCTTCATGCAGACACTGTGGAACATGAACCCCATCTGCTCTGGCTGTGAAGAGGGTGAGGGTCCCAGACCTCATGCCCCTAGATTAAGACCCCCAAAACAGACTTCCCACATTGCCCCTCAAACATGTCCATACTGAGCCTTGGAACCTCAGACCCCAAACCTAGATCTCCAAATTATGACCCTCATACTTAGATGTCCAACTGACCCCAAATCCAGAACGCTGGAGCTCAGACCCCAAACCCCAAACTCAGTATCAGCCACCCGAATCCAGACCCCAAAGCTCACATGCCAAACTCAGGCACTGGAGGTCAGTCAGACCCTTAAACTCAGATCCAAAGCTGAAAATATCACATTTGGAGCTTATCCTTCAGACGCCCAAGCCTCAGATGACAAGCACAGATGGAGACCTCAGCTCCCCACACTCAGACCCCCAAATTCAAACCCAGATACCCAAATACTCAAACCAACACCTCTAATTCAGACCCCAAACCTCAGTCAACTGACCTCAGACTTCCAAGTTTTAACCTCAAATATCTAAAATCATCTTCCAAATTCAGACCCTCATGCTAGGACCCCACAGCATGACCCCAAAACTTTGACCCCAACTCTCACACCCAAACCTCAACCCAAGCTGAGACTCAGACCACAGATCCTGAAACTCAGGCCTTAATCTCAAACGCACCAGCTTCTGACTCCAAAGCCCAGATCTAACTTCAGACCCCAAACCTCAGATACCAGCCTTGGACCTCCAAAATCAACACTCAAAGTCCAGACCCTAGCCTCAGACTCAACCATCACACCTCTAACCCCAGACCCCAAATCAAGCCTTGGAACTCAGAGCCCAGTATCTGGGAACATGAGACTCAAACCTCTGATCCCAACCTCAAAAATCCAAACTCAGACCCACAAACCCCCCAACGTCAGCCCTGTACACTCAGACCCCCAAACTTAGATTCCCCACCTTAGACCCTAAATCTCATACCCCCACTTCAGACCTCAAACTTAGCCCAAATCTCAGACTGCATGGCAGTCTGATTTCAGAGATCCTGAAACTCAGATCTCTAACTGCAGACCGCCCCAAACCCAGTCCCAGTCTCCCACAGGGGAAAAGCAGGACCCCTGGATTCCACTTTGGCTCCCGGGCCCCTCCAGGTCTCCAGCCCCGCAGTGACCTCTTTCCCTTGCTCCTCTCCAGGCTATGTGACCGGGGGCCATGTCCTCCGCCTCTTTCATGGACACATGGATGAATGTCTGACCATTTCCCCCGCTGACAGTGAGGACCAGCGCAGGTCTGGGATGGGGACAAGAGGCCCTGGGGTGTTGGGGTATGAGGGGGGGAACACAGAGGTAGGCCAGGGGGGATAGCACCCTGTGGGTGGGGTTGGGGATCACATTCTGGGGGGCTGGTGACTGAACCCCTGACCTCACTCTCTCTCGTGCCCCCAGACTTGTCCACTACGAGGGGGGAGCTGTGTGCACCCACGCCCGCTCCCTCTGGAGACTGGAGCCACTGAGAATCAGGTGGGGGGTTTGGGGCTGAGAGCTCCTGGGGGGCCTGGGAGGGGAGAGAGGGTCTTGAAGATCTGAGAAGGAAACTGGAGTGTTGTGAGGGAAAATCTGAGGAGCCCGAGACGGTGAGGAGGGTCTTCAGGGTCCTCGAGTCCTGGAGGAAAAGGACTTAGGGGAGGGTGGGCATTCCTGAGGGAGAGATTGGGGGTCCCCAGTAAAAATGCGAGGAGACGCCCCGCCCCCCCGCAGGAAGACTGGGGGCTTGATGAGGTTTGGACCAAGACTGTGGTGTCCACGGGAGGGCTGGGGGAGTCCTCTGACCCTCCGTGCCCCCACCCTTCACAGCTGGAGTGGAAGCCACCTGCGCTGGGGCCAGCCACTCCGTATCCGGCATGTCACCACGGGGCGGTACCTGGCGCTCACCGAGGACCAGGGCCTGGTGGTGGTTGATGCCAGCAAGGCCCACACCAAGGCCACCTCCTTCTGCTTCCGCATCTCCAAGGTTGGTGGGGGGCCAGGGTGCCCTCCCTCACTTGGAGCCCCGAATCTGGCCCCATCCCCCACTCCACAGGCTCTTGGGCGGGGGGGGGGCTCCCTGATTAAATGCACAGGCAGAGGAGGCTGACCTCTGTCCCTTGCCCCTGCAGGAGAAGCTGGATACGGCCCCCAAGAGGGATGTGGACGGCATGGGTCCCCCTGAGATCAAGTATGGGGAGTCACTGTGCTTCGTGCAGCATGTGGCCTCGGGCCTGTGGCTCACCTACGCCGCCCCAGACCCCAAGGCCCTGCGGCTTGGTGTGCTTAAGAAGAAGGTGGGCGCCTGGTGAGGGGAAGGGGTGGGGGTGTCGGCAGGGGCGCAGGAAGGGGACTGGGCGGTGGTCATGCTTGAGCCTTTGGGAGTTTGAGGGCAGGACTGAGAGAGAAACTGAGATTGAGAGAGACAGGAAAGAAGAAAGAGGGATAGACGGATAGAGAGGCGGAGAAGGAGAGAGATACAGAGACAGAGAAAGGCAGAGACAAAAAGACATGGAAACAGGGACGTGTACGTGGTTCAGTCGGTTAAGCATCTGCCTTTGGCTCAGGTCATGATCCCAGGGTCCTGGGATCGAGCCCTGCTTCGGGCTCCCTGCTCAGCAGGGTGTCTGCTTCTCCCTCTTCCTCTGTGTGCACGCTCTCTCTCTCAAATAAATAAATAAATCTTAAAAAAATAAAAAAGACATGGAAACAGAAAAACAGAGAAAGACAAAGACAGAGAAGGAGAGATGGAAAAGACAGACAGAGACAGAGACAGTGACAAACAGACCAAGAATAACATTTGGCAAATTATTGAGTACCCCAGTTGTTCTGGATGTGTGTGTGGAAAAGTAGGTGAGACATGGTGAATAAACTGAGACATGATGAATAAACTGCCTTTAATGAAGTACATAGCCACTCTGGAACGAGGGCACAGCATGTGCAAAGGCCCTGAGATTGGAATGAGATTGGTTTGTTGCAGTACCAGAAAGAAGATCCAGTTTGGCTGGAGCACAGAGATTGAGGGATGAGTCTTGGAAGATAAGGACAGAGAAGAGATACGAGCCAATCATGTGGGGTCTTGTGGGCCATGGGGAGGGTCCCAGGTTTTACCCTTAGTGAGATGGAGCCCCAAGAGCGTTTTGAGCAGGCCAGCGAGGTGACCTGACTCAGGTTCACGTGGTTCCTTAGCTGCTTGTAGGGTGGGGGTGAGGAGCAGAGCTGGAGTAGGGAGCCCAGGGAGGCGACTGTTGATATGGTCAGGTGGGACAAAACAGTGGCAGGACTAGGGTGGGGACTGTGGAGTAGGGAAGGTGGCAGATTCTGGTTGTATTCTGAGGGTGGAGCCAACAGGATTTTCTGACAGACTGGATATCGAGAGAGCGGTTGAGGATGATGCCATGATTTTTGCCCTGAGCAACTGGAAGGATGGAAGTGCCATTAACTGAGTCGGGGACAGTCAAGTGTCCGCTCAGGATGACAGGGATCCAGGGTCTAGAACAGAGCCCCTCGATAAAGAGTGAATGAATTAGAAGAGTAGGGAGACACCCGTTCGCAGAAAACGAGGCTTGTAGTCGGATACCTGATGGGAGGATGTCGAGACAGGCCCAAAGGGAACTGTGGGAGCTGTCAGCAGTGGTTAAGCATCTGCCTTTGGCTCAGGTCATGATCCCAGGGTCCTGGGATCAAGACCTGCTTCGGGCTCCCTGCTCAGCAGGGTGTCTGCTTCTCCCTCTTCCTCTGTGTGCACGCTCTCTCTCTCAAATAAATAAATAAATAAAAAGAGAGAGAATGGAAGAGTCAGGTGAAGAGGGATAGAAGGTGGTGTCCTGCAGAGAGACTCAGTGGAGGACAGGGGGCAGCTCTGGGGCTAGTCTGGATGGAGGTCTGCGGGCATCGCCGTTGGTGGCCCAGCCCACTCCCGACCTCTCTGTCCTCCCACTGCCAGGCCATGCTGCACCAGGAAGGCCACATGGACGACACGTTGTCACTGACCCGCTGCCAGCAGGAGGAGTCCCAGGCTGCCCGCATGATTTACAGCACTGCTGGCCTGTACAACCAGTTCATCAAGTGAGCCACCTGCCCACTCTGCACCCCCGGTGCCAGGCCCCACCTTGACCCCCAAGCTCCTGGTAGTCATACACCTGACCCCTTTAATCTCTACCGCTGACATCCACACCCCTAACATGCACAGGATCCCTAACCTCTAAGCCTCTGACCTCTATACACTTGACCCCTAATCTGACCTTGATAACCATGATTTTGACCTCACATCCCTGATCACCGCTGACACGCAGACCCTTGATCCTGGAGCTCCCCAGCCTAACACCTGCCTCCACGACCCCCTGTGCTTACACAGGCGTGAGTCCCAGTCCTGGCCCTGTCCTTGGCCACTGTGTGACCTCAGGCCAATGTCAGTCGCAGTCTCCCCCTCTGTGAAACAGGTGTGTCCATGAGAGTTCTCCGGGGGCCAGGGGGTAGGACTCGCGAGCGCCGCAGGATAGCGCTCGGGGCTCATTGCTGACAAGTGCGCCGTCCCCACAGGGGCCTGGACAGCTTCAGCGGGAAGCCGCGGGGCTCGGGGCCGCCAGCTGGCACAGCGCTGCCCATCGAGGGTGTCATCCTGAGCCTGCAGGACCTCATCGGCTACTTCGAGCCGCCCTCCGAGGAGCTGCAGCACGAGGAGAAGCAGAGCAAGCTGCGCAGCCTGCGCAACCGCCAGAGCCTCTTCCAGGAGGAGGTGAGGCCGCGGCGGGGGGCGGGGCCCGTGGACGCGGGTGGGCGGAGCCTGAGGGAGGGGCGGTGCCGCGGCGCCGGGCGGGGCGGGGCCTGAGGGACCGGGGAAGTACGTAGTGGTCTGAGAGCCTGCGGGGCGGGTCGCAGGCCGCGGGGACAAGCGAGGGGGCGGGGCCTTGAGGAGGGGCGGGGATTTGGGTTGGTAGGCGGAGCCTTGAGGGAGGGGCAGGGCGTTGGGCAGGGCGTTTGGCAGGGCAGGGGCGGTGCCTGTGAGAGCGAGACGCAACCAGAACGCAGGGGGCGGGGCGGGCCTTGCTCCTTCACCCGGGGAGGGGGGCGGGGCCTAAGTGAAGCCTTGTGCAGAGAGGCTAGGCCTGTGGAGGCTGTCAGGACCGGAAGAAGTCAGAGGATGAGGCTGTGGGAGTCAGGAGGCTGTGTCTGTTGGGGCTTGGCCTGCAGTTGGGGGCACCGAACCAGAGTGGAGCATGGGGGTAGGGGCAGGGCCAGAGGTGGTTCTTTGAGCATCAGTGACCTCAGTGCAGGGAGGGTCCTCAGTTGCAGTCAGGGGCTGGGGGTCCGTGTGTTTCGAGAGCACGAGGGGAAGAGATGTGGAGGGGCCTCCGTTCAGCACCGGGTCTGAGTGAGGGGGACCGAGCCGGGTGGCAGGAGGGGACTGGACAAAGGTCTGATGGCTCCACAGGGTGATGGGGGAGCATGTTCACTTAAATGCTAACGACCTGGCCCTTCTCCCGTCCAGGGACTCCCAGTCTGATCCAGAAATGATAATAGTAACAATAACAAAACTTATGGAGTGGAATTAGTATATGCCAAGCCTGGTGCTAGCACAGAGCGGGTGCTATATAAGTGTTGGTGGTTATTATTACCTTGAATTTAGGCTTTATTATGTGCTAAGGGTGCCATATACATGACATCCTCCTGATAACCCCATGGGGGGTGTAATTCCCATATTACGAATGGGTCACTGAAGCTCTGAGAGACGAGATAACAGCCGTCTACCCTGTGGTGGTTTTTTTTTGTTGATTTCGCCGTTTCAAGTGGCCCCCAAGTTTAGTGCTGGAGTGCTGCCTAGTGTTCCTGAGCGCAAGACGCTGTGATGTGCCTTACAGAGAAAATAAATGTTACATAAGCTTCATTTAGGCATGAGTTATAATGCTGTTGGCCATGAATTTAATGTAATGAATCAACAATATGTATTAAACCAGTGTCTTTAAACAGACACACATATAAAGCAAGAGGATGTATTGATCGTTTGACAAAAATGTTGTGACTCAGCGAAACTCCCTGTTTGGTTCAGTATTTGCTAACTGTTCATGGTGATTTTAAAGAACCTAACTAGCACGAATAACAAGAACTGACTGTATATGTTTTATATGCCTCTCTGTATGTCTGTTATAATTCACGATAAAAGAAGACAAAGATGAAAATGTAAAATGTGAAAAAATCTCTCTGATGGTTGGTGTGGAGAGTGAGCTGGGTCACACAGGACCCGAGTGGGGTGCTTGGAAGTGGGTGGGATGGAAAGACAACTTCAGGAAGGAAAAGCACAAAGTCAGTCCTGATGTTAATAAGGATGTATTATGTTGGGGACAGCGGCAGAGAGGACAAGGACAGATGTGGGGAGCTGAGGAGGAGAGGAGGGTGATGGGAGTGGAGGGGAACATGGAGCTAAGGGCGTTGGATCTGGGGACATAATCACTGGTTGTTGAAGTCAGATGAATTTACAAATCCAAGAAAAGCAAGGAAGGGAGGGCCTGGGACACCCGCAGTGACTCACCCTGTTTCCCCCGCACCCCAGGGGATGCTCTCCTTGGTCCTGAACTGCATTGACCGCCTAAATGTCTACACCACTGCTGCCCACTTTGCCGAATTTGCAGGGGAGGAGGCAGCCGAGTCTTGGAAAGAGATTGTGAACCTGCTCTATGAACTCCTGGGTAAGGGGCCCAGGCCTGGTTTCCCCTAGCGCCCCCAGGTTCTCAGTCCCATTGGGTCTGACCCCTCTTTCCACCCTCAGCCTCCCTGATCCGTGGCAATCGTACCAACTGTGCCCTTTTCTCTACCAACTTGGACTGGCTGGTCAGCAAGCTGGATCGGCTGGAGGCCTCCTCTGGTAGGAGAACCCAGGGGGAGGGGACAGGGGCTGGGGCAGGGGAGGGCCGCGGTCTCCTCACCCGTCACTCTGCCATCTACGCAGGGATCCTGGAGGTGCTGTACTGTGTCCTGATTGAGAGTCCTGAGGTGCTGAACATCATCCAAGAGAACCACATCAAGTCCATCATCTCTCTCCTGGACAAGCATGGGAGGAACCACAAGGTTGGCCCCTCCCCCTGACCTCTCATCCCCTGAAATCTGAACCCTGACCTTTCCCCATGCCCTGGGATTCTCCACTTCCCTCACTTCCCTCCCCCCATCTTGGACTGCTCTCCACACGCTTCCATCTCAACACAAGGGTCTCAAACTGACAGTTCTTAAGTAGATTCTGGGCCACAGATGTGCTTCATTGGATCTCTGAAATATTTTAAAAAATATCTACTTTTGTAGTCCTTAGGGGGCCGTGTTTACACTCTCCAGTTCGCCACAGGTCCTGCCTGTTCCCGATGCATGATTTCTAACCAGCTCCCATGTGTACATTATCCAGTTTGGTCCCCAAAGACAGGAGTGTGCAGCCCCTGATGATCTAAAATCTTCTCTTGACCCCCCTCACCTCTTACTCCAGTCTCCCCTTCCTTACACTGCTGATGCTTTATCCCAGCTCCTGTGGGCCCCCCACCCCAGGCTGACCTTACTCTGTGACCCTTTACCTTCCTCTGTGAGCCCTGATCTCCCACGTTCACTACCTCCTTACAGTCAAAATCTCCTGTCCTGGCACACCATCCTTAATATCTGGCTTTCCACTGTAGACCTTCCGTGATCTCCCTGCCCTGGTGCTCTCACCACCTGACCTCTGACCTTGACTTTCAGGTGCTAGATGTGCTGTGTTCCCTGTGTGTGTGCAATGGCGTGGCCGTGCGCTCCAACCAAGATCTCATTACTGAGAACTTGCTCCCTGGCCGTGAGCTTCTGTTGCAGACAAACCTCATCAACTATGTCACCAGGTCTGGCCCCTAACCTCTGACCCCAGCCTGACCTCACCCTGACCACAGATCTCAGAACCTCTCCACCCTTTCCCAGACTCAGAGACTCCACATTCAGTGGATGTCCCTTCCAATGCCTCCCACGCTAGGACTTGACACCCAGGCCTCATAGATGTCTGCTCTTGCCCCAGCTCACCCCTGGCTCCCACTCCTCTTGTCCTTTCTCCCTGCTCCATTTCTGCCTCTGTCTGTTCTCCTCTCTGTCTTTTTCTGTTTGCTCATTTTGTCTCTGTCTGTTTCTCTCTCTGTCTGTCTGTTTCTCCTCCATTTCTTTTTTTCTGTCTCCCACCCATCTCTCTCATCTCTGGTTTTTGTTATTGTTTTGAGAGAGAGGGAGGGTGTGGAGGAGCAGAAGGAGAGGGGGAGAGAGAGAATCTTAAGGAGGCTCCACGTCCGCACAAAGCCCAATGCAGGGCTCAATCTCATGACCCCGAGATCATGACCTGAGCTGACATCAAGAGGCAGACACTTAACCCGCTGAGCCACCCAGGCTCCCCTCTTTTTTTTTTTTTTTAAAGATTTTATTTCTAAGTAATCGCTACACCCCACGTGGCGCTCGAACTCAAAACCCTGAGATCAAGAGTCGCACACTCTACTGACTGAGCCAGCCAGGCGCCACTCTTCTGTCCTTTGAGGTCTCTTTCTGTCTTTGTCTCTGCTTTCTCTCTGACTCCATGTCTCTGCCTTCTGTTTTCCCCGTGTATATCTCTCCTCCTCTTTCTCCCTTTTTCACTTCCACCCCTGCAACAACCTGGCTCTGCTCCCAATCTCTCCCTCACTCCCTCTCCTGTCCCATCTCTCCTGCAGCATCCGCCCCAACATCTTCGTGGGCCGAGCAGAGGGCACCACGCAGTATGGCAAATGGTACTTTGAGGTGATGGTGGACGAGGTGGCTCCATTCCTGACAGCTCAGGCCACCCACCTGCGGGTGGGCTGGGCCCTCACTGAGGGCTACAGCCCCTACCCAGGGGGTGGCGAGGGCTGGGGCGGCAATGGGGTCGGCGATGACCTCTATTCCTACGGCTTTGACGGGCTGCATCTCTGGACAGGTACCTGGACCCTTCCAGGGGGCTCTCATCCCTCACTATCTGCCCCAGAGTTTCCAAGTTTCTCACCACACATCTTGGGGTCGTTGGGATCCTGATCCCCAGAATAGACCAACTTTTGACCCCTTACTCCTAATTTCCCAAGACCTAAAGCTTCCAGAATCTTGGCCCTAACCCATTTCCTCATAGCCTCCAGAACTCTGACCCCAGGAGATGTATGATCTCTGGCCCTGGAGATCCTAGAAAACTTCCCAGATTTTTATGACCCCTGATCTTTGAGTTCTGACCCCAAAGATTCCAGAATTCTAACTCCAGGAGGACTTTAATCTCTGACGCCATAGGTCTCAGGATCCTAAACTCAGGGGAACCTTGACCTCCCCGATAATCTCAGAGCTCCAGGACCCTCCATGGGAACACTTGACCTTAGGGTTGCCAAGATCTAGATCCCAAAGGATCCTCTAATATCTGCTTCTTGTCTCTTGAGACCATTGGTCTCTGACCAATGAGGTCTTGAGACCTCTGACTTCCTACCCTTCCCTGGTGATCCTGGTGCAGGACATGTGGCACGCCTGGTGAATTCCCCAGGGCAGCACCTCCTGGCCCCAGAGGACGTGGTCAGCTGCTGCCTGGACCTCAGTGTGCCATCCATCTCCTTCCGAATCAATGGCTGTCCTGTGCAGGGCGTCTTTGAGGCCTTCAACCTGGATGGGCTCTTCTTCCCTGTCGTCAGCTTCTCGGCTGGTGTCAAGTGAGGACTTGCCCTTGCCCCCTTGCCAAGACCCAGACCTGGGACTGTTCCAAGACAGCTTCCCTAGTCACAACATGGCCTCCTATAAAGCCAGGATCCCAGAGCCTCAGGACTGAAGAGTCAGATCCTTATGTGAAGGTCCCAGTGACCTTTACATTGTCCCAAACACTTTAGTGTCCTCCCAGTGACCCAGACGCTTTCAATGACCTCAGCTTCTTCCCAACCCCATGTCTTTCCAGTGACCTTCAAGTGTTCCCCCAAATTGCATAATGATGTAATAGCCCCAGACTCTCCCAGTTATTTCCCAAATGATGTCAGGCTCTCCCAATGACTCTATGCCATTCCAATGACTGCCAAATGACTCCAGAATCTGACAGCTGTCTTCCAGCGACCCCGAACCCTCCCAGTGACCCCCCAATGATCTTGGACTCTCCCAATGACTCTATGCTCTTAACTTCTCAGTGACCCCGACATCTCCCAGTGATCTTCCAATTGCTCCGTAATCCTCCAGTGACCATAATCCCTCAATGACCCCAATTATTTCAAAGACCTCTCAGTAACTCAGTCTTTTCCCGATGACCCCAAGCTCTGTGAAGGGCTCCCCAGTGGTAATTAGGGTTACCTCACCATTACATCAGATTCTCAGTGATTTCCAAATGGCCTTCTTGGTCTCCCAAAAACCTCCCAATATCCCCAAATACTCTGTTGAGCCAGCATCTCTTCCAGTGGACCTTCCCATGACCCTGCATTAACTCCCCAATGACTCCACACTTTCCTTTTTTGATTCTTCAATGATTCTCATTGACCTCAGACATTCTCTTTGATGTTATACTTTCCCTTTTGGCCCTAAATGACCTCCATGACTCCATGACTGCCCAGTGATCTTTCCCAGAACTTTTCATTGATCCCAGGATTGCTCCCTTACCCCCACTGAGCATGGATTCTCCCTGTAATCTGCCCCGCCAGTGACCCCTCTCTCCCACTCAGGGTGCGGTTCCTCCTTGGTGGCCGCCATGGCGAATTCAAGTTCCTCCCTCCACCTGGTTATGCCCCATGCCACGAGGCTGTGCTCCCTCGAGAGCGACTTCATCTGGAGCCCATCAAAGAGTATCGGCGGGAGGGGCCTCGGGGGCCCCACCTGGTGGGCCCCAGCCGCTGCCTCTCACACACCGACTTTGTGCCCTGCCCTGTGGACACTGTCCAGGTACTGCCTGCCCCGAAAGGGTTTCCTGGTGAGGCAGTCCTGAGTAAATAGTACTCAGTAGTTACTGTTATCTGTAGCAGTAGCGATATTATTTCACGGGGAACTTGCCATCCCCCTGTAGCCAGGCCAGAGGATGGGCCTCCTTCTGGATGTCTCCCTCCCACTCCCCACCAGCTTGTAAGCCTCATGGGCTGTCCACTTGGCCTCCTGGACATCCCTCCCTGCCTCCTCTCCTCCTCATGGCCCGCCCTGGTCTGAACCATCATTATCTCTTGTCTGAAGAACACTAATGACATTAATATTTATTAGTCACCTACTGTGTGGCAGGCTTTTATCTAAACTACGTAAGATTTAGTAGTTTATCTAGGTTATGTCACTGAATCCTTATGAGGTCAGTATTGTTCGGATCCTCGCTGTACAAAGAAGGAAAGAGACTCATCCATTCATTCTGCAACCACTTCCGGAGGATATTCTCTGGGCCTGGCTCTGGGCTAGGCAGGGCTGGGAAAGTGGTAGAGACTGAGGCAGCCCCAGGCCCTGTCCTCATGGAGCAACCAGTCCACAGCGGGGAGATAGTCCCGTTCCCGGATAATTCCTTAATTCTGTGATTCTAAGTCCTTACTCAGCTGGATGTCAACCCTGGGGTCAGGGTCAGGTGATGAGGAGCAGGGCTCAGAATAGCGGGAAAGGTCTGGGGGACTGTCCAGGGCTTGTACATGTTCTTGGGAAGAGGGGTCGTGGTGCAGGCTGGAAGGACCACAGGAGCCTCACAAATGTTTCCTGCCCTGCCCCCAGATTGTCCTGCCTCCCCATCTGGAGGGCATTCGGGGGAAGCTGGCAGAGAACATCCATGAACTCTGGGCGCTGACTCGCATTGAGCAGGGCTGGACCTATGGCCCGGTGAGGGACTGCCTGCAGCATGAGGGTGTCAGCCTTGCTGTTGGGGGGAATGATCAGGGAGGGGCCCGTGGTTGGGGGAAGGGACTCTTGGGTTTCCTGTGGCAGAACTAAGGGCAGGAGTTCAGGGGTCACAGTCTGGGCATGTTGGGGGGAGGGAAGGGGACCTGAGGAGTTGACACTGGGATTTCTCCAGGTTCGGGATGACAATAAGAGGCTGCACCCGTGTCTTGTGGACTTCCACAGCCTACCAGAGCCGGAGAGGAATTACAACCTGCAGATGTCGGGGGAGACGCTCAAGTGAGGGGGGTACCGGGGAGCAGGGTCCTGGGCCTGACCTCTGGTGAGGAGGCGGGCAAGGAGAGACAGGGATCGTGAGGCAGAGACTGAAAGAGGGCAAGAAAGAGCAACAAAGGCATAAAGAGAGCTGGTCAGTAAGAGAAAGAGAGAGACGCGGAATCAGGGAAAGAAGCGGACAGGAAAAGATGGACATAGTCAGAGATACAGAGACAAAGAAGCAGGGAGAGATAGGAGCTAGAGGGACAGAGACCGAGACAGAGAGATGGGGACAGACACCCAGAAAGCCAGAGCAAGAGACGCGGAGGGCCAGCAAGGGCCGGGGGAGGAGGGGAGTCGGGCTTGGGGAGAGGAGGCCAGCGGCCAGGAGGATGTGTGCGGTGACCCTGTCCTCCGCACCCCAGGACTTTGCTGGCACTGGGCTGCCATGTGGGCATGGCGGATGAGAAGGCAGAGGACAACCTAAAGAAGACCAAACTCCCCAAGACGTGAGTGTGGTGGCCCGGGTCCCATCTGGGGGATACAGTGGGAGGCTGGGGATGACGTGGTGAGGGCTGGGCGGTTGAGGGGGGTCTTCTAGGGAGGCTGAAGTCAGAGACAAAGGGGCCACAGGTTAGGGTGAAGGTCATAGGACCAGGGGTCAAGGGTCAGGGCTCTGGAGTCAGTGGTGAGTGTCCTGGGGAGGTGTCAGGATTGCAGAGTTGGGAGTTCCAGAGGGAGAGTGGGTGTGAGTCGGGACCCAAGGTCAGGGTCTGCCATAGAATCAGGGAAAATGAGGGAACAGAGGTAATATCTCCAAGTCAGAGGCAGGGGTGGTCAATGGAAAGAGGTGAGAAGTTATTAGGAGTCGTAAGTAAGGGACCCTAAAATTGTAGGTGAGAGATCAGAGGTCCTGAGGATAGAGGCCAGGGTTCAGAGGTCAAGGACTCCAAAGCCAGGAATTTGAAGTGATAGGGTTCTGAGGTCAGAGGTAAGAAACCTCAGAGTTAGAGGTGAGAGGTCAGAGTTCCAGGGTTGAAGATGAGGCTCCCCAAATCACAACACAGGGGTCAGAGAGGCCAGAGGTCAGTGAAGCGAAGCCCTTGCTAGGGCCACAGGATCCTGCGTTCAGAGGCCAAGTATCTCAAAGCTCATTCAGGGGAGTCATGGAACCCCGATGTCAAGCGATCGAAGGTCAGAAATTCCAAAACTCAGAGCTCAGGATCACAGGACCCCGAGAGCAAGGGTGGGAAGTCAGGGGCCCCGTTGCGCAGAGCCCAGAGGCGGGGGTCAGGGGTCTCATCTCACCAAGCTCTGCCATGCACACAGGTACATGATGAGCAACGGGTACAAGCCGGCGCCACTGGACCTGAGCCACGTGCGGCTAACACCCGCACAGATGACGCTGGTGGACCGGCTGGCAGAGAATGGGCACAATGTGTGGGCACGAGACCGCGTGGCCCAGGGCTGGAGCTACAGTGCTGTGCAGGACATCCCAGCACGCCGCAACCCTCGCCTGGTGCCCTACCGCCTGCTGGATGAGGCCACCAAGCGCAGCAACCGGGATAGCCTCTGCCAGGCCGTGCGCACGCTGCTGGGCTACGGCTACAACATCGAGCCGCCTGACCAGGAGCCCAGTGAGTGCGGACCTCGGGGCCCCTGACGCTAACTTCTAGCCCGACGCAGGCCCTGCTGCCTGACCCCTGACTTCTGATTCCGCTCGGCCCCTGGATGGGCTCCATCTGCAACACCGAGCCTTTTCCCCACCACCCTGACCCTTACTCTGACCCCGACCCTGAACCCAATCTTGACCACTGACCTCGATCATGCTCGAGCCCTGCCAGACCAGGAGCCCAGTGAGCGCTAGCCCAGATCCCGGACCCCCAGCTAAGATGCCTAACCCCTGACCTCTAGACTGTGGCTACAACCTGGAGCCACCCAACCAAGAACTCAGAACCTCTAACCCTTACCCACAACCTGACCCCTGACCTATCACTGACTTCCAGTCCCAGCTTCCATCAGCCTCTCTAGCTGTGGTCCCCAACCTTCAGTTTCTCTACCCCTGGCCCCAACCCCAATTTCTATCCTCTCCCTGAGCCTGACTCTGACACTCTCTCCCTGATTCTGCTCTCAACCCTTGAATCTAAGCATCAACCCTAATTTTGACCCTTAACCCTAGACCATGACGGTGACCTACCCGACTTTCTGTCCTGTAAGCATCTCTTCTTTGAGGGTTCTGAGTGCTAAAGAGACGGGGTGGGGGTGAGAGTCTCACTTAGTAGGTCCTTCCCACCTCTTTGACTAGTCTGAGAGTCCCCAGTTCTTCTCCTGTAACACCAAGAAATTATCCCTCTTCCCCCAGACCCCCCAAGGCCCTTGACGTCTCTGGTGTCTCCCACCAACCTCTCAGTGTCTTGGGATCCATTCCCCACCCAGCCCCTGACTCTGCCTGGCCCCATTTGTAGGTCAGGTGGAGAGCCAGTCTCGTTGGGATCGGGTGCGCATCTTCCGGGCAGAGAAATCCTATGCGGTGCAGAGCGGACGCTGGTACTTTGAGTTCGAAGCAGTCACCACTGGTGAGATGCGAGTGGGCTGGGCGAGGCCTGACCTGCGGCCTGACGTGGAGCTGGGAGCTGATGAGCTGGCCTATGTCTTCAATGGGCACCGCGTGGGTACCTCCCTGCGCTCCTTTCTGCCAGGCCCTGTGGTCCCTCCCACAGCTCATATACGCCAGCCCTGCCTCTGTCTGTGCCCCACTGTCCACTCCTCCCTGCATCTGCCTTACCACTCATTCATCTGTCCGTCCGTCCCTCCATCCATCCATCCATCCATCCATCCATCCATCCATCCATCCATCCCACCCTCCCTGTCCATGCATATATCTTTTTTTAAATAAATATTTAGTTAGTTATTTGAGAGAGAGAGAGCGAGGATGGGCAGGGGGAGAGGGAGAGGGAGAGCGACAAGCAGACTCCCTGCTAAGTGGGGAGCCCAATGCAGGGCTTGATCCCAGGACTGTGAGATCCTGACCTGAGCTGAAGGCAGACACTTAACCGACTGAGCCACCCAGGCGCCCTTATCCATACATATATCTATCCATCATCCATCTCTCTATCCAGCCATCCTTCTGTTCATCCATTCATCTACCCACAAATCCAGTTATCCATCCATCTACTCATCTGTTCAGATAATCACTTAACCGTCCACATTTCCATCTGGTTTATTCATTTATTTGTTAGTTCAGTCATTCGCTTATTTAATCAATCTGTGATTTCATTTATTTATCAAATCCTTTAATGCATGAATCCATCAATTCATCCATTTATCCACCCATCCCCCTGCCCATCCATCCACCCACCCACGCATCCATCTATCTTTCTGTCTATACTTTCTTCCTTTCCTGTATCAACCCATGTAGACTCAACTTCCTTTCCATTCTTCCATCCAGGCATAAACCCTGCCTCCCATCCATCCAACCCATTATCCATTGATCTATTCCGGGGGGCATATTGGTCTATAGGAGTCTGTAGACATTGGCAGTCTCGTTGTTCCTTTCCATCCCTCTCACTCGCTGCCGCCCCCAACTCCCCACTACCGCTCTGGTGGTCTGCATAACCCCAGCCCCCAGCCATGAAAACATAGAGAGCTCAGGCAGAAGAGATGGGATACAGAGATCAGTGGGAAGGGAGAGCATGAAAGCCTACCCCTTACATTCCAAGGATCTTGGATGGAAATGTGGGAAATGATGGGGGCCCTGTGGGGGTGACCCCTCTTCCGTCCCACATGCCCTGGGCCCAATGCCTTGTGTATGGATCTTTCCATGTCTCTCCTTGCTTCTGTGTGTCTCCGTTTCTCTGCGTGTCCCTCCCATGGCGCATCTTCCCCCTCATCTCCTAACAGGGCCAGCGCTGGCATTTGGGCAGTGAGCCATTTGGGCGCCCGTGGCAGCCAGGTGATGTTGTGGGCTGCATGATTGACCTCACAGAGAACACCATTATCTTCACCCTCAATGGCGAGGTCCTCATGTCCGATTCAGGCTCTGAGACGGCATTCCGGGAAATCGAGATTGGGGATGGTGAGAGCTGGCCTCCTGGCCCCTTTCTGGTTTTCTTTCCTCTCACCTGACCCTACACTAGGTCCCTAGCCTCCTGCTTTTCCATCCCTTCCTTCCACCATAACTCCTCCCCTCCTGCCCCTGCCCTGCCCACCTGTCCTCACCTCTGCCCCTCTGTCCCCTCCCACCAGGCTTCCTACCTGTCTGCAGCTTGGGACCCGGCCAGGTGGGTCACCTGAACCTGGGTCAGGACGTGAGCTCCCTGCGGTTCTTTGCCATCTGTGGCCTCCAGGAAGGCTTTGAGCCATTCGCCATCAACATGCAGCGCCCAGTCACCACCTGGTTCAGCAAAAGCCTTCCCCAATTTGAGGCCGTGCCCCTTGAGCACCCCCACTATGAGGTGAGGACTGACCCCACTCAGTACCCTCTGATCTGCCTCCAAACCTCATTCTTCCCGCAGTTCTCTTCCCCAAGTTTCTCCTTTCCTTCTGTGTTAGCCCACAAACCGTGTAGAAGGGCATGTCCGGACAGTGGGCTCCCAGGGCTGCCTTGTAGGGTATAACCTCAGCAAACCACAACCTGTCTGACCTCCAGGTGCCTTGCCTATTAAATAGGGGAAGGGAAAAAAGAGGAGCTCGGTTGAGTGACCCAGACGGAAATTTCCGGTCTTTATAATTATCTCATCTTATAGCAAGGTTTAAAGAAATGTAAATCTCTCGGTACATTTTGGCACCATCCTTACTAATTGCTATCTGTATATACATATTTTCTCCAGTTTATTTGTTTTTAACAGCTCTTCATTAATCTGAGTACCCTAGTTTTTAGGCTCTAGTGTCTTTTCTTTACCAAGGTTAAACTTAGCATCAGACTTTGACCGTAAAAAGCTCACATAGACCAAAGTGATAGTCCTTTTCTCAACCTGGGAAGAACCTGAATCCCACGTGGCTGAACTTCAGCGGGTACTTTAGAATCAGGCATACCTAGGTTGGCTTCTTATTTGCTGTGTGGCCTTGGGCATGTGACTGTCTCCTCCTGAGCCTCAGTTTTCCCATCCATGGCATTGTTCAGATCTCCTCACATAATCCTTTTCCCTCTCTCTCTGTTCTGAATCATTTGAATAAGTTGGAGACATACATCTTTTTTTAAAATTTTTATGTAAGCTCTATGCTGAACATGGGGCTTGAACTCATGACCCTGAGATCAACAATCACATGCTCTACCAACTGAGCCAGCTGGGTGCCCCCATCGTGCCTCTTTATCCCTAAATATTTCAATGTGCATTTCTTCAGAACAGGCTATACTCTTACAGAACTGCAGTTATGAAAATCGGTCATGAAAATCAGGAAATTTAATACTAATACATACCTAATTCATAATCCATATTCAGATTTTATTAATTGTGGTGACAATGTGTCTTTTTATTTTTCTGGTCCAGGATCCAATCCAGGATTATATGTTGCATTTAGTTGTTATGTCTCTTTATTCTTTTTTTTTTTTTAAGATTTTGTTTGTTTACTTATTTATTTATTTAAGAGAGAGAGAGAGAGAGAGAGAGCACAAGCAAGTGGGGGCCGGGGCAGAAGGGGAAGGAGAGGGACAAACAGACTCTGGACTGAGCGTGGAGCCCCGCACGGGGCTCGATCTCACGACCCTGAGACCATGACCTGAGCAGAAACCAAGAGTCAGCTGCTTAACCAACTGAGCCACCCAGGCACCCCATGTCTCTTTATTCTTTTTTTTTTTAAGATTTTTAAAAAATTTTATTTATTTATTTATTTGAGAGAGAGAGAATGAGAGAGAGAGCACATGAGAGAGGGGAGGGTCAGAGGGAGAAGCAGGCTCCCTGCCGAGCAGGGAGCCCGATGTGGGACTCGATCCAGGGACTCCAGGATCATGACCTGAGCCGAAGGCAGTCGCCTAACCAACTGAGCCACCTAGGCGCCCAATGTCTCTTTATTCTTTAATGTAAATGTTCCTGAGTCTGTCTTTGTCTTTCATGCCATTAACATTTTTGAAGAGTACAGGCCAGTTACTTTGCAGATTATCTCTCATTTTGGTTTGTCAAATATCTCCTCATGATTAGGTACAGGTGACACATACTCGGCAGGAATGCCAGAACATTGTGTCCTGCTTGATGCAGGATATCAAGAGGCACATAGTGTCATTATGTCTTATTACCAGTTACTTTAATTTTGACTGTGTGGTTAAGGTGGAGTCGGCCAGGTTTCTCTACCATAAATTACTATTTTTCTCTTTGTAATCAATAATTTGTGGGGAGGCATTTTAAGACTAGGTGAGAATAGATGAGTTTTAAGTAGTTTAGATCTGAGTTTTGGAAAGGTCCCCATTGAGAGTGTATTACAGGGGGTGACAGTGAAGGCAGAAAGACCAGAGGTGCCAGGGGCTGGAGAGGCTGATGGAGCAGACGTTGAACCTCCTAATTCCTGCTAATGCCAGATGTGTTCTCAACCCAAAGAACAGAATGCTAGACAGCTGTAAGAATGAATAGACTAACCTACACACAACCACGTGGACGAATCTCACAAACATAATGCCGAGTGAAAGGAGGCAGACACAAAACAGCACAACAACTGTGGGTTCCCCTTTGTAGACAGTTCGAGAACAGGAAGAGCTAATCTGTGGTGTGTTAAATCAGGAGGGTGTTACTGTGAAAGAATATCTGAGATGTTTAGTTACTCCGCACCCAAATCACAGGAGGGAGATGGTCAGTAGACTGTTGCCAAGGAGCAGAGCGAAACTGGGTTTATAAGAAACGGGGGAGAGCAGAGAAAAAGACCCCGCAGACAGTCTGGGAACAGCAAATCTTGGCCACAGTTTCAGGGTGAATTCACTGGCTGGCAGAGAGCACAGAGGTCTCAGCATTTGGTCTTTGAAGAAGAGACAGGAAAGAAAGGGAGCCACTCTGGTTGTTCATGGAGTCTCCAGAAAGCCTCTGAGAGGCTGTCTTTGGAGCACCGAGGCCAGGCATCTGTCCTCTGTCAGCTCCTGCCTCTTGTTTAGGCAAGGTCGGGACATTTCCCTCATCAGAATCCCTCACTGTCTTTGAGAGGGTGCTGACTGAATGGGCACCAAGGGGGGTCCTGGCTGGGTGGGTGGGACTTGATCAACTTGGTCAAGTTCTATGTCTCTGTTTGGGCGCTGGACACACAGATGGGGTCACTCTAAAACCTTACCATGTTGTGCATTATGACGCGTGCATTTTTCTGAATGTTTTATTTCCATATACAGCAAATTTAGCAAAAATTTATCTGGGGGGGCCTTTACAAAACTCTGGCCCTTCTGGCCTGTTCTCCCGGAGAGTCTCCCCAAGACACCAGGAGGGCAGGGCCTTTGTTCTGCTCACTGATGTGTTCCCAGCACTGGAGAACGGTGTCTGGCACATAGTAGGGTCTCAGGAAGTATTCGTGGAATGGATGGATGGGTGGATGACTTAGTCTGGAGTGAGGACTGTGTGTAGGTAGGTTCAGAACATTCCCCCAAGTGATTCCAGAGTCTGGCCAGGGCTGTCACTGTACGAGGTGCCCAGACAGAGATCGGCAGAGGGCTGAGCATACCCTACAGCCACGCTGTGTGTCCCCCAGGGAGCCCATCCACTCAGAGGAGTGAGTCTTTGGCTAATTCTCACACAGGTGCTCTAAGGCCTCATGGTGGCTCCTTGTGGACCAGGTTTAGGACCAGTGGCCTAGCCTGCCTGCCTGGCTCAGCCTTCATGCTCCCCCTTAGGTGGCCCGCGTGGACGGCACCGTGGACACGCCGCCCTGCTTGCGCCTGAGCCACCGCACCTGGGGCTCCCAGAACAGTCTGGTGGAGATGCTCTTCCTCCGGCTCAGCCTTCCAGTCCAGTTCCACCAGCACTTCCGGTGCACCGCAGGGGCCACCCCCCTGACATCCCCTGGCCTGCAGCCCCCCGCTGAGGATGAGGCCCGGGCGGCAGAACCTGATCCCGACTACGAAAACCTGCGGCGCTCAGCGGGGCGCTGGGGTGAGGCTGAGGGGGGCAAAGAAGGAAATGCCAAGGAGGGGGCGCCCGGGGGCAATGCCCAGGCTGGGGTGGAGGCCCAGCCCGTCAGGGTGGAGAATGAGAAGGATGCTACCACAGAGAAGAACAAGAAGAGAGGGTGAGTCGAGGGTAGGGCCGGGGTGGGGTTTGGGAACCCCAATTAGGCACCCCACTTCAATACATGAGAAACCCCATTGTGTCCCTCAATGGCCCCATATATGCTTAACATTCTGGAGTCAGAATCCTGAGGGAGCCCATCATGCCTCAAGTGAACCCCATTCTCTCCTCGGATGCTCTCATTTCCCAGAGAATGTAAAGTTGGGGTATCCCACTATATCTATGGAAAACTCCACTATCCTTGGGGTACCTGGTAGGTCCCAAAGCATTTCACCCAATGGACTTTTTTTTTTTTTTAAGATTTTTTATTTATTTATTTGAGAGAGAGAGAATGAGAGACAGAGAGCATGAGAGGGAGGAGGGTCAGAGGGAGAAGCAGACTCCCTGCCGAGCAGGGAGCCCGATGCGGGACTCGATCCCGGGACTCCAGGATCATGACCTGAGCCGAAGGCAGTCGCTTAACCAACTGAGCCCCCCAGGCGCCCCCCAATGGACTTTATTATCCATGGACACTAAAGTGTCTTGGGAGAGTTGACTATACCCCAAGGTATCCCAGTGGACACTGCTGGTCTTCTAAATTGGGGTCATTTCCGTGCCTCAAATGTGCCCCCCCAAAAGCTAACTTCACAGGAGACCCTCAACAGGCATTAAACCTGACCTGAAACTAAATGTGCTTTCCCGTACTATCACAGTAGTTTTCAGTGGGAGGTAGTTCTGTGTCTCTTGGCGGATCTTTGGAAATGGTGGACGATTTTGGTTATCACAGTTTGTTGGGACGGTGGTGATGCTACTGGGGGATTCCAGGAATTCTACAAGCTTTTGATGTACAAGACAGTACCACACAATGAAGGATTGTCCTTTCCCTTTTTTTTTTTTTAAAGATTTTATTTATTTGACAGAGAGAGATAGTGAGAGCAGGAACACAAGCAGGGGGAGTAGGAGAGGGAGAAGCAGGCTTCCCGCGGAGCAGGGAGCCCGATGCGGGGCTCGATCCCAGGACCCTGGGATCATGACCTGAGCCGAAGGCAGACACTTAACGACTGAGTCACCCAGGCACCCAGGATTGTCCTTTCCCAAATGCCTTTAGCATCCATATGAGAAATGCTGACTTAGGGGGACCACTGTATGCCCCAAAGGGAACCTCCATGTCCCCAGAGGCACCTTTAAATTTGGGCATCTGCAAGCACAGAGCACAGCATCTCCAGAATGGATAATGATGACTCAGTTGGCAATTTTATCCCTCTAGAGGCGGGGACTTGGGTATTAGAAATGGGATGTGGGGGTCATGAATGTTGTGGTGGAGAGGTCTGGGGGCTGGGCTTGAGAGCTGGTTCTCACAGTAGCCTCTCCTCCCCATCACCAGGTTCTTATTCAAGGCCAAGAAGGCCGCCATGATGACCCAACCATCAGCCACTCCCACTCTGCCCCGACTCCCTCGAGAGGTCGTGCCCGCTGACAACCGTGATGACCCTGAGATCATCCTCAATACCACCACGGTGGGAATCTAGGACCCTCAACTCTGAGACCCCTGAGATTTCCAAATTTCATGCAGGAATCCCCTAGTAATCCCCTTACCTGGGGACACCCCAGTATACACTGAAGACCATAAAATAGAGCACACACTGATTTAGTCCTTTGAACCTCTAAATCCATATACCTAGGGGGCCTAAAAATTGCAGGAACACAATGAAGCTATGAGGCACACTTATAAAGTTCCCAGGGATCCAGAATCCAGAGGAAGTACCAATATAGACTTGGGACCTCATATTTGTGTTCACCCATATAAACTGAATACCCCCAAATTTAATAGCTATTCTAGTATATTCTTGGGAACCAACAGTCACAATTACCCCAGTAGAGTTTGGGGATTTCCCAATCTGAAATGTTTTCTGAGACAGCCTTGTGGTTAGGATTATGGGCTACCTGGGTGCCAAGTGGGTAAGTCACTTCTGCTCTATACCTTCTCCTTTATGGAAGTTTTATGGTTTTCCCATCAGTAAAATGCAGAAAAAAATTGTACCCACTTGGTGGTGATTAAGTTAATTAATTTGTGAACTATTTGTCAACTATTATTTATTAATACTTTGTAATTTGGAGAGGGACCCAAATTCGGGGGTATCACAAATAGTCCCAAGAGGATTCCCAAATCTAAAAATATATCAGTAGACACAGAAATAGAGGGGCATAGACCCCGGGGTGTGTGTGTCTCAAATCCAGTAATTTCTTGTTGAACTCCCAGAGGACACTGAATCCAGAGAGACCAACTTAGAGTTCCGGGGAAGCCCTGTGTCACGCACCTTCTGGACTGACCATTGGTCCCCCTTTGCCTCTCTAGTACTATTACTCTGTGAGGGTCTTCGCTGGCCAGGAACCCAGCTGCGTGTGGGTGGGCTGGGTCACCCCCGACTACCATCAGCACGACATGAACTTCGAACTTAGCAAGGTCAGGGCAGTGACAGTGACCATGGGGGACGAACAAGGCAACGTCCACAGCAGGTGAGGAAAGGGGCTGGGACTGTGGGAAGTGAGAGGTCAGCGCTGGGCACCTGGCTCTCCCCAGGCTCGCCCCAGCAGCTTCCCTCCCCCTCTTCTTCTCCTCTTCTCTCCCTGTTTACTTTCCTCCTCTGGGTTTTTCCTCCTCTTCTGTTTCTGTTTGGTCTTTTCCATTTTCTCTTCCTTCATCTCATGCTCCCCCTTCTACATTACCTCCTGTCTCTGTTCTCTCTTCCTGCTCCCCTTCCCTCTCTTCCTCCCAGAACCCCCAGCCAACTTCTAAGAACTCTCGCTCTGAGGGGCTTGGGGTTTCGGCACTCGGGTCTGCAGGCGGGGGTCTGGGGGTGAGCTCTGAGGTCATGGTAATCTGGGAGTTTGGGGAAGGAAATGTCCAGGGTCCAGAGCACCTTGGCTGAGGAGCCATGCACTGACCACTCCTGTTTCCTCCAGCCTCAAGTGCAGCAACTGCTACATGGTGTGGGGCGGGGACTTCGTGAGCTCCGGGCAGCAGGGCCGGATCAGCCACACAGACCTCATCATTGGCTGCCTGGTGGACTTGGCCACTGGCCTGATGACGTTTACCGCCAATGGGAAAGAGAGCAACACCTTTTTCCAGGTGAGCCCAGCTTAGCAATAGTGTCCTTATGTCCCAGAATGCTGGGAAGACCCTTCCAGACCCCCTCTGAGGACAGACCCCAGAGAAGGCCAGGCCTGGGAAGGCCCTGGGAGACCACCTAGTTAACCATTCACTGAACTGACACCCAGAAAGGAGGAGACAGAGCACTGCCTTTACCTTGGAGAGGGGTCCATAGTCCCTCTTGGCCCTGCTGACACCAATCGCCAACTTTTCGCCAATCAGGGAACACCCTAGGATGAATCCTCGGGTGGGCTTTTCTTTTTCAACATTTCCTGTTGCAACACTTATTTTATTTATTATAAAAGATTTCAAACATACAACAAAATCAAAGGAATTGTACAGTGAACGCCCATATACCCACTACCAAGAATCTACCACCCACACTGGCTTTATCACGTATTTATCCACTTACCCATCCATTAATCCATCTAACTTGGATTTTATAAAACTTTATTTTAAATGGAGAATTTCAAAAATATGCAAAAATGGAGTAGTGTACTGGACCTCCATGTCCCCACTCTCCAGCTTCAACTGTTACCCACTTGCAGCTGATCTTGTGTCATCTTTTTTTTTTAAGGTTTCAGTTTATTTATTTATTTGAGAGAGAGAGAGAGAGTGCAAGAGAGCACAAGAGGGGGTAGGGTCAGAGGGAGAAGCAGATTCCCCGCCGAGCAGGGAACCCGATGTGGGACTCAATCCTGGGACTCCGGGATCATGATCCAAGCTGAAGGCAGTCACCCAACCAACTGAGCCACCCAGGCACCCTGATCTTGTGTCATCTTTACCATTTATACCCATCTTCACTTCCACACCCACTGAATGATTTTGAAGGAGACCCCAGATATCATATGGTTTCATCTCTTTTCAGTATGTATCTCTATAAAAGTAAGGATTCTTTTAAAAAGCATAACCACTATACCACTCGTATAAAAAGTCCCTAGTAATTCCTACTTAATTAATCCAGTCCGTGTTCACATTTCTCTGGTTGTCTCAAAGATGTCTTTTTCCCGTTTGTTCATTTGAATTGGAATCCAAATAAGGTCATGTATTTTAGTTAGTTGCTATGCCCCTCAAGTCTCTCATATGTAGATTTCCCTTCCGTGTCTGTCTTCTTCTCTGAAATGTGTTTGTTGAAGAAACCAGGTTGTCTGTCCTGGAAAGATTTGCTTCTCAAAGTGTGGTCCCTGGATCAGTAGGATCTGCATCACCTGGGGGCTTGTTAGAAATGAGGAATCTCAGGCTTCCCCCTTCTCACCTGCCCAGTGAGAATCCGAAATTTAATCCTGGGGGATTCATGTATCTACCACCATCTGAAGAGTGCTGGCCCTGGCTTCTCAGTCTTAATCTGGCTGATGCGTCCCCGTGGTGTTGTTTTAACGTTTTCCTCTGTCCCCTGTATTTCCTGTCAACCGGCAGACGGGTCCACAGGTGTGGTTAGATTCAGGTTTGGCAAGACTGCTTCACAGATGATGGTGTTTGTGGTGATGGAGGCTGGGTGGGTTCCACTGCGGAGATCAGAGGGGCTGGAGGGAAAGCGCAGTCAGAAGACCTTCCTGGGTTTTGACAAATGAGTCTTGGGAGAGAAATGGAAATGGTACCAGGTGGAGGGCATGAAATGCACAATGACCCGGAAGATAATGTTGCCCCTGGGGGCGGTGGGGGAGGTTGGCCTGTCTGGATCAGAGGTGGTGCAGCCCATGAGCAACCTCGGGGTCCCTGCGGCATTTTCAGTGCCTGAATTTGGCTCTGTAAACATCAGCAGGATCAGGCTGGGGCAGTCAACCCCAGAGTTCAGGATCCAGAGTCAATGTCACCTCTAGTTCACCCTCTTCCTCACCCTGGCCTTTTCTTCCTTGCCAGGTGGAGCCCAACACGAAGCTGTTTCCTGCCGTCTTTGTCCTGCCCACCCACCAGAACGTCATCCAGTTTGAGTTGGGGAAGCAGAAGGTAAGAGTGCAGTGATGGGGCAGGCTGAGGTGGTAGGTGCGGGAGGTCAGGCTGCCAGAGTGGCTGAAAAGTGGAGCAATCCGGGAGGTCTCCCTGGAAGCAGAGTGGCAGGACAGAGAGGGCTGGGAATCCTGACCCGAGCACACCTCTGTGCCCCTAGAACATCATGCCGCTGTCAGCCGCCATGTTTCTGAGTGAGCGCAAGAACCCGGCCCCGCAATGCCCGCCTCGGCTAGAGGTGCAGATGCTGATGCCTGTCTCGTGGAGCCGTATGCCCAACCACTTCCTGCAGGTGGAGACACGGCGTGCAGGAGAGCGGCTCGGCTGGGCTGTGCAGTGCCGGGAGCCGCTGACCATGATGGCTCTGCACATCCCTGAGGAGAACCGGTCAGGGCCAGCCCAGGCTTGTGGGGGTGGGATGGGTATTGCAAGTCCTCTGAGGTCTGGAACCCTCTCAGTGCCCCCCTCCACCAGTACCCCAGGACTCCAGCCAACACCCCAGTAGGCCCCAGACCTACCTCAGGGGACTCTGACTCTCAGCTCGGGCATCGCCAGATAAGACTCCAGGGGACTCCAGACCCACCTCAGAGGGCTTTAGGACCATCTTAGTGGACCACAGACTCACATCCAGGGACCCCAGACCTACCCCACAGGGCCCCAAGCCCATTTCAAGGAGCCCAGATCCACACTGAGAAGCCACACGAACTCCAGGAGCCTCAAGTGCCCCTCAGAAGGACATGGACATTACTCAGAGAGGCCCACATGCACCCCAGGGTGTCTTGGGCACACCCAGGGAGACTCTGGATGTATCTCATGGAAATCTCAAACCCAGTCCAGGGGACCCAGACACACCCAGAGTAGAGCTGTGTTCACATGTATGGCAGGAATGCTCTTAGGTACCTTGAACAGACTCCAATCCCAGACACCCCGAGAGGCTCTGATATGTTGCATCTTTCCTTTATTCATTCATTCAACAGATAGCTCTGAGCTCTTCCTGTGTGACCAGCAGCATTCTAGGCTGGAAACACCAAACCCGTGTGAACGGACATTCTAGCAATGCTCATGTATAACTCAGGGGGCTCAGACTTGCCCAAGGGGACTCAGACCCATCTCTGGGAGTCCCAGATACACGCACGTACTTTTTCAATCAATCTATCCATCTATCTAACAAGTATTTATTGAGCACTTACTATGTGCTAAGTCCCGTTGAGGTGCTGGGAATATAGAAAAAAAAAAAAAAAAGTGCCCCAAAGGCAGAAATGTCCTGCCCTGGTGGGGTTTACATTCTAGTCGTATTCAAACATAGCCAGGTTCCTCAGTGAGCCTGCCAGAGGGAGGTTCAGCCCCAATTTGAGGTCACCAGATCTCCTCCATGTACTCTCAGATACCCCAGAGTACCAGACCATCCCGGGGATCCCAGATATATCCCACGGAGCCCCCAGACCACGTCGGGACGTCCAGAACTATTAAAAGACTCCTAGACCCAGCGCCGCAGACCTCGCAGAACCTTGACCCAGCAGGATACTGGGCTTTGACACTCACCTTAGCATTTCTTTGCCTCTCTGTGGTCTGTCCCTGTCTGTGGGCCCTGTCCCGTCCGCCGCAGCTGCATGGACATCCTGGAGCTGTCGGAGCGCCTGGACCTGCAGCGGTTCCACTCTCACACCCTCGGCCTCTACGGCGCCGTGTGCGCGCTGGGCAACAACCGCGTGGCTCATGCTCTGTGCAGCCACGTGGACCAGGCGCAGCTGCTGCACGCGCTGGAGGACGCGCACCTGCCGGGCCCGCTGCGGGCCGGCTACTACGACCTGCTCATCAGCATCCACCTCGAAAGCGCCTGCCGCAGCCGCCGCTCCATGCTCTCCGAGTACATCGTGCCCCTCACGGAGGAGACGCGCGCCATCACTCTCTTCCCCGCTGGCAAAAGTGCGGAAAACGGCCCCCGCCGCTACGGCCTGCCCGGCGTTGGCGTCACCACCTCGCTGAGGCCTCCGCACCATTTCTCCCCGCCCTGTTTCGTGGCGGCCCTGCCGGCTGCCGGCGTGGCCGAAGCTCGGGCCCGCCTCAGCCCCAGCATCCCTCTGGAGGCGCTGCGGGATAAAGCGCTGAGAATGCTGGGGGAGGCTGTGCGAGGCGGTGGGCAGCACGCACGTGACCCTGTCGGGGGCTCTGTGGAGTTCCAGTTTGTGCCCGTGCTCAAGCTCGTGTCCACCCTGCTGGTAATGGCTTCCTCCTGCCTCCCTCCGGCCCATTCTTCTTCCACATTCCAAATCACCCATCAATCCCCCTCTCATTTAGGCATCCAACCACCCATTCACCTCTCCATCCTCCACCTTTCAATTTATCCTTCTATCACCTACTCACCTTTCATTCACTTTTCCTCCCATCCATTCATCTGTCGTCTATTAACCTGTTTATTAATCTTTTCTCCCTTCTTTCCATTCACCCATCCAAACAACCATCATTCATCTATCTATCTATCTATCCTCCACCCGTCTATTCAAACATACCCCCATCTTCCTGTCCACAAGTCCATCCATGTATTTATCCTTCCATTCTCTGCCCGCAGATCCCTCCATCCATCCATCCATGTATCCATCTATCCAACTTTCAATCTAGTTGTCCATTCATCCTTGCATTTACTCATACATCAGTATATCTACCATTCCATCTATTCATTTATCTACCTAGCCATTTATTTATTAATCTCTCTTTCCTTTCATACATCCAATTATCATCCTCCTTCCACCTGTGCATACATTCATCCACATATCCATCCATCCACCCATCTACAGGTTCATCTGTTCCTTCATCTTCCACCTGCCTGTCTGTCCACCAATGCATCTCTCAATCCATATATATATATACACCTATCCACCTACCCACAAATCCATCCAACTATCTACACCCATTCATCTACCCACCATACACTCATTCTTCATCCTTTATTGCGTGTATCTTTTCACTCATTCACATACTCATCTAATGTCTCATCCATATATCCATCCATCCAAATTTTCATGTGCAAACCTATCCACCCATCCATCATCCAACCATCCCACCCCACCCCACCCCCTGGCTATTTACCCATTTATCTATTTACCCATCCACTCATTTACATACTCATGTACCTATCAAATCATCCATCCACCTACCCACCTATCCATACATTATATATCCTGTCATTCATCCACCCATCTCTTCCTCTACCTTTACCTTCACTTCTCCATCCGTTATCTGCCCACCAATTTCTCTCCCCTTCAAACCTCTACTATTTCATCTATTAATTCAGCCATACAGTTCTCTCCCCCACGTATCCATCTGTCTTTCCCCACTGTTTTTCCCTTTCATCTACCTGCTCTCCCTCCATCTGTTAGCATCTTCATTATGTTTACTGAGGGCTAGCATATACTGGGAGCTATGAGAGCATCCCATCAGGGTAGGGTGTGTCCTGTTCCAGAGTCACATATGCTCAAACTTAGGAGAAAGGACATTTGCTAGTGAAGGGAGAGGTGCTCATGTTTGGCTATGTGGTCTGGGCCAGGTTAGGTGGTATACAGGGTGTGGATCTGGGGGGACCTTAAGGAAGATGAATAGCAGGGCGGGGGGATGCCATTTCTTTGTGTAGGAGGAATCATATCTAGCCCATGTAGGAATGAATCTGACATGTGCAGGAGAAGCAGATCCGGGGAGTGAGGCTGGGATGTTGATTTGGAGGTCTTGTGAGCCACAGTGAAGGACCCAGGCTTTGTCCTGTAGGTGATGGGCATCTTTGCCGATGAGGATGTGAAACAGATCTTGAAGATGATTGAACCTGAAGTATTCACTGAGGAAGAAGAGGAAGAGGAAGAGGAGGAAGAAGAAGAGGAAGATGAAGAGGAGAAGGAGGAGGATGAGGAGGAAGAGGCACGGGAGAAAGAAGATGAGGAAAAAGAGGAAGAGGAGACAGCAGAAGGGGAAAAAGAAGAAGACTTGGAGGAAGGGCTGCTCCAGATGAAGTTGCCAGAATCTGTGAAGTTACAGGTGGGCTGATTCTTCCTGTTCTCCAGCCTCCCCCGATCTGGGCTGGGAGACACAGGATCTGGTGGGGCATGAGTCTGGACTTTGTCCCGAGCAAGTGGGGAGCTGTGGAAGTGCCACAGATGATTGGAGTGCTGCTGACTTCAAATGATCTCTCCGGTTGCCATGTGGCAGGTGGGTTGGAGCGATAAGACCATGGAGAAGCCTGGCTTAAGGATCCAGGCAGGAAACGATGATGGCAGATAGGACGGGGCCATGGAGAGGGGAGAAGAAACAAGTGAAGTTTCAAGGATGGTCTCATCACCATCATTCCTACTGCATGGCTGTCCTCCCACAGATGTGCCACCTGCTGGAGTATTTCTGTGACCAAGAGCTGCAGCACCGTGTGGAATCCCTAGCAGCCTTTGCGGAGCGCTATGTGGACAAGCTCCAGGCCAACCAGCGGGATCGCTATGGCCTCCTCATGAAAGCCTTCACCATGTCTGCAGCTGAGACTGCCCGACGTACTCGCGAGTTCCGCTCCCCACCCCAGGAGCAGGTACTCTGACCCTTGACCCCAGCTGGCATTACTGTCTAAACCCCAACTTTAACCTTTCCCCCTACTGATGATACGACACCTTTAAACTCATGCTTGACCTCTGACCCTATTGATATAATTATTTCTTACTCTTCTGCTTCTCTCTGAACCAGTCTTACCTCTTAGTCACTTCAGACGGACACTGACTCCATTCAAACCTCTAGTCTCTCAGATAGTGTTTACCAGCTCATGACCTTAAACAGGGACTCACAATTCAATCTTTGATCCTTGACCTCAGAGTTTCTGCTCTTGGGCCTCTGACCCTCATTCTAACTTTTTTTTTTTTAAAGATTTTATTTATTTATTTGAGAGAGAAAATGAGATAGAGAGAGCATGAGAGGGGGGAGGGTCAGAGGGAGAAGCAGACTCCCCGCTGAGCAGGGAGCCCGATGCGGGACTCGATCCCGGGACTCCAGGATCATGACCTGAGCCGAAGGCAGTCGCTTAACCAACTGAGCCACCCAGGCGCCCCAGCTCATTCTAACTTTTGACCTTCTTCTAGATAAACATGCTATTGCACTTCAAAGATGGTGAGGATGAGGAAGATTGTCCTCTCTCTGAAGACGTCCGACAGGATTTGCTTGAATTTCATCAAGACTTGCTGGTACACTGTGGTAAGAGAGATCACCCATCTCCCAAACTTTCTCTTGAGACCTCTCCTGAAGTTTCCCTAAGATTTCCTGATCTTAAATATGTACAGTATTGGTGCAGTGTAACTTTTGTTTGAATGAATGAATACGTGAATGAATGAATGAATTAATTAACAGACATATTAGTGAACAGACAGAGGATGAGTGGAAGGATAAGTTTGCATGGGTATTTGAGCAGATTATACAGGGATGGATGGCTATAGGCAAGTGAATGATGAGTGTGTAAATTGGTGGATAGAGAGATGAATGAATAAAGAAGTGGGGGAAGAGATGTCTGGGTGGATGGGTGGATAAAGAGAAGGATGATGATGGATGGATAGATATATGGATATATGGATATTTAAACTTGGATGGAGAGGTGGTTGGGTGGCTGGAGGGTTGAATGGGTAACCTCCATTGTTTCTGATAATAAGTCTGTTAATAATCTTACTAAGATTCTTTTATATGTTATGAGTGGTTTTTCTCTAGCTGACTTTCAAGTTTTCCATTTGCCTTTGCTTTGAAACAGTTGGGTACCATGTATCTAGGTATGGTGCTCTCTGATTTTATCTTACTTGGAGTTTGTTTACTTTCTTGGATGTGTAGATTAATATTTTGCATCAAATTTGGGACTTTTGGGCTATTATTATTCTCCAAGTATTTTCCCTGCCATTTCTCATCTCTCTTTCTGGGACTCTCACTATGCATATATTTATATACTTGATGGTGTCCCACAGGCTCTGAGGCTCTGTTAGTTTTTCTTCATTCTTTTTTTTTTTTTTAACATTTTATTTATTTATTTTGACAGAGAGAGAGACAGCGAGAGAGAGACAGCGAGAGAGGGAACACAAGCAGGGGGAGTGGGAGAGGGAGAAGCAGGCTTCCCACTGAGCAGGGAGCCCGAAGCCGGGCTCGATCCCAGGACCCTGGGACCATGACCTGAGCCGAAGGCAGACACTTAACAACTGAGCCACCTAGGCGCCCCTCTTCATTCTTTTTTGCTCTTCAGACTGGATAACCTCTATTGTCCTACTGATTCACTGATTCTTTCTCCCACCAGCTCAAATATGCTGTTGTACCCCTCTAGTGATTTTTAAATTTCAGTTATTGTACTTTTCAGCCCCAGAATTTCTATATGGTTATTTTTTATATGATCCACCTCTTTATTAATATTCTCTATTTGGGGAGTCATTGTCATCATACTTCTCTTTAATACTTTCAACATGATTTCCTTTAGTTCTTTGGACCTATTTACAATAGTTAGTTTAAAAGACATTTAAAATTCTTCAAAGGATGAATAAATGAACGAACATATGAACATATGGAGAAATAAACAAAAAAACCAAGAACACACACCTAAATGAGGAATGAATGAACCAATGAATGAAGAAGTGAATGGGTAGATGAATAAACACGCAGATGAATGACACCTTCTCCCTTTGACCAACTCCAGGAATTCAGCTGGTGGGGGAGGAGGAGGAACCAGAGGAAGAGGCCACCCTGGGCAGCCGCCTGATGAGCCTGTTGGAGAAAGTACGGCTGGTGAAGAAGAAGGAGGAGAAATCCGAGGAGGAACCACCTGCTGAGGAGAGCAAACCCGGTGAGGACTGGGGTGTTTGGGGAGGGGGCAGGAGTGGGACAGGCAGCCCTGAGCTTGGAGAGCCTCTAGGTCCAAGATAGGCTATGAGGAGTAGGGCAAGGGAGGGGTAGGTTAATGAGAGAGGAGGAGTGGGGGGTGGGGTGAGAGAAGAGGCATACTGGAAGTGTGGCCCAAGTGTGGGGGCTGCACGGTATGTGTGTTGGACCAGCATCCATATGGCCTGCCAGAGCAGAGACGTACATCCCACCTTGAGATGGTGGCAGCTTCTCTACCACCATGGCTTCTGTGTCCTCAGGGCTTGTCTTTGGTTTCCTCTTTTTTTTTTTTTTTTTTTTGGTGAAATGATTACTATGCTGAGGGATTAGAAAAGCAGTTATGATAAATATTGGGCCAATGGGCCATTATGCAAAATATATTTTAGCTCCATCCAACAATGACAGAGTCCTTGATGTTGGTACAGGGTTTATTCTACAACATTCAAGAAGTGGTTATTGGGCCAGCTCTGGGCCAGGCACTGTTGGCAGGGCTGGGAAATACTGTAGGGGGAAAGAGTCAAAATCTCTACCTTCCAGGAGTTTATAATATTATAACAGATACACATATACATATTCCATAATGTCAGGTGGCCACGGGTGCTAAGGGGAAAAATAAAGCTGAGTGATAGAAAAGAGAAGGGGTAAAGATGGAGGGGTCAGAGTGGGGGAGTGAGGTACACAAAGATCTGGGGAAGATAATTGGTACAAAAGGAATAGCCAGTGCAAAGACCCTGAGGCAGGAACATGCTTGGTGTGTTTAGAGGCCAATGTGGATGGAGCAGAGTGAGCAAAGGGAGAGGGGCAGGAGATGAGGTCAGAAGGGACAGGGCCAGATTGCGTAGCACTGGAAGGTCATGAATTGACACCATCATTCGGTGCCAGTGCATGGAGGTTTCTCTTAACCCTGAGACACGTGAGACATCTGTGCTTTCTCCCAGAAATCCTGGGAAGGAGAAGGGTTGGGAGAGAAAGAGAGACAGAGAGAGAAATGGACGCTGGATGTAGGAGAGAGGAGTCCCAGGGAGATGTCCAGGGAAAATAAAACAGTTCATTTTGATATCATTTCCAAATGATACCGAAGGCCACAGGTTTTCTTTGTGTCTGTTGTCTCTCTTGATGAAAAATCAGCAGTATTTTTACAGAACAAGTGGAATTATGACTTGTGCCTTCAAAGGTGAATTATATATTTCAAAGGTGCTTATAATGTACTCTGGTATTTTGAAGTGATACAATTTCTTTTTCCTCTTGAAACCTTGAGGGGGCCCTTGCTGTCTGGGTATTAGGGTGAAGAGAACAGGGAAGATCTTAGGGCAATAAAAAAAAAAATTCTTCCAGAATCTGCCCACTCCTGGCAAAAGGAGCGTTGGGGAGGTTAGTAACTGAAAAGCCCTCTGCAAAGAGGGGCCCTTTCTGCATTGTTCGGGCTCAAGGCCCCAAGCTGGCGGTGTTCTGATGCTTATGTCCCCTTCTCAGAGTCATTGCAGGAGTTGGTGTCCCACACAGTGGTGCGTTGGGCTCAAGAGGACTTTGTGCAGAGCCCCGAGCTCGTACGGGCCATGTTCAGCCTCCTGCACCGGCAGTACGATGGGCTTGGGGAGCTGCTGCGTGCCCTGCCCCGGGCATACACCATCTCACCGTTATCCATGGAGGACACCATGAGCCTGCTGGAGTGCCTCGGCCAGATCCGGTCCCTGCTTATCGTGCAGATGGGTCCCCAGGAGGAAAACCTCATGATCCAGAGCATTGGGTGAGGCCCTGCCCCCTCCCTGGATTTCGCACATCCCCCAGGAAGGAGGGGGGGCCCTCCTAGCTCCAGCTTGTCCCCCTGGCTCATGTCCCCTGGATGCAATAATGTCTCCATCCACTTCCTCCACTCCTGCCCCATCCTTGGGGTGATATACTTCTCCCAGGAGCTAGCCCATCTCCCTGGCTAATGTCCCCTCCCGTCCCTTCTTCCGTCCATCGCCCGGGGTAACAGCTCTTACTCACCTACAACTCTTGGCACAGGATTTACCCTCTTTGAGCTTCAGTGTTCATCTCTAAACTGGAGAAGAGCCATGCCTACCTCATAGCTCATGCTATTGGTAATGGTAATGATAGTATTGAGCACTCACTCAGTGTCGAGTGCCTCATTCATTCACTCAGCAAGCATTCACTGAGCACCTACTCTGTGCCAGGCCCCTTCTAGGCACTTGGGGAATACAACGTGCAACATGGTAAGGATCTCTGCCCTAAGGGAGTCCACCTTGGATCCATGCGTCAGTTCCCTTTTCTGTGAAATAGGGATAATTATAGTTCCTGCCTTCCAGAGTGGACATAAAGATTGAATGAGCCCAAATCTGTAAAGGGCGATGGTGCCAGGCATGAAGGAAGAGCTCAGTAAATGTTGACTATTATCTCAGTGGTGGTGACAGCTCTTCCAAGGGCCCAGGGGCTCTCCCTGGACTTGGGCTCCACCTGGCCCCTGGTGACCCTGTGTACTCTACCTCTTCACAGGAACATCATGAACAACAAGGTCTTCTACCAACACCCGAACCTGATGCGTGCCCTGGGCATGCACGAGACGGTCATGGAGGTCATGGTTAATGTCCTCGGGGGTGGTGGCGAATCCAAGGTAAGGGGCCTGTGTGGGCTGAGGAGCTCAGGGTAGGGAGCCATGGGGGGGCAGGCACTGACCACCGGCCCACTCTGCCTGCCCAGGAGATCCGCTTCCCCAAGATGGTGACAAGCTGCTGCCGCTTTCTCTGCTACTTCTGTCGCATCAGCCGACAGAACCAACGCTCCATGTTCGACCACCTGAGCTACCTGCTGGAGAACAGTGGCATTGGCCTGGGTGAGAACCCCTGAGCCCAGGCTGGGGGGCTGTCCCCCATGGCCCACTCTTGGAGGTCCATCCAAGCATTCATCTCTGCTGGCTCACTCATTCAGTCATTCAACAAACACTCACTCTCAACCTACCCCTAGGCTATAGCCCTGTGATGAGCAGGGCTGGGGATACCCTGCCAGCCCCAGCCCTGTCCCTTACAGGGCTCACGGTGCAGCGTGGGAGACAGACAGTGACGGCCCACAGTGGTCAGGCCAGAGGAGGCACCTGACCTAGGCTGTAAAAGGGCTGGTCGCGGAGGGCTTCAGAGAGGAGGTGAGACACACAGCAGTGAGACCATCAACTATATACCTCTGAAGACATTCTCCCTGCCCCTTGCCCTCACAGGTATGCAGGGCTCCACGCCTCTGGATGTGGCAGCTGCCTCCGTCATCGACAACAACGAGCTGGCCTTGGCATTGCAAGAGCAGGACCTGGAGAAGGTGTGGAAGAAGGAGGCCTGGCCCCTACGTGGCCCCTTGGGGCACCTGCTAATTTGGGACCCACTCTATAGGATGGCCCAGGATTGAACCAGAAGGGGAATCATTTGCAGGGGAAGAGCAGGACCTAGTCCCTCATTCATGGGCCCGAGTGCAAATCCACGCTTCACCCTCCCGCAGCTGCATGACCTTGGCACATTTCTTGGCCCTCTGTGCCCCCCACTTCTGTGGGTGGCGACTTAGGTCATGGGCTCTGGAGTTCAGCAACTTAGGCTAACTCCCCTTGCTCTCTTGCTGTGAGGCCTTGGACAAGTGACATAAATTCTCTGGGCCTCTGTCTCCTCGTCTGTAGAATGAATATAATAGAATAGCGATATCCTCAGGATAAAATGAGTTAATCCATGAAAGCATTTATAAAACAGTAAGCACGCAATAAGAGTTATCTGCTGTTGTAGTATTACTCATTCAACAACTATTTCCCGAGTACCTACTACGTGCCAGGACCTGTTCGAGGCGGTAGGGGTGTGACAGTGATAGAGAAAAGCAAAAGTCCTTGTCCTCACGAAGCTGACATTCCAGTTGGGAAGATGGATAATAGACAAGATGAATAAGTGAAATACATCGTGTATGAGCTAGTGACGAGTGTTAAGAATGAAAAAAGTGAGCGGGGGAGAGAAACATCAAGTGTCAGGAGGGTGTCCAAGTTTAGACAAGTGTGATCAGAGAATGCCTCACTGAGAAAGTGACATTCAGGTAAAGCTCTGAAGGACGAGAGGGGCCATATGGACATCAGGCGAAGAGCGTTCCAGGCAGGGGAACAGCAAAGGCCTTGAGACAGAAGTGAACCTCATGAGTTTGAGGAACAGCAAAGAGACCAGAATGGTTGGAGCAAAGGGAGTAAGGGGTTAGTGGTGGGAAGTGAGGGCAGGGAGGTGACAGGGAAGATTGTGCAGAGGGTCTTAGTGGGCCACTGAGAGGGCTCTGGGTCTTACCCTAAGTGAGGTGGTGCCACAGGAGGGTTCCAAGCAGGGAAAGGACACTTCTGTGTGTGTTGGGTGGGATAGACCAGGGGAGCAGGGAGCCCGGGAAGGAGGCCGCTGGGATGGTCCAGGTGGGAGATGAGGGTGGAGGAGGAGGATGATTGTTTGCTGAGATCCAGAAATGAATCTGGTTGCAGAGCTCCAGGGATGGGCAGGGACGTGTGAGCCTTGGGGAGGAAACGGTGTGGGTCTGGCCTCTGGCTGAGCCCCCCTCCACCCGCAGGTGGTGTCCTATCTGGCGGGTTGTGGCCTTCAGAGCTGCCCCATGCTCCTGGCCAAAGGGTACCCAGACATCGGCTGGAACCCGTGTGGTGGTGAGCGCTACCTCGACTTTTTGCGCTTCGCTGTCTTCGTCAACGGTGAGTCAGGAGTTGGCGGTGGCAGGGCAGGGGTCTGGGGGAGCTGATCAAAGCCTCCCTGGGGTGCAGGCCACACCCGGAGCCCCTGGCCGAGCATGGGCAGGGGTTTCCCCGGGTGGGCGGGGCCGGCAGGATGCGTGGGCCAGTGGGGGCCTGACGTTAGCCCTCGAGGTGCTGGGTCCTGGGCTGCAGGGGCCGTGGGGGGGGGGGGGTCCCTCGGCAGTGGCTCATGAGGCCTTCTGACCCCGCCGGAGCCACCAGGTGAGAGCGTGGAGGAGAACGCCAACGTGGTGGTGCGGCTGCTCATCCGCAAGCCCGAGTGCTTCGGGCCCGCCCTGCGGGGTGAGGGCGGCTCGGGGCTGCTGGCCGCCATCGAAGAGGCCATTCGCATCTCGGAGGACCCAGCGCGCGACGGCCCAGGCGTCCGCAGGGACCGGCGGCGAGAGCAGTGAGTCTCCCGCCTCCTCCTCCGCGGAACGGGCCCACCTCCTGGGTGCCCCTTGCTGCCTCCCCAACACTGCCCACCTTGCCCTGCAGTTTCGGTGAGGAGCCCCCGGAGGAGAACCGGGTGCACCTGGGACACGCCGTCATGTCCTTCTACGCTGCCTTGATTGACCTGCTAGGACGCTGTGCGCCGGAGATGCACGTGAGACCTAGACGTCCAGGGACAGGGAGTGGCATGCAGGGCCAACCTTGAACCTCTTCTGTCAGGCATTGGACAACATTGACTGAGCTCTCGCTCTGTGGGTGGTCTTAGGGGAGGCAGTCCTGGGGACAGACACACCAGTGATCAAGACAGCCCCAGGCCCGGCTCTCACGGAGCTCCCAGACCAGTGGGGGAGACCAAGCAATGAGGTCTAGAGGTGGTCAGGGCCACAGTAGAGAAGCACGGGCAGAGGAGTCAGGGCTGGGAATTCTAGAGTTTGCCCCACGAGTAGTCCCTCTCTACCTGTCAGTGGGTCAGGAAGGGATGGATGGAGTAAGGAGCACATGGGGCACAGGGCGCTGGATGATGTGCCCACCTCCTTCTTCCAGCTAATCCAAGCCGGCAAGGGAGAGGCCCTGCGGATCCGCGCCATCCTGCGCTCCCTCGTGCCCCTGGATGATCTTGTGGGCATCATCAGCCTCCCACTGCAGATCCCCACCCTGGGCAAAGGTGCGGAGGGGGCAGGCCTCAGCAAGGGAGGGATGCTGCGGAGGGAGTAGATGGGTCTGAAGGACATCTCTGACCACCCCCCCGCCCCGCCCTCCTGGCCCACAGATGGGGCTCTGGTACAGCCGAAGATGTCGGCATCCTTCGTGCCGGACCACAAGGCATCCATGGTGCTCTTCCTGGACCGAGTGTACGGCATTGAGAACCAAGACTTCTTGCTGCATGTACTGGACGTGGGGTTCCTGCCTGACATGCGGGCAGCCGCTTCACTGGACACGGTGAGCCCCGTGTAGCCACCCTCCCTGCCCCCAGAGAGGACGCAAGATGGGGCACGGCCATAGCGGCCGTGCTTCTGTTTGTCTGGGCTTGTGTACATATCCTAATCCTACCCACCCCCCATCCCCGGCAAGATAGAAAACAAAAACCAAGATAAACTCTGAGTTCTGGGCGAGGGTGGGTGGAACTCTCCAACATCTCATCTTTCTTATTTAAGAAATAATCATTCTTGATGATGGCTCAGCCCCAAGGAAACAGACCTGCGCACAACAGCAACGATAATAGTTATATAGATATATAATAGTAACACAGTTAGATTATAGGAGGGGACACAGCCCAGCAAGATGAGGACAGACTTGACCGCTGGTGTGGCCAAATGGAGGTCACTGATGAGCTTGCTGAGCACTTTCAGTGAGGCGGTTGGGGAAGAGCCTTACTGGAAGGGGTTTACAAGAGTCTGGCAGGTGACATATTGGAGACAGCAGGTGTCAACAATTCTTTACACAAGCTGGTGACAGAGGAGGCAGAGGAATGATGATATGCTGGATAGGTGACCTTGGCTGGCTCTTTATGTGGAGCGTGAGACTTTTGATCTCGGGGTTGTGAGTTCGAGCCCCGCGCTGGGTGTAGAGATTATGTAAAAATAAAAAAAAATCTTTAAAAAAGAACAAAACAGAAAGGAAGGGAGGAAAGAAGGAAGGAAAGACGGAAGGAAAGACTGAGGGCAGATGCACAAGTTAAAGTGCACCACCAGGACATGACCAGTCAAAACCAAGATACAGGAAACGCCACTGGATAAATGATCCAGTTTTTCCAGCAAATAAATAGCATTAAAAAGAATAGGAGGGGGCACCTGAGTGGCTCAGTCGTTAGGCATCTGCCTTCGGCTCAGGTCATGATCCCAGGGTCCTGGGATCGAGCCCCACATCAGGCTCCCTGCTTGGTGGGAGGCCTGCTTCTCCCTCTCCCACTCCCCCTGTTTGTGTTCCCTCTCTTGCTGTGTCTCTGTCAAATAAATAAATAAAATCTTAAAAAAAAAATAGGAAAGGAGATAATTACAGATGAAAAGACCTGAGACCCAGAAACCAGACACATACAATATGGGGGCTTCTGGGTGCCCAGATCCAAACAATCCCAGCTAAATGTAAAGCAATTTTTGAGACAATTGGAGAAAGCTGATCATGAATTTTGCGCACTTGTTAATTCTGCTGGGTGTGAAAATGGCGGCCTGGGATGTGAAACAGAAGCACCTGTCTGAATAGAGATACATATTTAAATATCTCTGGGTAAAGCGGTGTATGGCTGGAGCTGTATAAAAATATTACAGGAGGGCGCCTGGGTGGCTCAGTTGGTTAAGCGACTGCCTTCAGCTCAGGTCATGATCCTGGAGTCCCAGGATCGAGTCCCGCATCGGGCTCCCTGCTCAGCGGGGAGTCTGCTTCTCCCTCTGGCCCTCTCTCCTCTCATGCTCTCTCTCACTCTCTCTCTCTCAAATAAATAAATAAAATAAAATAAAATAATATTACAGGAAAAAAAGGTGAGTTTGGAGAGGAAATAAGTACGCAGAACGATATCTGCTGAACAGTCTACTCTGGATAACGAGCGTTCATTCCTTGGTTCCTCGACTTCTGTATGTTTGAAATTTTGCATAGTTCAAAGTAATAATAGACACGACGGTGGGCAGTCTTGCGCGGTGGGGGCGGGGGGGAGATTCGAAGCCAGGGCCACCCGGGGAGCGGGCGCCAAGCAGTCCTGACGCCGCCGCTCTGCGCCCAGGCCACTTTCAGCACCACGGAGATGGCGCTGGCGCTGAACCGCTACCTGTGCCTGGCGGTGCTGCCACTCATCACCAAGTGCGCGCCGCTCTTCGCGGGGACCGAGCACCGCGCCATCATGGTGGACTCCATGCTGCACACGGTGTACCGCCTGTCCCGCGGCCGCTCGCTCACCAAGGCGCAGCGCGACGTCATCGAGGACTGTCTCATGTCGCTCTGCAGGTTGGGGGGGGCCGGGGGGCGCGCGGGCGGGGCGGCGGGGAGGGAGGGGTGCGGCCGGCCTGGGGGTGAGACCCCGCCGCCCGGTGCGTGTCCCCGCAGGTACATCCGCCCGTCGATGTTGCAGCACCTGCTGCGGCGCCTGGTGTTCGACGTGCCCATCCTGAACGCGTTCGCCAAGATGCCGCTCAAGGTGAGGGCGGCCCTCTTCAGCGTGCGGGGCCCTCGGGCCTCCGGGCTGCGTGTCCCGCACCGCGCAGCCCAGTTAGCCTGCAAAATGTGAGGGCAGCGTCCCCACGGCAACTTCTCTGGCCTTCTCATGGCATACCAGGATTTCCAGGACGGTCACTTGGCGTCATTGGTGCCTCTACCGCCCCCTCATTGGCGCTTGATTTGCCTAACAGTGAGCCAGGCCTCACCTAAATTCACACAGATTTGCATGGAGTACACTGCTTTCCTTAATTAGCATGCTTATTTGCATGCCCAGACCACCAGCCTTACTCTTTTCAAATGAGTGCATTGATTTGAATAAATAGCACCCCAACTATTCTGAATATTTGCACAGTGTCTCCTATAATTTTTTTTTTTAATTTGCCTGCTGGTTTGCATAGGAGATACCTCCAACTCAGATATCTTGACTGTTATACATAGTACATCTAAATCAGCCCGTTTCAAATTTGTGTAGTGGATATGAGGCCCTCTTCCCAATTACCATATATTTGCATGAGGTTCTGCCTATATTTGTTTGCCATGGCCATTCTTGGGAGCACAGATCACTCCGTCCATATGTCCATTCGCTCTTCACACACAACCCTACCTATGAATTGATATTAGCACGCTTGTTTGTGTGAAGCAACACCAGACAAATGCAGCTCTGGTTGAATAGCCATCCTGACTCTAAATGGGATGGCTAAATTTGCATAGTAAATGGTCCCAGACCACTCCCCAAGAAGCATACCATTTTCCCTCATTAGCATCATTTGCATAATCCATATCGCCTTCATAATTTAAAGGCCCTAGCACCCCTGGCCTCCTCGGGCTTTCTTTTGCCTGCCACCTACCACGTGCCTCTCATCTGTGTGTCCCCCTCTTGCTTCCACCCAGCTCCTCACCAACCACTATGAGCGCTGCTGGAAGTACTACTGTCTCCCCACGGGCTGGGCTAGCTTCGGGGTCACCTCCGAGGAAGAGCTGCACCTCACTCGTAAACTCTTCTGGGGCATCTTTGACTCGCTGGCCCATAAGGTCTGGGCACGTGGGGGAGGAGGGGCTGAAAGGAGCCTGTTTGGAGGGTTTGGGGCCCAAAGTTGGGGGGATCCCGAATGAAATTCCCAAACTTGGGGTTCAGAGAGGGAGCCCCCAATCATGCAGGTTTGGATCCAGAAGAATCTATGAGTTGGGTCTCTGGTTTGGTTGTAATGGGAGAGGGGTTGGGTCTCTGGTTTGGGAGCTTAGAGAGGGGTGATATAGGGGTGGTTTTGAGGGTCCAGGTGGGCTGAGGTTTGGGTTTCAGGGAGAGAGATCATAACTGATGTGTGGTGGCCCAGGGAGGAGGGTTGATTGTTGGAGGGGTGAGTTTGAGGTCCTAGGGCTCCAAGGTTTGAAGGCCCAGCCAGGCCTGCAGTGACCACACTCCCCACCCCTGGTGTCCCCAGAAGTATGATGCAGAGCTCTACCGCATGGCTATGCCTTGTCTGTGCGCCATCGCAGGGGCCCTGCCCCCCGATTACGTGGATGCCTCATACTCATCCAAGGCGGAGAAAAAGGCCACGGTGGACGCTGAAGGCAACTTCGATCCTCGGCCTGTGGAGACCCTCAAGTGAGGCCTGGGGGGCAGGAGTGGGGTGGGGATTGGGGGCTGCGGGAAGGAGAAGGTTTCAGACATGGAAGGAGGGGCCAGCCCCAACATCTGCCCACCCTATCCCCCCTAATAGTGTGATCATCCCAGAGAAGCTGGACTCCTTCATTAACAAGTTTGCGGAGTACACGCATGAGAAGTGGGCCTTTGACAAGGTTGGTACCAGGGTGCTCCCCTCCCCAGCAACCCCCATTCCTGCCGGCCTTTCTCAAGACCCCAGCTTTCCCCCAGACCCAGGTCTTCCCTGAGGCCCCAGATTTCCCTGAGACCCCTAACTCTTCCTGAGACCCCAAACCTCCCCTGGAGCCCTCAGCCCCTCCAGGGACTCCCCCAGGAGTCCCCCAGGCTGCTGTCTACCCCTCATCCTGCCCCCACCCTCAGCTCTGTAGTAGCGCTGCCCCTCCCTGTCCCCTCTGCACCTCCAGATCCAGAACAACTGGTCCTATGGGGAGAACATAGATGAGGAATTGAAGACCCATCCCATGCTGAGGCCCTATAAGACGTTTTCAGAGAAGGTGAGCAAGTCTTGGGGCCCAATGCTAGGGGTCCAAAAGGTAACCTCCAAATTTGGGGGTTCAGGGAGGAGAGAGGCTGCTTCATCAGTTCGGATCTAGCTGGGACTGCACGTTAGGGTCCCTCATCCCTGGACTTTGCCTCGCCTAGACCCCGGACTTCTCGTGTTCCTTCTCTTAGAAAGAGTTAGAGAGACCGAGTTTGATTCCTTGACCATCAACTTAATTTCTCTGAGTCTCATGTGTAAAATGGGATGAGAGTTTGTTTGGGAGGCACTGTTACAAAGCGGGTAAGAGACCTGGGTTCAAATCTAAGCTGGACCACTTCCTCCTAGCCACGTGGTGGAGGCTTTCCCCTTCTTAGGACCCCGGAGGCCAGCCAGTAAGGCTCCTACCGCCACCCCCCTCCAGTCCCATCCCACCAACTGCCCACCTTTCTGTCCACCCCAGGACAAAGAGATTTACCGCTGGCCCATCAAGGAGTCCTTGAAGGCCATGATTGCCTGGGAATGGACGATAGAGAAGGCCAGGGAGGGTGAGGAGGAAAAGACCGAGAAGAAGAAAACGCGGAAGATATCCCAAAGCGCCCAGGTGGAGGCGGGGAGCGGGGGCGGGGTCATGGGGGTGGTGAGCGGCTAGAATAAGGGGCGGGGCCAGTAGGGGCGGGGCCAGGCAGGAGGTGGGGTTGAGAGAGGAGAAGGGCGAAGCGAGGGAGGTGAGGTCCGCAGAATCCGGGAGGCCGGGAGCCGGGTGCTGGGCAAGACTGAGGGACCTGGGAAAGGAGTGGGCCTGGGTCTGAAGAACCGCAAAGGGCAGAGGAGAGGAGGGCTTGGCTTAGAGACGGGGCCTTAAGGAGAGGGTGCAGAGCCGGGGTCTAGGGCCAGGTGGAGGGGGTAAACTATGTTGGGGCCCCGGCTTCCTGCTAGCCCATCAAGCCCTCCCATCTCTCCTTCGTCCTCCCAGACTTATGATCCGCGCGAAGGCTACAACCCCCAGCCCCCCGACCTCAGCGGAGTTACCCTGTCCCGGGAACTGCAGGTGAGACTCCTGATCTTTTATCTAGCGGCATGGAGGTGATTGTCGGGGTTGGGGAGGACATCTTCTGAGTCTGGGCCCTGCCTCTTTCATCCACTCCCAGGCCATGGCAGAACAGCTGGCCGAAAATTACCACAACACGTGGGGGCGGAAGAAGAAACAGGAGCTGGAGGCCAAGGGTGAGGGCGCCCATCCCATCCCCGCACAGATCCCTCTTCACCAAAGTCCCCTAGTCATAGGCTCCAGAGTCATAGGGTCTAGATTAGAGTTGTGTGACTTCGAACAGTTGCTTTCACCCTGCCCCCCCCCGCCCCAATAATAACAGCATCTACTACCATAGGATTGTGGCGAGGATATGACGATCATCTGAAAACCATGTTTTGGTTATTCTTACCTCTGTTTTTATTGCTATAATTATGCATGCCCTCAGCTTCAAGAACCACTTCGGTGAGAGTGGCCTGGGTCTCCCAAGTCCTCTGATTTCTGGTCTTTGCTGCTCCAGGTGGCGGGACCCACCCTCTGCTGGTCCCCTACGACACACTCACAGCCAAGGAGAAGGCACGAGATCGAGAGAAGGCCCAGGAGCTGCTAAAGTTCCTGCAGATGAACGGCTACGCTGTCACCAGGCACGTGGGCTGCAAGCCTGGCCAGGGAGGGGCGGGGAATGTGGGAGGAACTAGCAAGGCAGGAACTGGGAAAAGCTGGGTTGGGGTAACGGGGCAGGGCCGGAGAAGGGAGGAGGCTAAGAGGGGTGGGGCCTGGAGAGCAGGGGTGGGGCCAGAGAAGGAAGGTGGCTGCGAGTGTGGGGCCTGGAGGGTGAGGGAGGGGCCAGAGAGGAGAGGAAGGGGGACCCTGGGGGGGGGGGGACGAGGCCAGAGAAGCCTGCAGAGTCAGGGCCTAGGGGAGCGGAAGGGGAACTGGAGAGGAGTGGGAGACTGGGCGGGCCTTCCTGTGGGCTGACTCCTCTCTGCCTGTCCACCCAGAGGCCTTAAGGACATGGAGCTGGACACGTCTTCCATTGAGAAACGGTTCGCCTTCGGCTTCCTGCAGCAGCTGCTGCGCTGGATGGACATTTCCCAGGAGTTTATCGCCCACCTGGGTACGGCGGAGTCCCTCTGCGCGTCCGCCATATGTCATACGTGCAGTTCACCTAAGGCCCCAGTTCATGCATTTCTCCTTCCCTCCCATCATCTCATTATTGTGCCAGATGCTGTTCCAGGTGTTGAGAACACTGTTCCAGGTGTTGAGGGCAGTGAACAAGACAAAGATCCCTGTCCTGTGTTTATAGTCTTGTGGTGCATTCAGACAATTAACACCAGATAACAGGTTTTTAGAAGGCAGTTAGTGTTTGGGGAAGAAGAATACACTTGAGCCAGCTAAGGAAGATTAGGACTGGGGGAAAGTGGGGCCGGTTAAAATTTAAATAAAGTATTCAAGAAGACCTTGAAGGAGCTGGGAGGGAGCTTGTGTGAGGAGAGTATTCCAGGCAGAGGAACAGCCAGTGCGAAGGCTCTGAGAGGTCCCTGGTGTGAGTAACAGGAGGCCCAAGTGGGGCCGAAGCAGAGTGACTGAGGGAGAGAGCGTGAGGAGGTGGGGGCAGAGACGTGACGGGGTCGATCATATAGGGCTTTGCAGGCATGGGGAGGACTGTGGCTTTTTACCCTGAGTGGAATGGCACCAGGGAAGGGTTCTGAGCAGGAGAGGGCTGTGACCTGCCTCAGGTGTTCACAGACTCCCCTTGGCCGCACTGTGGGAGGGACTGTGGGCATAGGGACATAGAGGGTGAAGACTGGGCAGATCCTGGATCTCTTTTGAGGGCGGAGGCTGTTGGTATGCCCTGCACATGTCTCATACGTCCCACTAAGAATCACAGCTGGCCCCTAGAATCCCTCCCAGCTTCCCCCGGAGAGCCACCCAGGACCCCCGGACGCGCTCAGATGAGGTGGCACGGCAGGACTCACTCTCACACATCTCTCCTCAAGTCCCACACGCTGATCCTCCGTGCTGAGCACCTCTTGGCAACTCCCTCTCCTCCCTGTGCCTCAGTTTCCCCATCTGTCCACCATAACTGGCCACAGTTCTGTCCCTTGCTTGCTGGGTGACCTGGACTGAGTTATTTCACCTCAGCTCCCCCGTCTGTAAAATGAAAGAAAGGGACCAACTATACAGACCTCCAAGTTGGGAGGCAATTGTACAAGCATATTTCTCGCAGTGCTGGTGACATAGCCAGCGTTTAATAATGGGAGTCAGCATTATAATTTTAGTAGTATTAATCAGTACTGTCACCATTACTATTGTCTGAAATTGATTTCCGCTCTAAAATCAATTCGAATCTGTCTACACTGACTTCTTGTTTCATGCATTCGTTCATTCCAAATTGATTCAGTGCCAAGTATCAAAGTTCAGGGAGAAAAGGACCTGTAAGGAAGGGGATGTCCCATGGCCTTACCCCATCCCAGTTTATCCTGCTCCCCATTGTCAGCCTCAGGAAGGGTTTGATCAAGGAGTTAGGGAGGGATCAGATGAGAGATAGGGGAGAGCGGTTCACCTTGAAGCCAGCAGAGGTGACTTTATACCAAGAATTAATCTCTCATCTTTTCCTACCTTTGCCCCAGAGTTCGCCCCCCCCATTAGAACACCCGGAAATCCCCAGCCTTGAACCCACCATGACTCCTGTTTTCCCTCCCCCACCAGAGGCTGTGGTCAGCAGTGGACGAGTAGAAAAGTCCCCACACGAACAGGAGATTAAGTTCTTTGCCAAGGTGAGGGGTGGGCTCAGAAGCTGGAGGGGACTGGGGACTGGGTGGGCTCCCCTACCCTTCACCCAGTCCCCCTCATCTCTTCCCCCCCCCCCCCCCCCGCCCAGATCCTGCTCCCTTTGATCAACCAGTACTTCACCAACCACTGCCTCTATTTCCTGTCCACACCAGCCAAAGTGCTGGGCAGTGGCGGCCATGCCTCCAACAAGGAGAAGGAAATGATCACCAGGTGGGCTACCCTGTGACCTCTGACCCAGCCCCTTGACCTCACAGGGTTGTAATCCTGGACCCTTTCCGCCCAATCTTGGATCTTGGGGGCTCTGTGCTGGGTGTTGGGCACTAATCACTCTACCTGCAGAGGGAACTGAAGGGTGAGGGTGACCAGCTGTCCTGTTGTGCCCAGGCCCGACAGGTTTCCCAGGACATGGGACTTTCAGGCAAATGGGGTGAATTGGCCACCCAGTCAGAAAGGCAGACCAGCCTCCCCAGTCCCCAGCACCCATGTTTCTGCCTGTGACTCTCAAGCTTGCTCATCTCCCTGCGCCCTCCCCGCCCTTCCTCTCCTCTTCATTTTCTTCCCCATCATCCTACACTCTCCTGTTCCTCTGTCCCTGTCCCTCTAATTGCATCACTGCTGTCCTTGTCCCTCGATATCCTCAGTACCTGTTTTCCCTGTCCTTCTGTCCCCTTCTTTCTTCAGCCTCTTCTGCAAGCTTGCCGCTCTTGTCCGTCACCGAGTTTCTCTCTTTGGTAAGTAGCTCTGCTCCCCCAGCTCTTCTCCCAATCTTCCCTCTCTCCCTGCAATCGCCAGCCCCACCCTGAAGAAAGAGTTCCCGGTTCAGGCCTTGATCTGAGCAGTCTTCACTGTGTCCTTCCTCTGCACCTGGGCACGGACGAGGTCATCCTGGGGACAGGGCTGTGACTGGGACAACACTGGGCCCTGCCCTCATGGAGCCCCCAGGCCAGTAGGGACACAGACTCATCCCCAGACCGTGATGGCCGGAGGGGTCCGGGCTGGGATGGTGGAGGCACAGGCAGAGCGGGTTTGGGGAAGGACAGGGGTCCAGGTGGAGGGGGGCTGGGGCTGAGGTGGAGGTAGAGGAAGGCACTGCCCTCTTAGCCCTTCCTTCACCCTGGCCCGTCTTCCTTTCCCAGGGACAGATGCTCCAGCTGTGGTCAACTGTCTTCACATCCTGGCCCGCTCCCTGGATGCCAGGTATGGGGCATGGTGCCCATTCCCGCCCCTGTTCTCCTCGGCTGTCTGAAATCTAGAATCTCCGATTCTAGAACTGGCGCACCCTGGCTTCCCTCCTAGGACGGTGATGAAGTCAGGCCCTGAGATTGTGAAGGCTGGCCTCCGCTCCTTCTTCGAGAGTGCGTCAGAGGACATCGAGAAGATGGTGGAGAACCTGCGCCTAGGCAAAGTGTCCCAGGCACGCACGCAGGTGAAGGGCGTGGGCCAGAACCTCACCTACACCACCGTGGCCCTGCTGCCTGTCCTCACCACGCTCTTTCAGCACATCGCTCAGCACCAGTTCGGAGACGACGTCATCCGTAAGGGCCCCCGGCCCCGAGGGTGGGGGTGGGGGGCCGAGTAGGCCAACACCAGACATCCCCATGCACCTGACAGAGCCCCCAGGTGTTTGTGTGAGTGGATTCATTGCTCTGAGCCAAGGGTGCATTCAGTGAATTGGTAGCCAACAGAATGAGTTAGTGAGGGTATGAGTTCAGCCACTCTAACAAAAAGACCCTAAATCACCGTAGCTTAAACAGGAAGGAAGGGTATTTCTTTCTCATGTAACAGTCTAGTTGTAAGTGGCTCCTCACGTCAGAAGCCCAGGTGTCCTCCATCTTGGTACTCTGCCATCTTGGAAATACCGCCTCTACCCTGTGGTCCAGGATGGCACAACGTACATCCTCACTCTAGCCTGTAGGAGAAGAGAAGACCCAAAGAAGAGGGCATTGCAGTTCTTTTTTTTTTTTTTTTTTTAAGATTTTATTTATTTATTTATTTGAGAGAGAGAGAATGAGAGACAGAGAGCACGAGAGGGAAGAGGGCAGAGGGAGAAGCAGACTCCCTGCCGAGCAGGGAGCCCGACGCGGGACTCGATCCTGGGACTCCAGGATCATGACCTGAGCCGAAGGCAGTCGCTTAACAGACTGAGCCACCCAGGCGCCCACATTGCAGTTCTTTTAAAGGAACAACCTAGAAGTGGTCTGCATCACTCCTGCTGACATCCATCTGGTTGGCCAGGATTTAGCATGTGGCCGCATGTCACCGCAAGGGAGGCTGGGGAAGTGGCCTTTATTCTGGGAGGTCGTGTGTCCAGCTAACTATTGTAGGGCTATTACTAGGAAGAAGAAAAGAGCAGAAAAAGGTTAAGAGCAGATATCGGGAGTCCATTAGCAGTATGTGCTGTGTTGATGCTACCTGTATGGTGTGTGACCCAGCCTGGGGTCTTGGGACATAATAGGGAGCAACGTGCCTTTGTTAATGAGACCCGGGCAAGATGCTACACTCAGTGGGGTGTCAGGTACTCAAAAGAAAGAGCCTTACCAGATGCGGCCTGGACTATGGTGGAGCAATGCAGGAAAGGACAGGAGGAGCTGATGGGACAGACGCCCAGAAGGCCGAGGGGATGGGCTTGGCAGGGAGGCAGCCAGAGTGAGGCCCGAGGCCCTGGCCCAGGACCCACGGACGGTGGGCCTTCCAGGAGACAGGGGTTGGAAGAAATAACCAGTTTGGGGTAGATGCTGAGGTCAGTTTGGGACTTGGTGGTTGCGAGGGGCCCAGGGAGGTGTCCCTGTAAGGGACCCTGTAAGGTGTCCAGGATGGGCTGGAGGGCCGGTGGGCTGGGGGGACTGGCAGATAGTGGGGCCATGTCTCAGCTCACTGTTTATTTGAAATTGGAACCTCTTGATAAAAGTAACGCTTGGATGGGGTTCTTCCCCCACCCCCACATTTTATTTAGAAAAATTTAAAGTGTCCAGGAAAGTCAGAAGAAGAGGATTGTTAACAATTTGCCCATTTGCTTAGCCTTTCACTTTAGGGGTGAAAGTATTTATAAACTCTTTTGTTGAACTTTTGAATGTGAGTTCTTAGCACACACTGACACCTCATCCCTAAATACTGAGTCTGCATCTCTTAGAATCGGAACCTCTGCCATGTAATCACAATGTCATTGTCACCACGTAACCTGACTGTATTAAATTTTCCTCGTTACCCTTAAAATGTCTTTGATTTAAAAAAAAAAAATTCAGAATCCAGTCAGGTTTCTCTCGTTGCATGTGGTTATGTCCGCGTAGTCTCTTCCATCTAGAATCTGCCCCTTGCCCTCTTCTTGTCTCGTGACATTTGTGAAGTTGTTGAGGTTCCTAATCTGGCCTTCCAGCGGCGGGGGTAGGTGGGGGATGGTGGATGACCTCAAATTTTTGTCAGGATTGGATGTTTGTTTGCATTTTTCTGGAAAGAGTGTTCATCACTATCATCAAAAAGACCCATGACTCTTCTCTAAGGAAGGAACAACTAGCCTTTATTGAGTGCCTGCTGTGTGCATGTTCCAGTTGGTTTCCAAGCATTAACCCTTTTGATCCTCACAACCACCCCACGAGGAAGATACTGTAATTATCCCCATTTACAGATAAGGAAACTGAGTCCAAAGAGAGTTGGTACTTGCTCAAGTCACAAAACTGGTAAATGGCAGTCTGGCTCTACAGCCCTGCTCTTACCCAGTATTTGGAGATGAGGGAGGAGGGCAGGGGAGCACTGGTACGGTGGGTGCATCCCCAACCCTCGCCCTCCCTCTCTCCCTCAGTGGATGATGTCCAGGTCTCTTGCTACCGAACGCTGTGCAGTATCTACTCTCTAGGAACCACCAAGAACACTTACGTGGAAAAGTAAGGAGATAGAGCCGTAGTTGGGGGCTGGTGTGGGGACTGTGCGGGGGGCGGGGGGGCGGGCTCAGGGAAAGGAGGGAGCAGGAGAAGATGGGGGTGAGTGAAGAGCAGGAGAGATTGTTCAAAGGCTTCAACAACGGACGTGTTTGGTGGCAGCTGCAGTTCACCAGGGCGGCCACGTGAGGGCGCTCGGGGGAAGGCCAGTGAAGGAAGTGGCCGCCTGGGGCTCAGGGGTCACATCGGCCCCAGGCACTGGCTGCCCAGGATGGCCGGTGCTCCCCACGGGGGAACGAGCTTGCTCTGGCAGGGGGCCCACAGAAACGGGGGTGGTACACGGGAGCCACAGCAAGCTGGGGGCACCGGGGAGCGCCCCCCCCCCCGGCGGTGGCCATGTGGGTGGGCTCTCCTGAGCTGGGATCACCTGTTGGAGCAAGAGGGCACTTAAGAAACCCAGGGACAAGGCTACACCGGTGCCCTCGGTGGATGACAGCTCTGCTCGGGAGAGATCTGGGGAGAGGAACTGCTGCAGGGACAGAGGCTGGGACCCTGGAGCAGGTGGGTGGGGGGGGTGGGAGCTAAGTAGCCCCCTCTTCCAGGCTGCGGCCGGCCCTCGGGGAGTGCCTGGCCCGCCTGGCGGCCGCCATGCCAGTGGCATTCCTGGAGCCTCAGCTGAATGAGTATAACGCCTGCTCGGTGTACACGACCAAGTCTCCCCGGGAGCGGGCCAGTAAGTGGTGTGGCTCTGGGGCAGCTGTCCGGCCTTACGTTCTCCCTGGCACAGGGCCTGGGGGCAGGGGGAGCCCGCTTTGGGGGCAGTGTGGTCCGATCTGGACTCTGAGGACTGAGGATCCCCCAGGTTGGGGGCACTCTGGGCTTGTGGGGGGCCTGGGTTGGTGGGGTGGATGCTGAGGTCTGGGGGTGATGGGTTGGAGTACCCTGACTCCTCCCCGCACCCCAGTCCTGGGGCTCCCCAACAGCGTGGAGGAGATGTGTCCTGACATCCCGGTGCTGGAGCGGCTCATGGCAGATATCGGGGGGCTGGCCGAGTCGGGGGCCCGCTATACGGAGATGCCACACGTCATCGAGATCACGCTGCCCATGCTATGCAGCTACCTGCCCCGCTGGTGGGAGCGCGGGCCCGAGGCACCCCCACCTGCCCTGCCCGCTGGGGGCCCCCCACCCTGCACGGCGGTCACCTCCGACCACCTCAACTCCCTGCTGGGGAATATCCTGCGAATCATCGTCAACAACCTGGGCATTGATGAGGCGTCATGGATGAAGCGGCTCGCAGGTGCGTCTGGGGGGCCGGCACCGGGCCTCTGAGGGCTGGGGCCAGTGTCCTGGAACTCGAGCCCTTTGATCTGATGGTCTGAGAGGGAGATCCCGGGGCCCATGGTTTCCTGGGAGTTGGGAGGAGTTGGAGTCTAGTTTTGCTCAGGGTCAGAAGGCCAGGGGTCATCGCAAGGGGTCAGAATCTTAGGCTCATAGGCTCTGGGGTTAGACGGATGGGTCCTGGGAGTCTTCCGGGCTGGATTCTGAATTTCTGGAATGTTGGAGAGGGTGAGGAGCTGGGTCAGAGGCATGGGTTCCTTATACAAAGGGTCAGAGAACCAGGTCAAGCATCAGGGTCTCTGATATGGATGGGGTTGTAGGTCAGAGGTCAAGAAATGAGTCTTTAAAGGGCTGGGATCCCTGGCTCAGAAGTTCCGTTTCAGGAATTGGGTCAAGCTAGAGACTGGGGGCAGAAGTCAGAGACTGGAGTAAGACACCGGGGGTCACAGAAATCATGTAGTGACATAGGGGTCTGGGTCTGGGCTAGGTCAGAGGTTAAAGACTGGGGTGAGAGGTCATGGGCTAGGGTAAGGTATCAGGTTATGATTCAGTTGTTGGGGTCAGAGGTCAGGGGCTTCTGTCGGGTTGGGGGTCACAGGTCCAGGTCAAGGGATATGGTTGGGACCAAGTATCAGGGGCTGTGTCAGAGGTCAGGGCCTGAGGTCAGGAATGGGATCAGAGGTAGAAGCTAAGGTCAGAAGGCAGGGTCAGGCTGGGGTCCACAAGAGCTGCTGGGTCAGAGGTACAGGTCGGGAATCACGGGCTGGGAGCAGAGGTCAGGAGTGAGATCAAAGGTCATAGGTCAGGTGCCGGAGTTAGAGGCTGGCCGGCAGCAAGTCCCCCGCACGCCCCTTTTGCTCCTGCAGTGTTCGCCCAGCCCATAATGAGCCGGGCCCGGCCTGAGCTCCTGCATTCACACTTCATCCCCACCATTGGGCGCCTGCGCAAGCGGGCCGGGAAGGTGGTGGCCGAGGAGGAACAGCTGCGCCTGGAGGCCAAGGCCGAAGCTGAGGAGGGCGAGGTCCTGGTTCGGGACGAGTTCTCTGTGCTCTGCCGGGACCTGTACGCCCTCTACCCGCTGCTCATCCGCTACGTGGACAACAACAGGTCAGCATGTGCCCAGCCGTCCCCATGCACAGTCAGTCTGACCTCCCGCTTCCCTGAACCCCAGCGGACCCCCCATCTTTTGAGTGACTATTAATTTTTTCTGATTCTCACCTGAGCCCACCCAGCCTTCTGACCACTCCCCACAAAATCCAGCCCGCTGGTGTCTGCTTCCCTTTTGCTCCTTTACACCTGCTGAGTCGGAGCCCCTGGGAGGCTACCGTGTCAGCCGTAAGGAGCCCTGCTTCCCACCCCGCTCCCTGCCCCAGCACTGTCTCCAGGCCTGGGTGGATGGGGCCCCATGGTCAAGTTTTCCTCCATCACTGAGAGGAAGGGGAGACAGTCCAGATCCGGCCAGCCTGGTTTCTCTCAGAAACAGGTCCTTAATAAAAGCAAGAACAGGTATCAACTGATTGCCAACATCTCCCTAAAATCAGAAGCACTATTTAAAGAATTATTACCTCCTAGGGGCAGCCTAATCTGGGGGTAGTGAATACGTTTCAACTCCAAGTTCCATCCTGGTGGAGAAGTTTTTTTTTTTTTTTTTTTTTTTTGAGACAGAGAGAATGAGAGAGAGAGCACATGAGAGGGGGGAGGGTCAGAGGCAGAAGCAGGCTCCCTGCCGAGCAGGGAGCCCGATGCGGGAATCGATCCAGGGACTCCAGGATCATGACCCGAGCCGAAGGCAGTCGCTTAACCAACTGAGCCACCCAGGCGCCCCTGGTGGAGAAGATTTTAAGGTTGCATCAGGGCTTCGTAAGAAAGGGGGCTGGGATTGATTAGCTATGTCTGTCATGGGAGCAGCCATGGGAAGCAGTGGTGCGCATGCTGGATACATCCATGCACACCCATCGCGGTGCTCAGGGGGCGGGTATTGCTATAGGGTAGGTGCCCAGGAGGCGGAGCGCTGGGTCAAAGAGCTTGAACAAGTAAATTGTGGTGCGTTCACACAGTGGAATACTACATGGCAATGAAAATGAACTAATCCTTGGGGCGCCCGGGTGGCTCAGTCGGTTAAGCGACTGCCTTCGGCTCAGGTCATGATCCTGGAGTCCCGGGATCGAGTCCTGCATCGGGCTCCCTGCTTGGCAGGGAGTCTTGCTTCTCCCTCTGACCCTCCCCCCTCTCATGCTCTCTCTCTCTCATTCTCTCTCAAATAAATAAATAAAATCTTTTAAAAAAAAAAAATAGTTGTGGGCGCCTGGGTGGCTCAGTCGGTTGGGCGACTGCCTTCGGCTCAGGTCATGATCCCAGGGTCCCGGGATCGAGCCCTGCATCGGGCTCCCTGCTCGGCGGGGAGCCTGCTCCTCCCTCTCATGCTCTCTGTCTCTCATTCTCTCTCTCGCAAATAAATAAAAAATCTTAAAAAAAAAAAAAAAAAAGAAAGAAAATGAGCTAATCCTTGCAACACACAATGTGGATGGATCTCAACAAACATCACGTTGAAAGAAGCCAGGAAAATTCAAAACGGAGTACATATTCTATCACCTATTTCTGTAACATTCGAGAACAGACAAAAATAATTCATGTTCAGGAGGAGGGTCACCTAAGGGGAGGGAAAGAAGAGTGGCTGGGAGGGGCACGAAGATACTTCTGGGTTCTGGAAATGTTCTATTTCACTACTTGGGTGGTGGTTATGCAAGCGTGTTTGCTTTGTGCTAGTTCATCAAGTTGACGCTTTATGTTACCCTTCCATAAAAAGGGTAGAGATAGAAAGAAGAATGCATTCTTTAAAGGAATGGTTAAGATTTTCAAATCATCCAAATGGCCAGATTACCCTAGAAAACTCCACCCCTCCCATCGGATGGTCCCCTCCCCTTGAGAGCTCTCTGTGAGTCATCCTCTCCTGGGGGTCCCGCCCCCATCCCTCACTGGCCCCCTTCCTGCCCACCCAGGGCGCACTGGCTGACGGAGCCCAATCCCAGCGCCGAGGAGCTGTTCAGGATGGTGGGCGAGATCTTCATCTACTGGTCCAAGTCCCACGTGAGTTCCCGCCCACTCTGCCCCTCCTTGCCAGGACCCTCGCCACCGCCACTGATCCGGACACTGCCTCCCCCACCAGCACTTTAAGCGTGAGGAGCAGAACTTTGTGGTCCAGAATGAGATCAACAACATGTCATTTCTGACTGCTGACAACAAGAGCAAAATGGCCAAGGTGAGTGCTTTGCTCTGAGAGGACTTAGCAGGGAGGGTGGGAGCACCCTCCAGGCCTTCCTGCCTGACCCCTTCACCCAGCCAGCCTGCCCTGTCCTGGTCACATTCCCTACAGCTGTCACCACATCCTGCCTCCCCATCTCTCTTTTCCCTTATCCCCATCTCCCTCCTCCTCTTTTTCCTTCCCCCCATTTCCCTCTTCTTCCTCCAACTCCTTCTTCCTCCTCCCCATATGCCTTCTCCTCCCTCCCCATCACCCTTCTCCCATCTCCCTCCTCCTTCCTCCCCATGTCCCTCCTTCCCATCACCCTCCTCCTATGTCTCTCCTCCTTCCTCCCCATCTCCTTCCTCTCCCCCATCTCTCCTCTCTCCTCCCCATCTCCTTCCTCCCCATCTCCCTCCTCCCCACTCTCTCCTCCTCATTTCCCTCTTCTCCCACCTTTCCCCTCTCCCTCTCCCTCCACCCTGATGTCCTCCTCTCCCATGTCTTTCCTCATATCCCCATTATCCCATATCCTCCTGCTCCTCTCCCCTTATACTTCTCAGAACTGCTCTCTTCAGGGTCCTAAAGAACAAGCCCACCCGCCCTAAGTCAGGGTCTGGAAATGCCCAGCTAGGGGATGCGTGTTGGGCTGGGTCAGGGGAGCTGGGGTAGGGCGCACTTGGAGTTGGGCCTGGGGTTCTCTGAGGGACCAGGGTAACCCTTCTTGTCTCTGTCTGCAACCTGATGAAGCAGGCGGGAGATGTACAGGTCAGCCCCATGTCTGGGACCTTCCGCATGGCTCTTGGCTTAATACCCTTTTCTCCCCCCAGCTTCTGCATCCCCTCCAGAAAACCCCTGCCCCCGTTCCCCACCCCTCATCCTTGGCTCCCAGCCCCCAGCCTTTTTCTCTCCCTCCATCCCCGCCCCCATCCATTCCCTTTCCAACGCTCAGCTTTTGGCAATTTAACTTTTTTTAAAAAAACTTTTGTTAAAAAAAAACAAAACAAAACACACCTCTGAGCTTTTCTCAAAGCATTATGGTCTGAGGTCATGGGGAATGGGAATGGGGTGGCCAGGCATGTGCATGGAAGGGTTTAAGGCTTGGTTTCTGGAACCAGATAGACTTGGATTCGGATCCTGACTCTTGGCAGTTGGTTGTGCGGCCTTAGTCAAGTGTCTTATTTTTTGAGCCTTGACCGGCATCTGCCCAGTGGCCCCAGGGCTCTGGGAGGACCCAGTGGGATGCTGCATGTGTGGCCTCAGCAGTCTTGGCACATACGTGCGCCAGGATCCATACTGCGAGCTGGGGTAGATGTGGCCAGAAGCTTGTCACTGGGGCTTCTCTTTGGCATGACTGGGGTGGTCTTGGCCCCGGGTTTGCACCCAAGGCTCCAGAACATGGCTGTGGGACTCCGTGCCCCGTGTTTGTGCTTCCAGATCGTTCTGGATCTCTCTTCCATCTTCTGCCTTTCCGTCTCCTTGTCTGTCTCCTTCTCTCAGTGTCTCTCTATTTCTTCCAACTTCTTTTGTCTCCTGAGACTCTTTATGGTTCTGCATCTTTCTTTCATTCTTGGGAACTCACTCTTGGGATATAAAGTGTCGGGTTATGCATGTTGTGGGGCGAGGAGGTGTGGTACTGAAGTCATTAGGGGATTCTGGAAGAGACTGCCAGAGGTTGAGAAAGGCCTGGAATTTGGGGAAATCTGGAAGGGTCTGGGATAGAGGTTGGGAATTTGGGCTAGATAGAGGCTTGGGTCTAGCAGGATCTAGGGTGAGGGCTGGGGGCCTGAGGTGAAAGATCAGCAAGGTCTGGGGTGGAAACTGATGCAGGCCCTGAGATGGGGGAGGGGACACCTGGCACGCAGGCCGTGGGCTGGAGGGTAGTCAGTGGCAGAGGCCGGGGCCGGGGCCAGGGTCTGAGGCCGGGCTGGGAGTTGGGCTGGTGCTGAGCCCCCTGTCCCCACAGTCAGGTGGCTCGGACCAGGAACGCACCAAGAAGAAGCGCCGAGGGGACCGGTACTCTGTGCAGACATCCCTGATTGTGGCCACACTCAAGAAGATGCTGCCCATCGGCCTGAACATGTGTGCACCCACAGACCAGGAACTCATCACGCATGCCAAGAATCGCTATGCCCTGGTGCCTGCACCGCCCCATGATGGGAACCTGCCAGCGCCCAACCCTGCACCCCACCAAGCCCCTGGGACCCTCCTGAACCCCCAGATCCCACTGAGACCCCTCTCTTAGGACCCTAATGAATCTTTCTCCAGGACCCTGAGGACTGCCGGGGTGCCCTAGGATGTCCCAAGCCTTCCCCCGGGATGCTGAGGACCCCTCTCAGGATATTTCCAGAACCCTGGGACCTAAGGACGCTAACTGGAACCCCACTGATACTCAGGAATATTATTAAGACCCCTGGGGCCCAAGGACCATATGGAGCCTTCAAGGACCCTACTGAACACCGCTCCCCCCACCCCAGGACCATGCCTAACTTATTAGGACACTGAGGGCCCCACCGAGACACCATGAGCCCCCCTGAGACTCCTCTGAGGACCTCCCAAAACTCCTTGGGACCCACTGAGTCCCCCATGATCCCACTGGCTCTCCCCTGAACTGGGTCCCCTTCTGGGTCCCCACTGAGCTCTCCAGCTCATCACCTCTTTCCCTCAGGGTCCTGGTGGCTGCACCCTCTGGACTCTGTTCACACCCAACAGAGCCCCCAAAGACTTGGGTTCCAGTGAGCACTCTGTGATCCTAAGTAGCCCCCCAGGATCCTAATGGCCCCTTCCCCAGAACCACACCCAAACCTCTGATGCATCAGGATTCCTGAGATCAGTTGATCCCACCACCCTCCCCTAACCATCTTAAGCCCTCAGACTCCAAGGAGGCCTCCCAGGATCCCACTTACTCTGTATGGGATAACAACCCCCATTCTTGTCAACCATAGGGATTGTAAGAATCTCCCCAGGACCCTGCTAAGCTCCCTGACAACCTATTAACCCCTCTGGGACCTTGAAGACCACTGACTCCCCCTGGTATCACAAATACCCCCTTTCCTGGAACTCTAAAGACTCCTTCCTTCAGGATCTCAAGCTCCTCCTAGGACCTGTTGAGTCTTGCCAAGAACCCAAAGAGCCATCCAGAGCCCCCCGACCCCTCAACTTGGTCTTTGGGTGTCCCTCTCTCCTGGGGATCTAAGGAATCCCCTCTACTCTCCCCTCCTTTGGCCTCTACAGAAATCCCATCCTTGACTTGATCTGCCTGATCCTTCATGACCTCTGCTGATCTTGCCGTTTCCCTTATAACCCCCTCACCTCCTCTGATCAAAAACTCCCTGCCCAACTCCCAGCCCCACTCTGACCCTCCTGTGACCCCCCAGTCATCCACTGGTGGCCTTATTTGACCTTTGAGAACATTCTCTCGTCACTCCCTACCTACTCTCACACCCCAAGGCCCCTCTAATCCTTACTGTCTCTTCAAGGTGCGTCTGTGGCCTCTAGGACTCCCTTCTGACCATTCCTGACCTTTGGACCTTTCAGTTTCTCCCAGAATCCACACCCCCCGCCTGCCCCCACCAGCTGCTGGGGCAATGGGCCTGGAAGGGAAAGGGATGTGGGTTAAGGAGGACGCTGAGTGACCCAGCCTGGCCATGTCTCCCCAGAAAGACACAGACGAGGAGGTCCGGGAATATCTGCAAAACAACCTTCACCTTCAGGGAAAGGTACCTTCCTCAATCTGCAAGCGAAAGGGGCATGTTAAGATAATAGCAACTGTTGATAGCCAAGTACACTTAACTCTGTACCAGGCATTGAAGCCTGGGTGGCTCAGTCGTTGGGCGTCTGCCTTCCGCTCGGGTCGTGGTCCCGGAGTCCTGGGATCGAGCCCCGCATCGGGCTCTCTGCTCAGCGGGAAGCCTGCTTCTTCTCCCTCTCCCACTCCCCCTGCTTGTGTTCCCTCTCTCACTGTGTCAAACAAACAAACAAACAAACAAACAAAAAATAGACCTTAACTTGTACTCACCCCGTGAGTCAGCACAGCACCGAAAGGGGGGCGGGGGCAGCCAGAGAAGTGCACCTCGCGCGCGGAGCGGCCCGGCTGGGGAGCGGCCCTCACGCCGGCCGCCTGTCCTTCCTCCCCTCAGGTCGAAGGCTCCCCTTCTTTGCGCTGGCAGATGGCCCTGTACCGGGGCCTCCCGGGCCGCGAGGAGGACGCCGACGACCCCGAGAAAATCGTGCGCAGAGTCCAGGAAGTGTCAGCGGTGCTCTACCACCTGGAGCAGGTGGCTGGGGCTGGAGGGGTCTCACCGGGGAGTGGCCGAAGCGTGGGTCTCTGGGCGGGGCAAGGGGCGGGCTTGGATCTGGGGGCGGGGTCTGAGGAGGAACCTTGGGTCTCTGGGCGGGGCCTGGGTGAAGCCTGGAGTTTAATGCGTCGCTTAGAATGGAAAATTGGATCTGTGGCAGGACCTGGTGCTTAAATCTTGAGGCTAGGGGCGGGGCCAGGGTCAGAATTTGGGGTCTAGAGTGGGGCCTGGGCTCAAGACGCCTTGCCTCTGGGCGGGGCCGTTGGCAGGGCCCAGGAAAGAGCGTGGTCTGGAAGAAAAGCCCAAGTCCGAACCTGTTGGTGCAGCCAGCGTGTTCCTCCGGCCCCGCGAGTCAGGCCTGAATTGGGGCCTGGAAGGAGATGGGCAGTTTCGCCCCGGGCTGGGAGTGGGGATCAGGTCAGGGGCAGAATTTGGGCACGTGACCGCTTGCCGCCCCCCAGATCGAGCACCCTTACAAATCCAAGAAGGCCGTGTGGCACAAGCTCTTGTCCAAGCAGCGCCGGAGGGCGGTCGTTGCCTGTTTCCGCATGACCCCCCTGTACAACCTGCCCACGTAAGACACCCTCAGGGAAGAGGGAGGCTTGAGGGGCGGTGGGGCAAGGGTGGCTGAGGAGGCGGCGGGACGGGGTGCCACCACGATGGGGTCTGGTTGGGGAAGGTAGATGTGCGGGAGGAGAGAGGAGACGTGGGGTGGCCGACGGTCTCAGGGACGCTACACACCTTTCCCCTGCAGGCACCGGGCCTGTAACATGTTCCTGGAGAGCTACAAGGCCGCATGGATCCTGACTGAAGACCACAGTTTTGAAGACCGCATGATCGACGACCTTTCAGTGAGCTGGCGCCTGCCTGGGAGCGGAGAGGGCGGGGCTGGATAGGGCTGGGGGCCTAGCTTGCTGGCTGCACACTTCCAGGGGTCGCCCTTCACATTGAGGGGTACGGGAAAGGCGGCCCCGGCTTGGGCAGAGACAAGGAAGGGGGTGCAATGTGTGGGACAGAAAAAATAATCTAGCCCAGTAGGGTTATGGTGGGGGGAGACTGGAGGGGACTCTAGAAACCCCTTTCCCAAGCCCCACCCCTCCCCCCAGAAAGCTGGGGAGCGGGAGGAGGAGGAGGAGGAGGTGGAGGAGAAGAAGCCAGACCCCCTGCATCAGCTGGTCCTGCACTTCAGCCGCACCGCCCTGACTGAAAAGAGGTGAGGACCCTTCCTATGTCCTGGGGAGGGATCTGCTTCCTCCCGGCCCCGCAGCAACCTCCCTGTTCCTCAAGACGGGCCCTCTGTGTCCTAGGGGAGCCCCCCAGCTTATCCTTCAGTATCGCTTTCCCCGGACAGGCAGGGCCACTGTGTCCCTTTTTGTTGGCTGAGCACTTCGCAAGCCATCTCTTCTGAAGAGCTCACATTATAGGCAACATCAGTTGAAGCTTTGCTGGATGAAAGTGTCTTGCTCACACAAAGACGGTAAATTACGAGAAGAAAATCAGCATATTATAACAAATTTCCAATAGGATGGATTGCTTAACTTCCAGACAGGACCACATACCGGGCAGAAGGAAGGAGAAAGACTCCCCCCTCCCCTCACCCCAAGCGAGATCAAGATCTTTTTATCCAAAAAGGGGTGCTCTCCTTGGCGGGCTTCTGCACAGATCCTATTGGCCAGAATTCTGACATCAGACCACCCGCAGCTACAGGGGAGACTGGGACTCCCAGTGTCCTGTTTCCCATCCTTCACAGAGCCAGGACTCTGGAGTTAGACTGCAGGCTTGAATCACAGCACAAGCTGTGTGACTTGGCTAAGAAGGATCTTTGCGCTTCAGCTAACTTATCTGTAAAATGAGGCTAGTAATAGATCTGCCTATCTAATCCTGTTTTACAGTAATAGGATTATTGTGAGGATTAATTTGTTAAGACATATAGAAAGCACTTACAACAGGGACTGACCTAGAGTAAACACTCAATAGGTGTTGGCCGCTACTTCCGTTCTTCTCCTTCTCCTTCTTCTATTCTTCTTATTATTGAGGAGATCCAAGTGGGTGGGTGGTCATAGTCGTCAAATGAGCCAACAGCAGGATGGCCCCAGGCGTCAAACACACTATTTCTGCAACCCCTGGTGGAAAGGGAGCACCTCTACCAACCGCTCCAGCAAAACTCCCAGAATGAATTCCAGTGGGCCCACATGAAGCACAGGACCATCTTGTCCCTATTACTGTGGCCAAGGCGATTGAACTCAGCCTCGATCACACGCCCCCTCTGGCAGTGGACGGTGGACCCCCCTGAACCACACAGCCCGGGCATGGGGAGGGGCGGCTCTCCAAAGGGAAACTGGAAGCAGTTATAGGATGGAGCTTGTCTCCACTGGGCCCTGACCATCTCCCCCTCTTACTTCCTCAGCAAACTGGACGAGGATTACCTGTACATGGCGTATGCTGATATCATGGCAAAGGTGAGGCCCTGCCCCCATCCAGGGCAGGTTCCCTTCACCCCCGCTGCAACATCTGTCCACTGGGAGGGCTGGGGGTGAGCTAGGAGATCTCTGTTCACTGTCATCCCTAACTGATGCCCTGTCCCCAGAGCTGCCACCTGGAGGAGGGAGGGGAGAATGGTGAAGCTGAAGAGGAGGAAGTGGAGGTTTCCTTTGAGGTAGGTGGGGTCAGGAGGTCCCCAAGGAAAGGGCTAAGGGACCCTGGCTTCAGTCATTCCCTGTTCATTCAGACTGTGTTCAGAATAGTGCTCTGGGCTACTGTGCTGGGTGATGTTGGGGACCACAACCATGACTGTCAGTCTCCTGGGGAAACTATACATTAACCAGACAGCAATGGCAAAGAGTATTCACGGTAGTGATGAGGGAGGCTCAGGCAAAGTGGGCAAGGCAGGATGGGGGAGGCACAGGCAGACGGGTCAGGGCCGGAGAATCCAGAGAAGCTTAGGGGGGTGGGGGTGGGGCTCAGGGGGCTGTGGAAGCCCAAGCAAGGGGCCTGACCCAGTCTGGGGGGAAGGGTGTCACGGAGGGCTTCTCAGAGGAGGGGATGTCCAAGCAGGAGGCTAAAAGTGTGCCAGATGAAGAAAAGGAGAAAGGTGTTCCAGGTAGGGGGAACAGCATATGCAAAGGCCAGGCAGTGAGAAAGAGCTGGTAAACACGCAGTTAACCCATCCATTCATCATTAAGGCAGTCAGCAAGCATTTCCCTGAGTTTCTTAACCTTTTTTGTGCCTGGGTCCCTTTTGGCATCTGGTAAGCCTCTCTTAGAATCATGTTTTTGTTTTTTTTAAAGACTTATTTATTTTTGAGAGAGAGCACGAGTGGGGGGAGGGGCAGAGGGAGAGGGAGAAGCAGATTTCTCGCTGAGCAAGGAGCCTGACGTGGGGCTTGATCCCAGGACCCCAGGATTATGACCTGAGTCAAAGGCAGACGCTTAACCAACTGAGCCACCCAGGTGCCCCGACCTCCTAGATTTTATCTTTCGACGCTTGGAGGTCCATGGGCCCGGGTTAAGATTGCTCCATGTCTGGCCCCGCCCTGAGCACAAGAGACAAATGGTGGACTTCGGTGCCAGGGGATAGAGGGAGCTCACAATTAAAGGGATGAGCTGGGGGATGCGGCTGGAGCAGGGAGGGTAGGGGTGAGGGATGAGCCTGTGAGGGGAAAAGGCTGGGCTGCTGAGCGCGGACTCACTGGGCCCCACGGGCCTGGCTCTGCTGCAGGAGAAAGAGATGGAAAAGCAGAGGCTGCTGTACCAGCAGGCGCGGCTGCACAACCGGGGAGCAGCGGAGATGGTGCTCCAGATGATCAGTGCCTGCAAAGGTGCCTTCCCGCAGGCACTCCTCCTGAGCACACGCATCCCGTCCCCACTCCCCCCGGCCCACCATTTCCTGGGGACCCTGTGGCACACTCTCCCATCCTGCGCGCCTGTGCCTCGCACGTCAGCCCTTGCACGTCCCACTCGCCTTGCAATTTCTCGCTCTTCCTTCCTTCTGGCATGCGACGCCACCCCCTTCTCCCACCTACCCTGGGGTGGCCGTTTTCTGGTGGGTGGAGAACACGGCTCCCAAACTAGCGCGCCATCTTTTGCCATCTCTCCAGGAGAGACGGGCGCCATGGTGTCCTCCACCCTGAAGCTGGGCATCTCCATCCTAAATGGAGGCAATGCTGATGTGCAGCAGGTAACAGGAGAAAGGACTTGGAGGAGGGCTAAGAGGGGTGGGGGGCTCCCGTGTGACTCCCACTTTCCTGGCCCCTCCCGCCCCCTCTGTAGAAAATGCTGGATTATCTGAAGGACAAGAAGGAAGTGGGCTTCTTCCAGAGTATCCAGGCGCTGATGCAAACGTGCAGGTAGGGTCTAGCGGGCATCTCGCAGTTAAGCCCACTTGCTGTGGCCCGGGCCCCGCCCCTGGTACTACCTCCAGGGGAAGAGACCCACTCAATGGAGCTCAAATGCCGGGGAGGCGATTATAACAATAAGAGGATTTACGAATGGACAGCTGGAACCAGAAGGTTGTAGCGAATTCAAGGGGCACTCAGGCAGCAGGGAACTGGGGCTCTCTCTGATGACCCCCATTCGTGTGACTACTACTGTCCACCTTTGTTCTCTTCTGTCAGCTGACTTTCCCTCCCCCTCTGAAGCTTTTGCTAACTGAGGGTTTCTGTTTCCTCCTGATTCCAGCTTGTGCACCTGTCATCCCAGCCCCGCCTCGCTTGAGAGAGGCTGCCACGTGGCTTCTCCCAATTCTGTTTCCGCTTCTTCTTGATTTCAGCTTTTGCAGGGTTTACTGTGGTTTTCTGCCCAAAATGGGGGAGCGGGGCTGCTGGGCTTTAGAAGAGCAGGGCAGAGGCCTTAGCCCATCTTCCCCATCTTTCCTTTCTTTCTCCCAGCGTCCTGGATCTCAATGCCTTCGAGAGACAGAACAAGGCAGAGGGGCTGGGCATGGTGAACGAGGATGGAACCGGTGAGGCCCTCTCTTGGGCTTCCCTCTCCTGGGACATCCTCTTCCTTCGGGATCACCCCCTCGCCCACATTGCCCAGAGCTCCCTTCTGCCAAGACACCCCCCACCCTACGACCATCCCCAAGTTCCCCTGCCCCTGTGCGGTGGTCCCCAATCCTGCCCCCACATTCCTCCAGGGTCTCCCTCCTCAGGGTCCCCACCCCTGGCTGCCCTTTCATCCTGTGTTCTCCCCCCGCCCCAATCACCACACGAACCCGACCCTCTACATGCCCAAGTCTCCCACCCTGGTTGCTGTTCTCATTAATGTCCCTAATCCGGGTTAATTGAGTCTCCTCTTTGCCGTGTTGTGACGTGTCTAACTTTTCTGCCCTGATCCTTGCCTCCTGCCTCTCCACCCCTCCCCTGTCCATTTCTCCTTATCTTCCCTCTTCTTTCTCTCCCTCCGCTTTTACCCCCATTTCCTACTCTGTCTCCTTATCGCTCTGATCCTCTGTGGTCGTTCCTCTCTCCGTGTTGATGTCTTCGTCCCTGACTGTGTCACTGTTTTTCCGTGTCTATCTCTGTCTCCTTTCTGTCTCTCTTTTTCCCTCTTTTCTCCTGCTTCCTCCTCCCATCCTGTTGGCTGCCCCAGTCATCAACCGCCAGAACGGTAATTCCCCCAGCCCGTTCCCCTTGCTGTGCTACCGCACGCCTCCCTTCTAACCCCCAACCGCCCCCTCCACCTGGGGGCTGAGGATCTGGGCCATCCAGGGAGGGAGGAACCCTTCAGTGACGCGCCATGCCCGCAGGAAGTCTTGAGCCGGAGACCAAGACTTGGGTCCCAGATTAGCCACTAACAACAACTGGAGACTGTGAACACGTCTCTGACCTTCTGTAAGCCTGTTTCCCCCCGTGTAAACCAGAAGCTAGAGAAGATGGCAAAGATCCCTTTCCAGCTCGTTCTCAGACTTCCAGACCCAGATTCGCAGTCCCGGGGTGGGGTAATCCCCACTCCCACCTACCCTGCTCTGCGCGCCCGCGACCCTAGATTGGTCAAGTGTGCGGTTCCCACCCGCCAACCGGATTGGTTGCCCCGGCATCCACTCTGATTGGTGTGCGTGCCTCCTGCGCCTGCTCTGGTTGGCCCATTCCTGCCTCGCCTCCCCCCCTCTCTCTCCGCCCTCCCCGGGCCCGCGGTGATTGGCTTCTTTCAGATGCCCATCCGGATTGGCCCATGTTTACACGCCTCCCCCCTGCATCTCCTGGATTGGCAGCTTTCAAGGCATCTGAGCCAATTGGCTGGCTTTCCATCCCACTCCCTGCCCGATCCCCTCCTGCTCCGAGCCGTTGCGTGAAAGTGACTTCAATCCCCATAATCCATTAACCCTGCCCACCCGAGGCCCTGGATGGGGGCCAAGGGAGATACCAGCTGCCTGAACCTCTGTCGGGTTGGCAGGCATTCCTGGACGTCATACAAGTGGTGACGTCAGAGGGACAGTGATGTTTAGAAAGACGCTTGAGGCCCCAGCTTCATGACTCAGGGCCCCTGGGGTTTTCATCTGCTGATGACTTTGAAGCCGGGTCTCCCTGGTGTCATGGATGCCCCTGGCCCTCACAGCCTCTTTGAAGTGGCGGTTGCCCCTCCCTGCGCACCCTTGCTTTGTGCATGCGTGTGCAGTGTGCAAGGTCCGTGTGCATGCGTGTGCTCTGTCCTGGCGCGTCTGACCCCTTCTGGGCCCTGTCCCCCTCTTCCCCCCCCCAGAAGAGAAGGTCATGGCAGATGATGAATTCACCCAAGACCTGTTCCGATTCCTACAATTGCTCTGTGAGGGACACAACAATGGTGAGGAGAAGGGGCGGGTGGAAGGGTGGGTGGGAAGGAGGCCAAGGTTTGGGATCAGTCTGCAAGGGTTGCCTGAGTTCATCTCACGGCCCCTCACCCCTTATTGGCGGTGGCCTCACCACCCATCCTTGACCCGATTGTACTTCCTCGTTCCTTTTCAGCCATTATCAAGCCCTGTCCACCCACCTTCCTAAATCCCCCTCGAAGTTCTGCAATCTAGCCACTTCGCTTTACTTGCACCTCCTCTGGCCAGTCCAAATTCCCCAAAACCAGTTTGCCCCCAAATCAGTGAGAGCACGGGATGAACACCTAGCCACATGCCATTTTTTCCCATAGGCGTTTTGCAGCAGCTGGCCAAAGTTACCTAAATGTGGAAGGTTTCCATACTTTGGTTCGCCCGGGCAGGGGGCGGGAGGGGGGGGATCGCATGGCGTTTTCAAATGAATTTATTAGAATCACTTCTTAATTTTGCTTATAAACTAGTTTGCCAGGAGGAAGGCCTTACAGATTCTTTCCCAACTTAAACAAGAGTTTCCCCAACTTTCATTCTGGTGCAGGCAGTTAGAGCAGATCAAGGATGACACAGCAAGCTAAGGAAACACGTCACTAATGAGAACATATAACCCCATGTGGCTCACAACATTAAAGGGACAGTCAGAATTCTGTACGACAAACATTCTACCCAAGGCCGTTTCCTATAATAAATATGCACGATCTCAAGGCTGTGGTTATAACACATAGCAGGTGATTGTGAAACCACAGACTGCCCAGAAACTAACCTTCATCACAAGAACGGGAGTCATCATAAATCTAACTTCCACAGAATCTGCACCCCATTTGGCTGGTGTTCATTACGGTGAACTCACTTGTAAATTTCTCTAATCTTCACTCCTCTGTTCAACAGTGGATAAAGTGTGATCCATTGCTTTGCATTCTCAAAAGCTCTTATGTCCACAGCTGGTTCTTCTTCAAGGTTTATGAAATACTGTTGTGCCACGGGACTAGGATTTTCTCTCTTTAATTGTAACTAAGGTGTCATCAGTCTTTGGGGTTTTAAATGAATTTTATTCCCTGGATCTCTGATTTCTTGGAAACGCGAATGTTCTAATTCTAATTAACGGGTGGAATTCTTCTCTCCTACCAAATTTGCAATCCAGAGCTCGACATAAATTCGTGGGTTCATTAACCAGCCCAATCAAATAAATATTTGAAATAGCTTTCAAATCTCAGATGCTTTGCATGTCTTGAGTATTTGGTACCATTCAAAATAGACAAAAGGTTTGTCTATGCCATCACATAGTAGGCATTCAATAAAAATTTTTGGAAATAAATGGAAGACTGAATTCTCCATTTTCCCCTGCTACACTGAGGTGCTCAAGAAACATTTTGGGGGGGGGATTGAATGAATAAATGACTGACCCTCCACCATATCTGGCATGTAGTAGGCCCTCGATAAATGGTTACTACATAAATGAATAAATGATCCTCACCTTCCTCTGACACACAGTAGATACTCGATAAAGCCTGAATAAACTAACAATGACGATTGTATGCCTTTGGCATACAACAGGCACTCAATAAACACTGATTGCACAGGGGCACCTGGGTGGCTCAGTCGGTTAGGTGGCTGCCTCCGGCTCAGGTCGTGATCCCAAGGTCCTGGGATCGAGCCCCACGTCGGGTTCCTTGCTCCGCCCAGAGCCTGCTTCTCCCTCTCCCTCTGCCTGTGTGCCACTCCCCCTGCTTGTGCTCTCTCTCTCTCTCTATGTCAAATAAATAAATAAAATTAAAAAAAAAAAAAAACCACTGATTGCACACGGTAGACTCTCGATAAAAGTATGACTTTTCATCTCCCTAGATTTCCAAAACTACCTACGGACACAAACAGGGAACACAACCACTATTAACATCATCATCTGCACGGTGGACTACCTCCTGCGGCTGCAGGTGAGGACGGGAGGCCCGTCCAGGTGTGACCTGGCTCGGGGATTGCAGGGACCTGGTTGGCCCAGCAACCCTTCACACCCCGTCGGCCCCCCAGGAGTCCATCAGCGACTTCTACTGGTACTACTCCGGCAAGGATGTCATTGAGGAGCAGGGCAAGAGGAACTTTTCCAAGGCCATGTCGGTGGCCAAACAGGTGTTCAACAGCCTCACCGAGTACATCCAGGTAGGGCTCGCCCACGGGCGTGGGGAGAGGCACCCCCCCACCCCACCCGGCGCCGTGCCGGCGCTCACTGCAGCCCTCTGCCCCCCCAGGGTCCTTGCACCGGGAACCAGCAGAGCCTGGCGCACAGCCGCCTCTGGGACGCCGTGGTGGGATTCCTGCACGTGTTTGCCCACATGATGATGAAGCTCGCTCAGGTTCGGGCCCCTCTGTCCTTCATCGGGCTGTTTCCTGGCATCCCCCAAGTGGCCCATTTCCAAGTCAGTTGCGCACCCAAGTCCTCCTGGCATGTTCCAGACCAGTTCCCTCGGAGTGGCCAAATCCATCGTCCTTCTGGATTGGCTCTCTGTATGACCCCGCCTCCTCCTCTGCCAGCACCAATCGGCTGGTTTCCCACCCCCACTTCCATTGGTCTAATGTGTAGGCCCCGCCCCCCAGTCCAGAGTTCCTCTATGATTGGTTGGTGTTCTTTTCTCTCCGAAGAGGTCCTCTCAGATTGTGACACCCCTAGGGATAGAAAGGGGGCAGCTTTCCAGGTCAGGGGCTGGGGCTGAAGGAGTGCTCTGTTTCTTTATTCGGCCTGCGGCAGATGACGCCCATCTCGGGCATCCATGATGTAAGGTCCCTGTCGAGTCCTTCTCCCATTTCTAGAATCCTGTGCTCCCCTTTCCCTACCACCCCCCGCCCCTTTGCAGCCTGGTCAGTGTCTCGTGAACACCTTGTCCCTTTGCTCTGCTTCTGTCTGGTAAACATATTCAAAGTTGCACCATCCGCATCCTGAACGTCATAAAAGCCACGGCTTTCCAGCAGATGGCACTATTCTATTTGCTGTATTCTAATTTCCCAGCAGGAAGCGTCTGGAGGAAGGGAAGACTTGATCTCTAGTAACCCAAAGGTGCCACAGGGGCTGGCAGAAATCCTGTCGGGTCATCTGACTTTTTGAAAGGAGTTGAACCTGGAATGCAATTCCTCAGTGTCGGTGCAGCCGAAGTTGTGTTTTGGTGTGATCTTAAAAGTCTAGAGAATATTGATGTTTTAGTGTAGAGTTCCAAATCCTGCAGTGTTAATTCATTAGCCAAGGACTAAGGCTAGGTTGCATGGGCTGGAAATCCAACGCAAAGTGGTAGCTTAAGGCGGGAAAAAGAATTTATCAGTTCACATCAGAGATCCAGGGCCTAGAGTGATGTCAGCAGAAATGTCTTTCTTCTCTCTGGCTTCATTCTCAAGCAGGCTCTCACACTGGCTGGAAAAGTGGTGCCCCAGGGTTCTATGCACCCCCACTAACTGCTCCAGAGAGCAGAGGACCCCTTTTTTATGGAAGCCCCGACTTGCAATTCTCTCTGATTGGACTATTGAGTCACATGCTCATCCCTGAACCAATCATCGTGGCCAGAGCTCTGATTGGCCAGATCTGTTCACACACCCACCCCTGAAACCAGGAAAGTGGGGTTAGCCCCGCTTGATCTAAGAGTGCAATTGTCACGCGAAGCAGGGTGCTGGCTCATACATCACCTGCAGACACACACCACAGGCACCCATCCAGATTAGGATCTTGAGATTCTGGTATTTTGGGATCTTAGAGTCAGAATGCCGAACTTTGGTACTGTGTTAGAATTAGAATCAGCAACTCAAGAAGGAGCACTGGGGTAGAAGAGCCTTACATACCATTTATCTGGTATCCTTTCCCCTCCTCCGTTGTATTATGTAAACCAGAGGAGATGACCACTCAGTGGGTCAAAAATGCTCGCATATTGGCAGTTTTATGTAGCTCAACCTCATAACAAATAGGGACCATGAGACAGAACTCTGACCATATAGGAAGCTTCTGTAGGCCCTACATGAGGCACTGTGACAGGGGAGGCTGTGTGCCCCCACATTCTCCCCAAATTGTTTACCGAAAGGCACGTGGCTGAGTCCTCCTGCCTTTCTCCCGAACCCAGCGCCTTGCTTTTTCCATCGCACATTCATTCAACAAACATATGTCAAGCACCCACCATAAGCCCCAAGCTTCTGCCCTCCCAGTCCCCCTTGTCCGCCAGCTCTTGCCCCCACATATCACCTGTTAAGCCTGCTTCCCCCAGAGTGCCAACCCCACCCCCACAATCTTGTCTCTCTGCCCCTTCCCCTGCTTCCGAGGAACATGTGTGGACTCGGGTCCCCTCGGAGGTAAGAGGGGAGGAAGAAGGGGTCTTAGGCCCTGCAGGATGGGTCAGGAGGGGGGGAAGCAGCTGGAGGTGGGGGGCGTGTCTCTACAGAGACCAGTCATCACATAACTGGGGTTTGGGGTCTCCAGGACTCCAGCCAGATCGAGCTGCTGAAGGAGCTGCTGGATCTACAGAAGGACATGGTGGTGATGTTGCTGTCGCTACTAGAAGGTAAACACCCAACAGGTGGGGGCCTGGGTACTGACAAGCAGGGAATGGCCCTCTGAGACCCAGGAGACCCTAACCTTCAGCTTCATCTGACATCGTGTCAGGGTCAAATGGGCTGGTGAAGGAGTCACAGTAACGAGCTCAGCAAACAGATATCAAGCATTTATTATAGGCCAGGCCCTGCCTGTACATACCTTAGTTCATTGACTCCCCAGAGAAATCTTAATAAAGTGGGTGGCCCCGACGCTTTTTAAAGTTTACGTACCTCATATTTATGTATTTCTTTGTTAAATGTGTCAGTTAGCTTTTGCTGCCCAATGAATGTCCTCAAAACTTAGTGACTTGAAACAACCACAATTTATTGCTAATTAATAAGGCAAAATTTGGGGCGCCTGGATGGCTCAGTCAGTGAAGTGCCCGGCTCTTGATTTTGGCCCAGGTCATGATCTCAGGGTCATGGGATCGAGCCTGACGTCGGGACCCACACGCAGTGGGGAGTCTGCTGGAGATTCTCTCTCTCCCTCTCCCCCCGCAAATAAAGAAATAAATAACTTAAAAAATAAAATCTAAATAAATACATATAATGGAAAGGTACAAGGAGAAGCTAGAGCCAGTTTGCTCTAGACAGGGGTGGGATTCCACTTTACCACAGTCTCCACTTCTCCCTGTTGTCTCAACTTTGGCCCTACCTTGCTCCTCTCTGGACCTGCTTGGCCTCAGGACTAGTGGAAGGCTTAGGTGTGTGAGCTCTGAGGTCCTGCAGCTCTGGCTTGAAATCATCCTCACCCCCTTGCAGGCTATGTAACCCTGAGCATGTGACTTTCTCTGAGTCCCAGCCTCTTCATCCGTACAAACGGGTGGTAACACCCCTCCCCTGGAAGGGGGAGAGCGTGTCAGTCCAGCACTGGGCATGGCATCTGGGACCTGCTGGTAGCTTCTGGCATTGGTATCTTTATTGGTGACCCCCTCACCCCAGCTGTCAGCGAGGTGCACCGGCCAGGTTCACATATGATGCTGATGCAGGTCAGGAAATGAGCCGTGCCCTCTGGGGGGAGGTGTGGGAGCTGGCCAGGGAAGCTTCCACCGGCATAGTGGATCCTGGTGGCTCCCGAGCTGGAGAAGCAGGCCACCCTGGTGGGGCTCCAGAAAGCAGGCTCCCCTGGGCCACATTGACTGGTCCCCCTGCCCACAGGGAATGTGGTGAACGGCATGATTGCCCGGCAGATGGTGGACATGCTCGTGGAATCCTCATCCAACGTGGAGATGATCCTCAAGTTCTTCGACATGTTCCTGAAACTCAAGGACATTGTGGGCTCAGAGGCCTTCCAGGACTATGTCACCGATCCCCGTGGCCTCATCTCCAAGAAGGACTTCCAGAAGGTGGGTGCTAGAAGGCAGGTGGGTGGGGTGCCAAGTGGCAAGAGACCTCTCTGTGAGCCTCAGCTTCTTTACCTGTAAAATGGGGATGACACAGTCTTTGGGGTTGTTTTGAAGGCGAAATGCAGGAACACAGATGAGAACCTTTATTTCTGTTATCATTATTCCTAGACACAGTATTGTCATCATTACCAATAACAGTTATTCAGTTGATAAACATTTGCTGGCTTTCTCCTCTGTGCTGGGCCCTCTGCTGCTACCATGGACACAGCAATGACCGAGACAGACACAGCCCTGCCTTCATGGGGCTTATAGTCTAATGGGGAGGCAGTCCCTAATGACCCTTACAGGTCACATAATAAGGCTTTTAGGAGGAAGGTACAGGAACCAGCTTTATTCAGGAGTCCCCTCATCTGCCTCTGTCAGTCCTCCCACCCCAGCTCTGTCCTCTCTCCCTACGGAACCCCAGGTATGTCACTCGGCTGCTCTGAGCCTCAGTTTCCTCCTCTGTGAAATGGGACTAGGATAGTTACATTCACTGTCTCACATGACCGCTGTAAGGTAGACAGTGTGTGGGCCGTTCCTGGAACTCAGGGGCATTCAAGACATGCTACCTACCATTAGTCCTGCCAGATCACCCTCTTGTTAACTGTTTCTTTTGAAATAACTTCTGACCTTCAGAGAAGCTGCAAGAACAATACATAGAATTTCTGATCACCTTTTCACCCCGATTGCCCAAATGTTCACTTTTTACCACATTTGCTCTCTCACAATTCTCCTTTTCTTCTAAGTACTTCAGTGTGTATCTCCTGAGAACAAATTCATTCTCTCACATAACCACAGAACAATTATGCAAATCAAAAAATTAGCATCAATATGACTCGGCTATCTACCGAGCTTAATTCAGTTTTCACTCAGTGAAGAAATTGTTTTTCCTGCTAAGGACCTGATCCGGGGGTCAGGGACCACATTTAGACATCCTGTCTCTTTAGCCTCCTTCAATCCCGAACCCTTCCTCGGTCTGTCTCTGTCCTTCATGACCTTGACATTTTTGAAGAATAGAGAGCAGTTTTTTAGTCAGTGTTTCTGTCCTTGTCTTTCATGACCTTGACATTTATGAAGAATAGAGACTGTTTTTTTTTTTTTAGACTTTATATATTTATTTATTTGACAGAGACAGAGATAGCGAGAGCAGGAACACAAGCAGTGGGAATGGGAGAGGGAGAGCAGGCCTCCCGCCGAGGAGGGAGCCTGATGTGGGGCTCGATCCCAGGACCCTGGGATCATGACCTAAGCCAAAGGCAGACACCTAATGACTGAACCACCCAGGCGCCCTAGAGACCGGTTTTTTAGAGAACATTTCAGAATGTGGGTTTGCCCGAGTTTTTCCCGTGACTCGATTCAGGTTGTACATCTCAAGTAGGAGTATTGTAGGAGTGATGTGTCCTCAGTGCGTCTCATCAGGAGGCATGTGATGTTGGTTCTTCCTATCACTGTTGGCGTTAGCTTGGCTCGCTTGGTTCAGGTAGTGTTACCAGGGTCTCCGCTGCAAAGGTACCATCATTCCCTTAAATATTTCCTGAGGATGTGCTTTGTGACGTTGTAAATATCCTGCTCACCCTCTCGGGTTAGTGTCCGTTGGTGATTCTGCCTGAAATGATGGTTACTATGGTAGTTGACAGACAGTGGTTTTCTTTTTTCTTTTTTCTTATTTTTTAAATCTTTTTTTTTTTTAAGAGAGAGGGAGGGGGCAGGGGCAGAGGGAGAGAGAGAATCCCAAGCAGACTCCACACCAACTGCAGAGCCCAACGTGGGGCTCAATCTCACAACCCTGAGATCATGACCTGAGCGGAAATCAAGAGTCCAACCCTTAACCGACTGAGCCACCCACGTTCCCCAACATATGGTGGTTTCCTAACTTCACCATACCCTTTACCTTTTTTAGGTACCATGTTGCTGTACCCGTCCATCCGTTTATTTTTATTTATTTATTTTTTTTAAAAGATTTTATTTATTTATTTGACAGAGAGAGATAGCGAGAGCAGGAACACAAGCAGGGGGAGTGGGAGAGGGAGAAGCAGGCCTCCCGCTGAGCAGGGAGCCCGATGTGGGACTCGATCCCAGGACCCTGGGATCATGACCTGAGCCGAAGGCAGACGCTTAACGACTGAGCCACCCAGGCGCCCCAATAAATGTTTAACATTTAAACGTTCAGCGTCTGCTGAGTTAAAAATTAAGTGTCCCCTGCCTCCCAGGTGTCTGAGAGCCTCCCTGCGTCTCTCCCCCTTCTCAGCCACGTCTCTCAAGGGCTGCCTACCTCCGGCTCACTCCTTTCTCACCTCCCACCCCCTCCCTGATTCAGGGATTCCTGGCTTTGGTCCCTGTCACTCTCCTGAAACTACCCTGACCAAGATGGTCCGTGACCTCTTCACCCCTGAATCTCTCCTCTGTTATCTTCGTGGCATTGGCCGCTGTTGGCCATTCCCTCCCCTTCACGAAGCCTGCTTCCCAGGGTGTGTGTGCCACACACTTGTGGGATCCCCACCCTCCCTGCCAACCTCTCTCGGCCTCTTCTCTGCTGTTCTTGAGCCCTCCGCCTTCCAGAAGAGCTGAGAGTTACCATGTTCTCACTCTGTGCCAGGTCCTGTGTGTAAATGGATTAGGTCACGTAGTCCTTACAGCAACCCTAAGTGGTAAGGACTATTTTTTATTCTCATTGACAGAAATGGAAACTGAGGCACAGGGAGGTGAAGTGACATGTTCAGGGTCACACAGCTAGTAAGTGACAAAGCTGGGATTAGAACTCAGGCAGCCTGGCTCCAGAGTACATAGCCTCCAGACTCAACCATTGATCTAGTCCAATAAATAGTGAACATTCCCTGGGTTCCAGGCCCTGGCCAGAAGTCCCAGCCCTACTCTCTGAGCCTGGCAGGTTTAAGGAGAGAATCTCAGTCAGCCAGGGAACCAAAAATCACCATGTAGGAGCTAAAATACACCTCTTTCATAACTTTTTTTATGTTATGTTAATCACCATACATTACATCATTAATTTTTATTTATTTTTATTTTTTATTTTATTTATTATTATTTTTAAAGATTTTATTTATTCATATGACAGAGAGAGACACAGCGAGAGAGGGAACACGAGCAGGGGGAGTGGGAGAGGGAGAAGCAGGTTTCCCGTGGAGCAGGGAGCCCGACGCGGGGCTCGATCTCAGGACCCTGGGATCATGACCTGAGCCAAAGGCAGACGCTTAATGACTGAGCCACCCAGGCGCCCCCCACATCATTAGTTTTTGATGTAGTGTTCCATGATTCATTGTTTGCATATAACACCCAGTGCTCCATGCAGAACGTGCCCTCTTTAATACCCACTGCCAGGCTAACCCATCCTCCCAGCCCCCTCCCCTCTAGAACCCTCGGTTTCTCAGAGTCCATAGTCTCTCATGGTTCATCTCCCCCTCCGATTCCCCCCCCCTTCATTCTTCCCCTCCTCCTATCTTCTTCTTTTTTTTTTTTTTTAACATATAATGTATTATTTGTTTCAGAGGTACAGGTCTGTGAGTCAACAGTCTTACACAATACAGTGCTCACCATAGCACATACCCTCCCCAGTGTCTATCACCCAGCCACCCCATCCCTCCCACCCCCCACCACTCCAGCAACCCTCAGTTTGTTTCCTGAGATTAAGAATTCCTCATATCAGTGAGGTCATATGATACATGTCTTTCTCTGATTGACTTATTTCGCTCAGCATAATACCCTCCAGTTCCATCCACATCATTGCAAATGGCAAGATCTCATTCCTTTTTTTTTTTTTTAAAGATTTTATTTATTTATTTGACAGAGAGAGAGATAGCGAGAGCAGGAACAGAAGCAGGGGGAGTGGGAGAGGGAGAAGCAGGCTTCCCGTGGAGCAGGGAGCCCGATGCGGGACTCGATCCCAGGACCCCAGGACCATGACCTGAGCTGAAGGCAGACGCTTAACGACTGAGCCACCCAGGCGCCCAAGATCTCATTCCTTTTGATGGCTGCATAATATTCCATTGTATATATATACCACATCTTCTTTATCCATTCATCTGTCGATGGACATCTTGGCTCTTTCCACAGTTCAGCTATTGTGGACATTGCTGCTATAAACATCGGGGTGCACGTACCCCTTTGGATCCCTACATTTGTATCTTTGGGGTAAATACTCAGTAGTGTGCAGTTGCTGGGTGGTACGGTAGCTCTATTTTAAACTTTTTGAGGAACCTCCATACTGTTTTCCAGACTGGCTGCACCAGCTTCATTCATAACTTTTAAATGATTCTTCTCAGAAAAGGAAAACCATCAACAAAATGAAAAGGCGGTTTATGGAACGGGAGAAAATATTTGCAAACCACAGATATGATAAGGGGCTAATATCCAGAACATGAAAGGAACTTACACAACTCAACAGCAGCAACAACAACAACAACAAAACCCCCAAATAACCTAATTTTTAAATGGACAGAGGACCTGAATAGATATTTTTCAGAAGACATACAAATGGCCAACAGGTACATGACGAGGTGCTCGAGGGGCGCCTGGGTGGCTCCGTCGGTTAGGCGTCCGACTCTTGATCTCCACTCAGGTCTTGATCTCAGGGTCGTGAGTTCGAGCCCCACGTTGAGCTCTGCACTAGGCGTGGAGCCTCCTTAAAAAATAAATAAATAAAAGGAAATAAAACCATTGTCTCGAAGAGATATCCCATGTTCCCATGTTCATTAGAGCATTATTCACAGTAAGCGAGGTGTGGAACTAACCTATGAATGTGATATATAATGGACTATTATTCTGCCTTTAAAAAGAAGGAAATCTTGTCATTTGCAACAACATGGATGAACCGGGAGGGCATTATGCTAAATGAAAAAAGCCAGAAACAGAAAGTCAAATAGTTCATGGCATCACTTACACGTGGAATCTTCAAAAAACAAGAAGAACTGGTAGAAACAGAGAATAGAAAAGTGAGTGGTGTG